CGCTTCCTTCTAGCTGTTACATACTTTTGCACGAATACAATATACCCTTTTACTCTACGAGTAACGGGTATAAAAATTTATTACATTTAACCATGTACATAAGTATTTTTAAGTTTTAAGAATTTCTGTATTTTACACTTAAATTTTAAGTATTTCTGTATTTTACGGATATGTTAGCCAATCTCTTTTTTGTGATCCCTAGGGATTGTAGACCTTTTCCTTGCTTTTAATTTTCTCAGAAGGAGGCCGCAAATCGAAAGTGTTTCTACCTTGGTAATTAATAGTTTTCCGAACTCAGAAACTTCTAAACACTTTGAACTTTTTGAAACTTTATGCAAATGTGCCATCAAGTTCAGTTCCTTTTCTTGACTGATTTTCTTGGGCAGGCAAATTGAATTTACTTTGGGCTCATTGAATGGTTTTCCATTCCCACATAGTTTCCATTAACCCCTGCTAGTCCCGTGTGGCCTTTGACGCCCCGTGTGTGAAGCATAATTACAGGGACAAGCCAAGTTCTTCAATTAAAATTTATTCGGTTTTCGTGAGGGGGTCTTATGTGGTAAGTGTGTGAGTCCCTTTTTAGTTTCAACATCGAAGTGTCGAAGTTTTGGACGCGGTTCAATGCGGTTTTGTGCGATTTTTAATCCTTTGTGCCACTGACAAGCCAATTAATGAAGATTTGTGGTCGCTTTGAGTAAGTGAGTTGTAATATTCTGAAAATAAATCGTGTGATGGCTTCTCAGTGGGGAAATATCAGATTGGTAAAGGTAGTAACAAAATTCTTTATCATAAATTAAGACCAAGTAAAATTAATTTGTAAGAGTCTTAACTTAAATGCAATAAATGCTAGAATTCTAAAGTTATTATATTTACTAACTAAGCTCAGAAAAGTATAGTAGTTCATGATTACAAAAAACCAATCCATTTTCCAAGAATAAATTGTTAACAAAAACTGTTATAATTGTTTAAAATAAAGGCAATACAAACATTATTTAGCACAATTAAGTGCCAAGTCAAATTATTTTGTACAAGTCTAAACTTAAGTGCAATAAATTCTCGATGTCTAAAACTATTATTTTTACTAACTAACTCAGTAAAGTAGATCATAAATTCAAAAATCTAGCCATTGAAAAATTGTTTAGGAAAACTTATACAATTGTTAAAATTACATAATAAAAGATGATTGGAAATATAAAACATAGATTTAATCACACTCACTCTTTCATTCCTGATACATTTAATTTAATTTCCGGAAGGATCATCATGTATTTAATCTATAGATTAGGTTTTGAACTACTATTTTCCACCATTTCGAGCAACATCATTGAAATTTCCCTCAGCTAAAAAATAAGGCTGGTGGCCATATCGAACACACTCACTTGCAAAAGTATCCAACAAAAAAAGGAGGCAAAACCCCATGGCAGTCATAATGATGACACACTTACCACATAAACCGCACGCACCACATACATATAGCCACCATCGGATCCAACTGACAGTGGTGCGAACCACCCACCGAGGGGTGGGTGAAAAGTTTATGGAGGCGGGAAAAGCCCCGAAAAAAGGGTTGGCAACTGGGAAAGGCTTTCGCAGCTCCAGAATTGCCACTAAAATGCACGCTAATGAGTTTCAATTACGACCGACTGACAAGATGGGATGCTCTGAAACAGTTTTTATTTTTATTGACATGGCATTTGTGTGCCCACCATCCTCATTTCGACTGGCTGTTTTCGGTGTCGTCGCTTCTGTTGTCAATTTGCGTAAAATTTTTGTCCTTTTTTTGAGTGTTGGTTTGTCGCTACTTTGATTGAAACTAAACGACGAGCTGAGCTGCAGCTGAAGGTGTGGCAATGGGACGAGTGAAGGGCGGGGGGGTTGTGGTGGAGGGCTTGATTTTAATTAAATCCCCATTCCCGCAAAATGCGGCACAAGCAGCTGAGGCCGTTCTAGTAAACCTCATCGTCCTTTCGTCCTGTGGCCCAAATGCCCTTTACTCTGCGTCTGTTCGTCACTTGTCATTCCGATTTTGGTTTGCACTTCAGGGAGTAAGGTTTGGGGATTTTAGTTCGCGTCCATCTGTATAATATTTTAAAAAAAAAATTTAGTTTTTTAATGTTAACTAAGAACTCCAGAAACAATATTGGTCATCATTTTTAGTCGAAGAATTACTTAAAAAGATAGGATTTTTAAGTAATCCTTCGAACCAAATCATTTTATTTCCAAAAGATAAAAAATACAAAATATGAAAATAAAATAAAATTGCATTATTATATTTAAAAAAAAATACACTTTTTAGTAAGAATAATTTTTTAATTGGCTTGCTTGAAAGTAAAGCTAAGAAAATAATTTTTTTTGAAATACTTTTAAAAAATCATGTCAACCTTAGATTATTTATTCACTTAAATGTATCGCTTGACCTTAGTTAAAGCAGACTAAAGCAATATATTCTTAAATATAAATTGATTTGGTCTGCTTTAGCTAATATAAACAATTATTCTTAAACATAAATTGATTTAGTCTGATTTAGCTATTCATTTTTATACCCTTGCAGAGGGTATTATAATTTCAGTCAAAAGTTTGCAACGCAGTGAAGGAGACATTTCCGACCCTATAAAGTATATATATTCTTGATCAGGATCACCTCCTGAGTTGATATAGCCATGTCCGTCTGTCCGTCTGTCCGTCCGTCCGTTTCTACGCAAACTAGTCCCTCAGTTTTAAAGCTATCTGCTTGAAACTTTCCCAAAAGTTGTCTTTCTATTGCAGGTAGTATATAAGTCGGAACGAACCGGATCGGGCTACTATATCATATAGCTGCCATATAACTGAACGATCGGAAATGCCATAACTTTGGTGTTTTTCAAGTTAGCAAGTTAGGAAGTTCTATGGGTTTTATTTTTGGCTAATCAGTCTGACTTACCAAATTTCATAAGGATCGGACGACTAAATCCTATAGCTGCCATATAACTGATTGATCGGAAATGCCATAACTTTGGTGTTTGTAAAGTTAGGAAGTTGGGATTTTCTATGGGTTTTATTTTTGGCCAATCAATCCGACCTACCAAATTTCATAAGGATCGGACGACTATATCCTATAGCTGCCATATTATTGAACGATTGGAAATGCCATAACTTTGGTGTTTTTAAAGTTCATATGAATAATTTTGAAGAATATTCTGCAAGGGTATATCAACTTCGGCTCCGTCCGAAGTTAGCTTTTCTTTCTTGTTAAACATAAAATGATTTAGTCTGCTTTAGCTGAGTTCAGGCGATATAATTATTAAATTGAAATGCTTTTTTAAATACTTAAATAACTCTATAATGTTCAGCGTATTGCTAGATTCGGCGTTGAAAGGTAACCGTTTGCCATTCTTGTTTTTTAAAATCGTAAACTTTTATGATTACAAGGGCCGTGGTGCGTTTGTTGTTATTTGTGTTGCTGCTGCTGGTGTTGTCGTTTACTTTGTGGCATGAAGTCGGTGTTGCCAGTGGCACATGTTACAGCAAGCGAGACTCATCTAAATGGTTATGGCGCCAAGCATTTTAAATAATTAATGGACGAGTGGAGGACAAGTGCATTGCCCACAAACCCTAGTTGGAAAACAGGAACAGGAGCTCACAACTCAACGAGGGCGCCACAAATGCAATAAAAATGTTGGGCCAAAACTTTGACCAAGAAGCCGACAACGAAGCAGAAGTTTTCCGACTTGGGCCAAAAATCGACTCGACTGCATTTCAATTCCCAAACGATTATAAACTACCGACCGTTTGCAAATTTAATTTACAACTGCACAAAGTGAACAAACCGCAACAAGAGCTCGGAGCGAAGTTTTTACTTTGTTAAAGTCGGAGGGCAGACTTTTATTTGCCACCTACACAACAACTTTTGCCAGAGGGTCAGTTGGCAGCTGGAGCTCCTGGAATTAGCTGCTAACTGGGAAATATTCATGCACATGAAGAGAAATAATAGATTTTATTTTAAAAAAATCAAAAAAGATTTTAGATGTTTTAAATAATAGAAAAAGGTGTTAATATCTAACAATTATAGCTCTAGGTCTTACAAATTTATTATTGTCATTCAAAGAGCGATATTTGTTAAATATTTTAAGACCTTTTCAATGATTTTAAGTAAATTTGTTATAAAGCAAAGCATATTTTTGCATGGTAAACAAATATTTGGTATTCCAAATAAACTGTTTTTCCAGTTTTTCAAGATACTACAACATTGTTAATTTTGTAAAGTCTTCTTTATATTTTTTTTTAGAGAAATTCATTACCCCGATCTATATTTTAACCTAATAACATGAATCTCTTTAATATAAATCAACATTTTAATAAATAATGTTTGAGTTGTATTTCAAAAATCCTATTTCTCTAAATTATTTAGTCTTTCGTAGGCATTCGAATAATTTTTCCTGGTGTGGATAATAGAAGGAAAGTTCTCCTGAAGCAGGAAATTATGTTTATTATTACTTTGGCACACACAATTTGGACTCCAAGTGGGCAAAAGCTGCTCCCCGAACAATATGCAAATTCGCAGCAGCCAAAGGAGCCTCAAAAGAGTTCCAATCCCACTCTCACCCAATGCCGAAAACTTCAAATTTAAATTAATAAGACAGGGGGCAGGATCGCCCAGCTGGATGAGCTTCGTTAGCTCCGTGGAGCAGCATCATCATCAGCAGCAGCAGCATCCTCCTTCTTGGAGTGCACTCTAAATTGCACTTTAATTGCACTTTAGGCGAGAGCCAGTCGATGGGAAAAACTCAAAAGTTTTGTTTTCCTCTGTCAAGGAACCTTTTCGGCCATTGTCTGAACGGGGTGCAGACGGGAAATTGGTAATCATCATAAATAAGTGATTCAAATTAATTAATTTCAGTTTTGCGACAAACACTCTTTTTGGCAGAGAGGTAATTAAAATGTTGGTAAAGAGTGGAAGGTTTTTAAATGGCTTACATATCGATATTTTCCGAAGTTAAAACCGACCACTTAAAGAGCATGTGTATGTAATTTTGTATATATTTAGTTTAAATGTACAAATCTCAAGATTTAATTTAATTATATTTTAGACCATATACAATTTCATTGAATATGTTTTAGGTAATGTCTTTCTTTTGTACTTTAATAGATGTAATAGAACATTTGTGTATAGGATTCTCGTCAAAAAACTGCAATACAATCTGATCAACTGAGTTGCACTTGTTCCAGTTCTAGTTTTTCCTCCATGGTCGGCACTTGTTTGCCATTATGCCTAATGCCCCGCAGCCATTGGATGTATTCCTCCGGAATTCCCGACTCCTTGGCTCCCTTTACCAAAACTTTGAGGTACGTTTGCGAGGGCTGACGATCGAGGGGAATGTTTTCCTGGGAACCACCTGCATGAATCTCTGTTTGGGGCTGATTCGCCAGGTGATACGCTCGACAGGTGATGTTCGCATCGGTAGTCAATGAGTAAACGGGCACGCTAATCGGAATATATACGCCACTGGGCACACTTTCCTGACTGAAAAATGAAATAAGTGATAAGGATAAATTTTAGAAATCGTTAATGATCCTACTCATCCAAATCCTTGAGGTTGCACATGTCAATCTCCCAAATGGCTCCATAGACATGAGATCCTTCAGTGGGTACAATTGTGGCCGGAGCCCCAAGCCAGTTTTTTGATCCTGTGTGAAAGTCCAGGCGGAAGTTCTATAAAGAAATAATTGTACATTTAATATTTCAATTGTAATGTGGTTTTAGAAACAGAGAGCAATAACTAAACATAATTTTTATTCTTTGGTTTCTTTTAAAAAGTATTTTCCTTTTTACCTACCTCCAATTTTCCTGCCCCGATCCTTTTAGCTGTGGGGTTTTGTATATGAATCCGACTAGCCAGCATATTACTACCGAAACCGAAATAAAAGAATTTACTGGCCATAATTATGATGCAGTTGGATCTGCAAAAGATAATATGTTTTTAAATAAAAGCAGAAAAGAACCTTAATTTTTCATTATTATGAATATTAACTAAGTTCAAAGAGTATTTTTTTGAGTGGGAAAAGAAAGATACAACATTTCAAATTAAAGAACTTTAATATTTTTATTTTTAACAAACATGTAAGTTTAGAAATCACTGAAAGCAGTTAATAAAGCAACGCCTCTAAAACTGTGAGTCGACTAAGCAGTTGCTTCGCGATAAAGCAGTAGATGTTTAGGTTGTGTTCTTGGCTAATACAATTTAATTCAAGTTCCTAAAAATTGATAAATATTACACAAGCAAATAAGGAAATTGTTGACAAAAAAAAATATTACAAATCATAATGAAAATTTCTTTAAATTTTAAGTCGTTCTCACTTTTTTTTGATTTTGTATTACAAATTGCAGAGCCCAGCTGTTTGAAAAGCTTTTTATTGTTATCTGCCACTAAGCTTTGAATTCGTAAATCAAATCAGCTGTTCCACCGCATAAATATGTATTTTACTTAACAAAACAACTTAAGAAATGTGCAATATTTCACTCATTTTCTGAATAGATTACTTACATATATTTGAATATAACTATTTGAATTCCAAAAATGGATTTACACGTCAACTAAAACTGAATAGAAATTTTGTTTACTCTTCTCGGTCGGACAGATGGCAGTGAACTAAACTGATATGATGATAATAAAGTGTTCGCAATCTTCCAGCACACACACGACGTGGTGAAATTGTAAATTAGGCCTCTTGTATGGGAATCCTCGAAATCGGATAAATAAATTTGTTTTTTAAATTAAATTAAAGGTGTAGTTTTAATATATAATTCAAAAATGTATCATATTGATGTGAAGTAAACAAAAATAAATAAATAAAGCATAAATACAATACTGTTACAAACCAGATTATATAAATATGCTCTGGTCACACTGATCTATGGAATACGTTCCAAATTAGGAAATTATTTATTTATCCATAATTCAACAATAAGTTATCTATGACTTTTTTAAATGTTAAACAAAATGTTTTTATATGGCTTTGTTGAGTGGAGTTCTCGATTTTTTCTTGGGGGCAACATATTGCCATCTCTACTATTCTACCCTAATATACTCTTACAGTAAAAAATTGTATATACACATACATATATTAAGTGGATTCAGTTAACCAGTAGGACGACCACTTTTGAATAGCTTATAACAAATAAAATGTAATGCGTTTTTTATTGGAGCTGTGAGTTAGTTAGTTATTCAATTCTGTTTTAAGACTCTTTTTGAGCTTTCAAAAGTATGCAATGTTATTTAAATTCAAAATGTGAGACACGCTGTTGTTGATCGTAAATGTTATTAATCAAGCTCTAACAGGGTAACATAACAGCCGCTGTTAAATAGGCTCTTCCCCAAACTATCGATATAGATATTGAACATCTGATGCCTCTCGATGTATTATCGATAAATATAGATAACGGCCTGTCGCAGCCCCCGCACCATCAGGCCACTTCTTGCTCTTTATTGTTGTCGTCCCCAAATCAGTTTTTCGCTGTGTTTGATTGGGAGTGGTTCGCCATTTTTTGGTCAGCTAATAAATTGGTCTGTGTTCTTACATTCTAAATCCGGCAATTTAAATATTCTCAAAGGTAAGTGGAGCACTCGGGGTTTAAAAAAAGCGGTTCTTAAGTCACGCCTACCACCCACTTTTATCTCATCTCGTTCGATTATTTACTGCATTTATATCACTGACTTGCAATTTATCTGAGCGAATAAAAAATGGAGAATTTGCTAATCGGTCTCGATAAGTAAATTGCAAAATTCAAGACTGTTTTATGCGAATAATTTGCGTTGTTTAAGTTTATGCATAACCCCTGGCCCAACCTATTTACCACCGAACTTTCCCCACCGGTCTGTTTTTATATGCAATTTATCTGTCGGCCGCTGTGTTTGTTTTTTCTTCGCACCGGTTTGCCTTTTCAAAAAAGAGAGATAGATAAAAAAGTAAAAAGACATGAAAGAGAGGGGTATAGATGGGGAGACAGAGACAGACACGTATCCCATTCGACAGGCTTTTTTCTCTTCCACCTGACTCTCCAGGTGCTGTCCAAAGTTTAATCTTGAATTCGTGTCGACAGTTTTAATTAAACCTATACAATTACTATGCATATCTACAAATAGAATGTTCGAGAACATCTCCAGATAGTCTAACGAGAGCTTGTATCTCAACAAAACTTTTGTTATTCGCAAAGTAGGACCGGCCTTTTAAGCAAACACCAAAATGTAAGGTTTTTTATATTAAAAAAAAACGTTATTATAAAAACTAAACTTTTTAACATATTTAAATAATCTAATACATTAAAAACCTCTTACTAAAGGTTGTTTACCAGATACTTTTTCATCTTATATAACCTTTAAAGGATTTCGAACTATAACTATAACTCTATTGTTTTACTATTTGGTTTCCAATCTTTAAAATTTTAATTTCATCTCGAGGTCAAATAGGTTAGAAAGTTAAAACAGGTGCAAATTTATAACTTTGTAAATTACTAAACACTTGTTACCCATAAACATTTATATCCTATAATTGGTTAAATATTTAAATAAAATACTTTTAAGGTTTAACAACACATATTTTCTAAATGTTTTAAAAAATTGTAAATTGGCTTTTTTGTAATTAATTTAAAAAAAGTAAGAACATTAAAATCCTATGCAAAATAGTTTGTATTATTATCGCAAAATGCTAGGTGCTCATAATTTATTAAAAGCAATAATTTTATATAAAACTTCAAAATATTTCCCATTAAAAAATTTTAAGACAATATTTTGGTAAAAAATTTTGACGTAAAGTCCAAAGGTCAAAAGTCTATGTAAAAATATGAATGTTAAACCAAAAAAATGTTTTGGCAATTCTTCTTCGACTAGAGAGTATGAGTATAACATATAATGAGTATAACATATAAAATATTATGTTTGGGTACAAAAGTAATTTCCAAATTGATTTAATCTACAGTTTTTTCCCCCGTCATCACAAATTTATTTTCCAATGCCAAATCTTATCGGCCACGTTAGAATGTAGTAGAAATAGTAGGTTGGAGTTTGATATTGAATTCCATATTCGAAGTCAGCCAGATGGGCTGGAAAAACCGCTTGTGAAATTCATATGGTGAAAGCATAAATACTGTTATTTGGGCCGCCGCCCCCTTTTTCATCTAAATATGGGGCGTGTCTTAAGCTTATGGCGTGTTTAGCGATCGCGCCACCTCGGCATGTTAATTAGGTTGTGGAAGATACAACTGTAGATCTAAAGATCTCTTTATATAAGCTAGACGTTGTCATTATGAACACTGAAAAGAAAGCCAAAAAAAGAATCACGCAATTGTGATTAGTTATACAAATGAACGGCATTGACTGAGACGATAAGAAACGTAGACGTTTGAGATAATCAGAGCGAGCCTCCCTCGCAACAATAAAAGGCATTGGCGCCCAAGTTCAAAAATTATCTAAGCTTTGACATGTCATTACCCATCACTGTCTGCTATCGTTATCGATATCTCTGAAGTACCAGCTGATGGAAAATTTAAATACAAAGAAGACAATAAATTCCTGAGTGCCACGCGCTATTATATATATGTATATAATCAGATGTATTATCAAGCCGTCCCTGAACTTAGAATAAAAGTAGTTAGCCCCGAAAAGTGGAAAAGTTTTTGCCAGCTGATAAAAGCAACAGTTGGCAGTGGGAGAGAAAGGCATTGACAATAAGAAAGAGAGGGGACTGCCACCCGCAATGCAAATGCGATTGACAAGTCAGCCGGCGATAACGATTACATATTTACGAGTTCCTCGAGTGTTTATTGTTTTCGCTCTTGTTACATTATTAATTAAAACTGCGGCTTGAACTGCGTCGAGAGCTGTGAGAGCTTATCAAAGTCCCCGGCTAAATCTTATCTGTTCGGCAATTTAGTACGTTGTGATTACGCCGATTGCGCAACCATTTGATTGTTCAGCACGGAGAGTCTGAAACTGCAGCGAATAACGGCACATTCCAGTTATCAGTTACAGTTAGGACGCGGGAGACGCCTACAGCACTTTTGTACGGAGATTTCTCGTTTTCCCGGGTTTCCAGTGTCAGTTGTATTGTTCCAGATTGGTGACAAACAATTTCGTCTATCGTTTCCAGTCGGTTCATTCATAATAAATACCCAGTTTTAAAATGTTCGCCCTCCGCCGCACCGCCGCAATGATGACGTCGGTCCACCGGCAGCCGCAGCTCACCCAGGCAGTTTTCCGGGCCAATTTCGCCTTCAGCGCCGCGGTAGGTTCTCTTTGTATCCTCCTCAGTTGCCCTTAATCTCTCTGCCTCCCGAATTTCGGATTAGGGTGGGTCGATATTTTGGACAGAGTTCTGGAGGCGGCGGAAAGCTCCAAAGATTTCTTTATATTTTGACAAAAGGTGCATGATTAGCTGAGATTCAATACGTGTACAGTCGTATTAAAGAAACCAATAAGAAATAATTATTCCATTTTTTTTTTAATTTTAACTTTTATTAAAAAAAAATTGATTTGTTATCTATTTTAATGTAATTTTTTAATCTATTAAGTTTTAATCTATTTAAGCTTAAATATTTTCAAAAATTTAATGAAAAAAAATATTACTTAGAAAATTACATGTATTCGATCATTGGTCTTAGTATAAAGTCAAACTTAATATTATTTTTACAATCTTAATGACTTTACTTATTTCTAAATGTGAAAGAACATTGAAATTTGCACCATCTTTGTAATTTCGAAATATAAAGGGAAATGAGAATAGTGTAGATCTGGACTTAATGTGTAAACTAGGATAACACAAAGTAATATCCTATTAAATCCTTTAATTTATAGTAAACAAAATTTTTAAATAACAGAATACTCTCTTCAATGAATATTCTATAATTAATCTATACAAATCGACCCACCCTATCCCATCCGGATCAAAGTTCACTTTGCTTTGACCGGCTGTCACTTAATCATCGCCATTTAAGTTTCGCCTGTATCGCCTGTGTCTAGGAACCCAGTACGCATAAAATATCCATGGATAATGAAAGGAATACCTTGAGTGCCGTGAGTAAGGTGAATGCCCCTACACGCCAGATTCCAGACACAAATCCATTTTTCGCCTAGCTAATAAGATCCTTCGTTTACCACCTTCAAGAACTCATTTGTGGTATGCTCTCCCGAACAGATGGCCCAGAAGATTCCTGCCGGACCCGTCGTGGATGTCCTCGGTGACGAGATGACCCGCATCATCTGGGACTCGATCAAGGACAAGCTGATTCTGCCCTTCCTGGACATCGAGCTGCACACCTACGATCTGGGTATCGAATACCGTGACAAGACTGAGGACCAGGTGACCATCGACTGCGCCGAGGCCATCAAGAAGTACAACGTGGGCATTAAGTGCGCCACCATCACTCCTGACGAGAAGCGCGTGGAGGAGTTCAAGCTGAAGAAGATGTGGAAGTCGCCCAACGGCACCATCCGTAACATTCTGGGAGGCACCGTCTTTCGCGAGGCCATCATCTGCAAGAATGTGCCCCGTTTGGTCACCGGCTGGCAGAAGCCCATCGTCATCGGTCGCCATGCCCACGCCGATCAGTACAAGGCCGTGGACTATGTGGTTCCCGGACCCGGCAAGCTCACCCTCACCTGGAAGGGCGCTGATGGTCAGGTGATCGACGAGGTGATCAATGACTTCAAGGGTCCCGGCGTCGCCCTGGGCATGTTCAACACAGACGACTCCATCGTGGACTTTGCCCACGCCTCGTTCAAGTTCGCCCTGGACCGCAAGTTGCCGCTGTACATGAGCACCAAGAACACCATTCTGAAGAAGTACGACGGTCGCTTCAAGGACATCTTTGAGGACCTGTACAACAAGCAGTACAAGAAGGAGTACGAGGCGGCGGGCATCTGGTATGAGCACCGCCTCATCGACGACATGGTAGCCTATGCCATGAAGTCCGAGGGTGGCTTCGTGTGGGCCTGCAAGAACTACGATGGTGATGTGCAGTCTGACTCCGTGGCCCAGGGATACGGTTCTCTGGGTCTGATGACCTCCGTGCTGCTCTGCCCCGATGGCAAGACCGTGGAGGCGGAGGCCGCTCACGGAACAGTGACGCGTCACTTCCGCTTCTACCAGCAGGGTAAGGAGACCTCCACCAACCCCATTGCCTCGATCTTCGCCTGGACCCGGGGTCTGCTGCACCGCGCCAAGTTGGACGACAACGAGCCGCTGAAGCAGTTCGCCGAGACCCTGGAGCAGGTGTGCATCGACACCATTGAGGGCGGCGCCATGACCAAGGATCTGGCCATCTGCATCAAGGGCAGCATCAACGCCGTCGAGCGCAAGGACTACCAGGAGACGTTCGAGTTCATGGACACGCTGGCCAAGAACCTGGAGGCCGCTCTGGCCAAGAACGCCGCCGCCGCCAAGTGACTATCCGGCGCACACTCCGAGCCGCAGGCCTCGCACCTCTAGGGAACCACTCAGCGATGCCTCGTCCTCGTCACCACATTCACTATATTTTCATTCGTTTATGTAGATGTGCATGTCCTAGACTAACTATCTGTGTCCTCGATGCATGTTCCACACTGTTTCATTGTCTCTGCGAGACGCAAAAAACCCCTGATTTCCCCATAACGTCTAACGGAAAAGAAATTTCAAATAAATGTATTTTTATACCGGACTCGAGAGGTCTTTAACCCAGTCGAGGGTGGGCTCGTTACGAGGCCCAGTCCACTTGTGCGGCTTCCTCTGGGCCCGGTTTTATTGGATTTGCCAGCGATGTGGCCACAGTCGTGTTTTAACACTTGGCGGTACCACACGGCGAATCAGGATCCGTTTAGGAGGGAGAAACTATCGATGATAGCCGAAGTCTTGGGCTATGGCTACCTGCTGGCCTACGTGATCTGCCTGCTCTGCTGGCCAGGAGCGGCGTATCCGGCCACCAGTAGCTACCGTGATCTGGATATATGCAATCACTGGGACGGTCGGCGGCACTTCCTCGAGCTGGGCAGTCCCGCTGGTGAGCTGCACGCCCGGAATGTGACGACCACCGCCTATCGGGTGAGTGTTTCCGCAAGCGATTCTCGTTGGGATTGGGTCAGCAATTATGAATTACGAAACAGAGCTCGCCGCTGGGCTTCAAGAACGATGCGGTGGCCGGAGATGTGTGGTACCAGTGCAGCCTGGAGCTGGTCACCTGCGCCGAGTGTGTCATTCGGGTGGCCTTCACCTATGCGAACTTCTCCAAGAGCTGCGGCAATACGGGTGGCAAGTCCAGCATGTGTCCTTGCGAGCATATCCAGTTCTCGGAACCGCCCTACGATTCCACCATTTCCGGTCAGGAGTTCTGTGGAGATGGCAAGGTGTTCCGGAGCAAAACCAGAACCCTGCAGCTAAAGTTTTTCTACAGGACCAACAATGCCCACGTCTTTTCGCTGCAGTACTTCTCAGAGCGTAAGAACAAGGATTTAACCAAGTTAAATATAAGGTAGTTATATCATAACTAACCCCGGATTAGGCAACGTACGGATAGTGAGTGGTTCCCCCAAGCAGACGATTGTGGGCAATGGGAGTACCAAGTACCTGCCGCAGGTGATCTCCACGCCGTACTTCCCCATGCCCTATCCCCGTGACTACGGCATCGAGCACATCCTCACCTGCGAATCGGATAACTGCCAGGTGCGGCTGGACTTCACTGACTTTCAACTGGGACTCGCCTCCACCCTGGAGATCTTCGACTCCAATGGCCAGATGTTGGACTCCTACACGGGCGAGCATTTCCGACCGCCCATCACAGTGAGCAGCGGAAAGTCGCTACTCCTGCAGTTCCGCGGAAATTCAGCCACCGGAGTGGGTTTCCGGGCGGAAGTTAGCTTCATATCGTCAAAGCAGCTGAAGGACGAACGACTGGTGCCCTACACAGGTGAGTGGATGGGTTTCGTTACACTATAATAAAAAACAGGGAAGACACATACATATTTAGCCTACCGCCAAAAATTTAATATTTCAATAGTTCACACAGAATTTTATGATCTATTTGATCCTATTTTAAATTTAATAACCCATTATCACAATATAATTTCAAAGGCTTAGAAAGGACTTTTTATTCTCATGTAATGAAGTATATTAGGCTAATATATTCTTGTTTAATTAGATAAGGTTACAAAAAAAAACATATATAAGTTTTAATCCCAGGCTTCCATAATTTACAGCCCTATAAAATAGATAGATGATAGATTTTCATTAAAGTCAGCCTAGTTTGATCCTAGAAACAAATAGAATATGAGATTACATTTCTTTTCTGTGTAGAAATAGGGACATTGGAATAATTGCCGGATTAGCCGGGCACTTGAAGGTCTGCAGGCAATTGTCATATTGATTTTGGCAGAGGAAGTGGGCGGCGGGCTCTTCACGAATATCAATGTCAATGCAAGGCGTTGAAGTGGAAACTGGGTGACATTCTGGTTAGGTCTGGTTTGGTAAGACAATCGATTTCTTGGATCATTGCCCAATTGGTTGTTAGGCCACCGTTCATATATAAGCTGAAAAGGGGTTGAAATGGGTTATGCATAGTTGGGGCAGGCTGGTCCGTATATAACACAAGCCATTTGGATTTATTAAGTGGATCATGTGATGTAATGTCACTAAAATAATACAGTAGAAAAGAAACAGGGTTCCCCAAAACAAGTTCGATGATCATACATAATCATGTTGGGGTAAAAAAAATAAATTAATTTCGAAATTAACTTAACAAGACTGTTAGAAAACATCCAAATAAATTCAAAATAATATATTTTTAGACTGCGGTGGAATGGTCACCGGACCTGGTGGCGCCATCACCATGATGAACATGATTGAAAATGCCACGGACGTGCGGCTCTTTGATTGCATCTGGATCATCAAGCCCGGCAACAACTACATGATGATGAAGACCCACATCTCCCTGCGGGTGGATGACTTCTATGGAATGGCCGCCCGTTCCGAACTCACCATCCGGCAGGGCACCACCTCGGATGCCGTGGAGATCGAGAGCGTCATGTGGCCGAACAACGGACTGAGCAAGGAGAGCCATGTGGCGCCCATCCTCAATGGCTACTACATTCGACTGCGTGGGGTGTTTGGAATGTCCTCCAAGCTGGCCATCGTTTACAGCGTCTTCAACTATTTGAGTGAGTTTGACCTAAAACTAGGAAGAGTATAATCTTAAATAAGAGCCTGGTTTAGATTGCTACATTGGCTCGGAGTTTTTGTGTGGGAACAACCACTGCATCTCCATTCGACTTCACTGTGATGGTTTCGACCACTGTGGGGATGGCACCGATGAGCCGGATTCCTGCGAGGAGGACTGGGCCCACCTGCACCACGATCGCCGCTGGTACTCCCACAAGCCCAACTACTACTTCCCCAAAATAGATCAATATCCGGATCTCAAGACGGCAACGGGCATCTTCATCATCAGCACCCTGGGAATCTTCGGTGTACTATCCGGCTGGATGGTGATCCTTTACAGGATGGGCGTGAGAGCACGTCACCAACGGGAACTGCAGAGTCACCTGCAGACGATCAGCGAGCTGCTGGATCGCCAGGATGAGGATCGCACGCCAGATGAACCGCCGAGCTACGAGGCGCCGCCCGATTACGAGGAGGTGATCAAGGTGGGGATGCAGCAGGAGCTGCGGGAGCCAAGACGCCAGCGTCGTGCCCGTCGTCCACCGCCTCGGGATCGGAGCTGCAGTCGCGCCGCCAGCAACTGCACCATGCAATCTGTGCTTCCACTGCATCGCAATTGCAGCCTGGAGAGGGATCAGGAACAGCCCAGTACCTCGGCAGCGGCCATGACCCATGCGGTGGCTGCCACGGACACCACCGAGGATGCGGAGCAGGTCCAGACGATGGCCCAGCGGATGCTTCTCGCCACGGCTATTTGTGGTAGGTTGAGGGCTTCCCCGATCCCACCCTGCAGTCGCTAACTTACCCACAGAGTCCCACTTGCAGGCACTGCAGGCACGTCTCTCCCGTCAGCAAAGGAGCCTGGGGTCCGGCTCCAATCCGTGGGGGTTTCAGCGGGCCCGCCACCGCTATCCGCTGGGGGTGAACTACCCCCAGCCGGTGGGCCAGCCACGACGCCCGGTAGCACGGCGGATGACTGCTCCCAGGGAGGCGACTCCCTCAGCATTTCACTCACTCTAGGCCTGCCCTCCACGACAGCCGAGAGTCCGGTGACCTCCGACCAGAACCAGAACCAAAACCAGAGTCAGGATCCGACCAGCAGCAACTGCACGGAGCACACGTACCTAAAGCGATCGTGGCTGGTGATCCAACCGGTGCCACCTGGAAGGGGTTACAGGGTCCAGCGACTGCGGCATACCTACTCCTCTCCCGAAGCATTCTCTGGCGATGAACTTCACCTGCCGTATCCGGATTTCCTGAGCTACGGCACCAATCTTCCGCATGAGCGGAGTAGCAGCAACTTTGGATCGGAGTTGTCGCGGGATCCATCCAGTTATAGTGTGGGAAAACGAGCTCGCTTGACCGCCGAGGAGCCAAGTGAATCGGAAACAATTACCAGGGAGATGGAGTACTCCAACCAGACCCTCCAATCCCAGGTGATAGAGGAGACGCCTCCGAATCACAGTGAAAGTGAGAGCGAAGGGGAGCAGCAGGTGTCCTGCTTTGGAGCCGTAGCCCAGCGGCCCAAGCGGCGTCATCGAAGTCATGTGAGGAGCCGATCCTTCAGCAACACGGGAGGTGGCAGTGCCGGGAGGAGGCGGCTCATCCAGCGCAGCTCGTCGGCTGATCTTCTGATGAACTATGCGGCAATGGCGGTATCCACGCCACAGAAAAGAGCCGAGGGAATGCAGCGTTTGTTTTTTATCTAAGAGTGGAATGCCTTTAGGAACGATAGTATTAAAGCCTAGTGTGATTCTGGTCGGGATCTGGTCACAGTTGAGTAGACCTGCTCCAGATTCGAATGTGATTAACATGATGGAAACGAAATTGATGAAATTCTTCCAAGTTTAGGTTTAATTGTTATATTGTTGGTCGTTCTCACACATTGTGAGACATTTTAAAATTAATTCAATTCTATCAAGTATAATCAAAGTAAAAATCGGGAACAGGTCTCAGTTTGTATTCTATATTATATATATACCACACCTTGAAAGGAATAAATAATTACAAAAGGTTAGCATTTTATTGGTTACTTTATTCATTTATAGCGTTATACGTGTAGCATTTGCCAGTTCCTGTCGAACTGTGCCCCAAATCAAGTCATAACAAAAAGTACTGCCCAAGTCCTCCGAAATCCCCTCCAACCCAGTAAGTGATCAAGGACACAGCTTGACACAGCACTGACTTTGGGGTGCCTCAAAGGTGCAAAATAATAAAAGTCTATTACTCGCGTATATATGGAAATCAAAATGCACATTTGTATATGTATATATAGACGAATATGATAAATAATACCAAGGCGTAGTCATTGCCGTAGGACTGCCTGCTATCCAGATCCACCTACGCCGTATTTGTTTCTATTCCGCTCCACTGTTCCTACTGCTGCAGCTGTTGCTTGAGATTCTCGGCGAGCGATTTGCCAGTGTCCAGGGGCACCACTATATTTCGCAGACTATCGATGCTGTTGCGCAGCTTGGTGGCCTGGAATTTGCTGGGCAACTTCGGTGACCCTCCCACCGAGGCAAATGCAAAGGTCTTGTACTCCTGGGCAGCCATAATGGGGACCAAAAGAATCGGATTTAGTATGTTATATACACGGGGTTTTATTTGCAACGCAAAATATCAATAAAATCATAAGCAAACCGGGTTCAGGAAGCTAACAGAAACAGCAGGAAGGTTCAATGCCTGTGTAGAGTCAACTAAATAAAGGTTCTTCATATATGTCATAATGTGAGGGAGGCGCGTATATAAATTAAACAATGATAAGTAATGGTTGGGTATTCCAGAGAGCTTAAAATATTTCGACAACAATTCTGGAGCTCAGCTCGCGGGCTGATTACCCTTATCTTAAAAATAGAAATTATACATACAAAAACTTAAAAATAAGCTGTGCACGTTTTTGTCATGAATCACTGGTCCCTAAGTTACCTGATTGCCGCTGGGGGAGCTGGCCTCGCTAAGGGCCGTGGGCGCCTGGCCCATGTAGGATTGGAATGTGGGCGTGGGTCCGCCACTGCCATTATCCCGATGGCCGCCACGGGTTGTCACCTTCTCCTGCAGCGAGTTGAAGGTCTTCGAGAGCCATGGTTGCCAGCTGTTGCGGTTGCTCTGCAGTTCACTGAGCGTATTGCTGAGCTGATGATTCAGGTCCTGGTTCTTGCATTCTGCCTCCACTTGGGCAAGTTTGGCCTGCGCAAGCTCCAACTCCAGTTCACGGATGCGCTGCGACGCAGCGTTCAGAGGATCTAGCGGGCCCAGAGGGTGCTCATTGGCATTCCGCATGGCATCTGTTTGCCGCCTGGAGTTTCCACCATCCGACTTGGCATTGTCGTTGCCGGCGTCGATCTTCTGCTGACAGTCCTTGCAATTGGAAACCATGTGCTGAACAGCGACAAAGATAAAATATTACATATTTGGGATTTCGTGGAAATATTTCTTGACAACCTACCATGACCTTGCTCAGAGTCTCACTCAGCGTGTTCATGTCCTGCTCCTGGCGCTGTATTATCTGCTTGTATTCCTGTATAATGCCTGTGTGCTTCTTTTCCTTATCCACAGCCCGTTCCTTGGCTGAGGTTAGCTGTTTGTTTAGCGCATCTATTTCCGACTGCATCTTGCGCCTTTCCTCACCGAACCGATTTTCGTAGATCTGGGCCTCTTTCTCGAGACGCTCTTTGTGCTGCTTCTTTAGCAGGAACTCTTCTTCGTACTGCTTCAGTTTTTTGATTTTACGCTCGCAGGCCTGTTTCATCACCTTGCGTGCCTGACTGGAACTGCGGCACTTCTTCGGCAAAGTCACCCGGAAATACTTAAGAATTCCCTCAAAATCAAGCAGCCTCAGATCTGATTCGCAGATTGACAGAAGGGTCACGGCCACCTGGAAGAGCACGGGTAGCCCGTCCAGCAGAAAAACATCCAGCACATGGAACACGAAGCACAGCGGGAAGCGTGCTGTATACAAAGTTAGGAACCACTGGGAGGCGTACATGTGTGTCTCAATGCCGCATGCTGTGAAGTGCTCGTGCAGCTTGGGCAGCTGGTCCTTGATCAAACGCTCCAGTTGGTAAAGACGCAGATAAAGGACCTCGAATCCCGCCTTGTACAGATCACGGAGGCCATAGTCGTACATCAAGGCCACCAAAACACAGAACGCATCCTCTTCAGGCATCTTAAAAATGTGTTTTATAAAAAGTTAGTATATTCGGAGGTAGTGGTCCCACTTCAGTATAAACTCACATGAAGCAGCAGACTGGCTGCAATGAAACTCAAGCCCTGGCAATAGCCGACCTCGCTGTCGTGCACCGCATACGCCTTGGACACCTTGAAAAGAGCGTCCTGACCCGAGCCACCAGTCTCCTTGAAGCATTTGTGCGCCGGAAAAGTGCGATGAATGTCCCGCTGGATAACGGTCTCACACTTGGTTTCCTGCAAGAAAATATCAAATTAATTTTGCTCTATGAGGGATAGGTAATCAACACACTTTGGTGATAAGGATCTTGTACTCCAGTCCAGTCTCTAGTCGGCCTTCGACGTTGGCCAACTTTTGCCAGATCTTTTCACGTAGGGCCTCTGGAACACCGAGACGAACTAAGGGCGCCAAGTTCTTGGGCCTCTTCTCGCCGTCCCACTCCCGCAGAATGGGATCCCACTCGTCCAGCGTGTCCTGCGAGCAGTCCTTGGACACTTCACCAGTGCCACTCAGCAGCGGTTCATCTCCATCACTACTGTAATCCGAGGGACAATCATCCTCAATCGAGGCAATGGACGAACTGCGCACTATGCGCGATAAATTATTCATGCCCATCTTGAGCAGCGAGGAAGAGCTCTGCTGGTGGCCCGCCTGCTCCGTGATCTCCTCCGAAGGATCAATGCTGTTTACTTTCCAGTTAGACTCGTCTGTACGCTTGAGATGCAAATAGAAGCGTAGCGTCATCGGTCGTTTTGACATGAAGTGATCCATAATGCGCATTTCGCTGGCCGACTGAATGGTCACTGGGGTCTCGATGACGAACCTAACTGGTTCCAGAATGCGACGCATCACTATGTCCACGGCCACGGTGAGATTGGTCTTGGACGACTCAAGATTTAACTGCTCAAAGGCCTTCTCCTGCGCTTTCCACTCAGCTCGAATGGTATAGGGTAAGGTGGAGTTCTGCTGGGAGTTGCTGTCTGATTCAGTAGTTACTCCTCCTGTTCCACCTGAAGGTTGGTAACCCATGTTGTGCATGTCAATCAGATGCATGTCCTTCTGGACGACTAGTTTCCCAGGCGCCACTAGGACTCCAAAACATCGTTCGATATGTAATGGTTGAAGAATATTCGACGGAGTCTGTTTCACGGTGATGCACACCTCTTTATCTGTGTTCGCCCGGAGCTTAAAGCATCCTCTATCTCGCGGAACTGGGGCATACGAGTTCTTTGCAACCCTCTCGCGAATCTCCAAGGATACTATGAACTCATAGCCGGCCGTGTTCAAAGGATTCCCGCTCACATCGGACGTCACTGAATTGGCCATGTCCACGGCCGAGTTGAGGCTGCAACTCATGCTGGCCGGATAAGTCTGGAATGCCTTCTGGAAGCAGGCTTTGAAAAAATTTTAAATAATCAGCGGGTGAAATCACTGTTTGCAAAGTTGATGATCTGACTCACCACTGACTTGGTTGACCGCCTCGGGAATATGGCACCGAAATACATGGCACTGAAATAAAGCATCCCCATGTAGCCAAGTGAATGCAAAGCACCCGTTCTCCACCGTGTCCACAGGCCCACGATAGTAAAGGATAATGCTGGATATCTCGTAGGTGGCAATAATCGTATTGCTCTCCGCATCGTGGAGGCTATAAGAGGTGCATGATATCGTTCAGTGAGTCACTCTAGGGGCATTAATAACTTTACTCACACCACCAGGCCATCCGAGCAATTGGGAATGCTCACGGTGATCTTCAGGCCCACCGATTTGGAGCCACTGTTCAGCTCGCCCATGATGCGATAGACCTCCGTTTCGGATTTGGGGGCATTGATGTTAGCTGCGCCCAGGTAAGTGACTCCGGAGAATATGGTACAGCCCTGATCGATCTCAGAAACTGTAAAAATAAATTATGACATGTATTCATATTTATTGTGTTCATATTTGTGTGTTTAAAGTGGTTGTTATGCAAATGTGTTTAATTTCGGTATGATTCAAAATTAAAAAAAAAAGTAAAAAATGTAACCAGAAGCTTTCTACAAATTCAAGAATGTGTAGCTTTGGTTCTTCGGCAAGTCGAAGCTTATATACCCTTGCAAATATTATATCTTCTACAAAACGACTATATTTCGAATTTTATGCGTATATGTATCAGTGGCGGATCTAGGGTTGCTGGCGCCCGGGGAGTATTTTAAGTGTAAATAGGTTATTAATTATTAAAAGCTTATATGTTTGAAGAATTGTATTTCATATCGATTCTTTTGTCAGTTACAACGGAAAAAAACATTATTATTTGTGTTTTTGCAAGACAAAAAAATATTACTTTTAGAATATAACTTTTCTGGCCTTGATTGCCGCAAATTCAGCAATAATATCATTGTAGTCGAGTGATGCTGCTACTTCATTTTCGATAGATAGTATAGCTAAATTTAACAGCCTGTCTTGGTTCATGGTTGTGCGGAGATAAGATTTTATCAATTTCAGTTTACTGAATGATTGCTCACACGAAGCCACGGACAATGGTAGAGTCAGAAAAATTTTCAATGCCGTCACAAGTGTTTTGTACGCCTCTAACCTCAACGATGAAATATACAATAGTATTCCTTTTGGAGTGAGATCAAGACTTTCTCCCTTTTTATTGGCCCTTTTCAGAAGAAAATGACATCTTTGATATCGTGATACAATTCATGGTATGGAATTAAATCATTAGAATAAATTTCAGCTAATGATTTCGGTGTGTTGTTTTTTTGTCCGGATTTTTTTGAACTGGGCACCACTTGGTTTATTCGTTTCATTTTTGTGTTTTCCACGCCTAATTTGAAATAGTAGAAATATATTTTTAGAACATCAATAATAAATAACATCATTGATAAATAACAGCGAAGCATAAGTACCTTGATTAAATGTTGCAATAGAAAAACACTGCCTTGATTAGAATGTATGTAAACAAACGCGCTCTTAACAAGAAAGTTTATAATGACGTTTCGAGCGTCCCTTTTCCTTTTGATCACATCATAAAACACTTACACTTGTATTCTATAGGGAGCGTTACATGCGCAGCGCCGCGGGAAAATATGAATTCTCGAAACATATATTGCTAGTCGGACCCGATTTGGCGCCTCTTAGATTTGGCGCCCGGGGCGCTGCCCTTTCGACCCCCCCTAGATCCGCCCCTGATATGTATAAAAACATTCTTTCATATGGCAGCCATGGCATTGGCAATAGAAATAAGACATTTGGGAAAGTTTTATCCAGATATGTAGCTTTAAAACTGAAAGAATAGTTCGCCTAGTTCAAAAATATATCGTCTTCACTGCGAAGACTGAACTTATAGTACGTCCTGTAAGGGTTTAAAAATGAAACCAGTGGTCTTTGAGATAATTGTTCAACATTAACATATTTCAGAAAAAGCACTTTGAAAGTTTCTAGGAATTACTAACCCGAAATCGCTTGGTAACACGAATTTGTTCTTTTCAGAATTTTAAAGTAAAATCGTTAAAGATAACACCGATTTCCGAGATTAAAATATATTAAAGTTACCCACTCACCCTCCTCGTCGGTGGTATCGCCCTTTTCCGGCTTCATGGCATCCTGCTTCTCCTCCACGCAGGCGGGACTGGCGTCTATGCAGTCGTAGAACACCGAGTGGCCCACTCTATTCGAACTGGAGGCATCGTCCAGGGTCTCCTCGCTCTTGGGCGAGAACAGGGTGCAGGGGAAACGCATCTCGGGATCGGCAGACCTCCCGCCGGAGCCCGTAAGCGGTAAGGTTAGGGACTTTTGCTGGTTGCTCGGGAGACGTTGCGTGATCTTCTCCCCAGTGGCAGCTGCAAAATATGTCAATTGACAATTACGCGACGAGCAATAACAAGAAACGAGTTGTGTGTACTTTTGTTTAAGGAAAGTATTATTATTCTGTTTGTTTGTCGCTTGTTTCCATGACAGCGAAGCACTGCGGCTTTGCCCCGATAAGATTGCAATGGCTTGTGCTTAGCTATCGAATGGTGTTTTCAATTCTGGAGCGACGATGTGTACACAGCTGACGCTGGGCAGCGACTGAGTTTAGTTCAGGGAACCCATTGAAAACCGCTTCCACCCTCAGTTGTGGTTCAGTACTCACCTACGCCGCGTTCCAGCTCCAGATCTCTTAGAGCGTCCGTCATCTCGTGCTGCATGTCGCTCAGGTTGCGATTGTGGGCCATGTGCAGCGTGGGCGAGCGATCTCCTCCAGCCTCGGGGGAGGAAAGGGCCAGAGCACTCAAGGAAGTGGGTGGTTTGCTTCCCTCCTCCGGCTTAATCCTCTCCTGGTTGACCACCTGCTTCACCTGCTCCATGGGACTGGCCACATTGCTGTCGGTCACTATTTCATACTCCCCGCTGGTCGTTATCGAGGATTCCGAGGACTTGGTGCTGAGATTGTCATCCATTCCGAACACTCAAGGTTGCCGTTGCCTTAGGTCCGCGGACTCCAAAATAGTTAGCTCTTTGTTGTGTGCGAGTTTCTGATTTTCTTTATTCGTAAGCCCTATGAATTGCGCATTTTCAGGGCAGGTAAACAAATCAATTTCTACTCCAAGGCCGCGGCGCTCGCTTTTTATAGATTTCTGTTTTAATTTGTCCAATTTTCAGCGGAGTCGCATTGTTTGGCTTGGTTCCGCCGTAAATCGATGACGAATCGGCACGGTTTTGTTGGGTTTTTGGGGGCGTACTCATACGCGCATGTATGTCACACAGCGCCCACTTCGCGCGGGGGGCGTGTCAAAGAGGGGTGGTGGTCGGTAGGGTCGGCGGGGTCAACAGTTTGCTGCCGTCGCCTTGCGATCGGATTCCTATGAATTTATCGTTAAAAGGAGTCGCCTTAACTGTTTTTTAACAACGTTTGAGTTTCTATTTAATGGCTAACACTCTGCGAAACCGTGTCACATTGTTTTAACCCCGTTTAGTTGCGTTTTTCACGGGCTTTTCATTAATTTTCATGCGATTTTTCCTCTGTTTTGTTTACATATTTTTCAGCTAGTGCTGGTCAACAGCAAGTCGAGATTTGGGGCTACCTATCGATAGGGAACAGCTGTTAAGCGTTGTACAGTACTTTTCATTACTGGTGTTGGAAAACAACTATTAATAGGATCGATTATTAGCAGTTTATAAAAATTAATAGGGGTAGTCTGGATACAGGTTGGCTTTTAAATTTTAAAGTGTATATTGATGGTGTCTTATTTAAGATTAGTATTGCAGTAGGTGAGTGACTGATTGCGATTTTTACCGCTGCTTTTTAAATTATTCAATACAGATTAAACTTTTCCTTTAGAATCTAATTATTATCTAGAACTGTTAGTTTTAAACTAAATCAAACCTAGCAGGTTCTTTCGTTTTTAAAGCTCATTCAAAATAAGTCCCTTGCATGAAGAAACAACAAAATCAAACAAAATAATTTTAATTAAAAGCAAGTTGAGCTCGATTCTTAGTTCTATCGGACAAGTGCCATCACTCTCTTCATAACACTTTGAGCATTTGCCAACACTGCCCTACAACACTACCGCGCGTGCAGGAAAAAAACGTGCGCGTTTATTCGTCGCATTTTGTGTAGATTTTTCCTAAATTCCGGGTTTTCCTGCCTCTGAATCCGACTCCCCAAAGATGTGGCCTCGATTTGGCATCAAGATTGGCAACAGCACGCTCTGCATCGCCCACGTGCGCGCGGACGGCAAGGCGGAGGTGATCGCCAACAAACAGGGCGACCGGGTGTCTCAGGCGTGCCTTCTCTGGGACGGTGTCTCAGAGATCGAATGTGGCCTCACGGCCAAGCAGAAGATGGCCACGCGTCCGCGCCAGGCGGTGGCCCACAGCTTCCAACTCCTGCAGCCCAAGGAACAGCTCACCGAGGAGAAACTGGCTAGTGCGCTGCGGGAAATCCCCTGCGATTTTGACAAGGAGGAACTGGTGTTCCGCATGGAGCACACGGTGCCCTCCGAAAAGGAGGACCAGGACGACCGGGTGGTGACCAAGGACCTTAGCGCCTACCAGGTGACGGTGGAGCTGCTGCGCGCCGAACTGGAGCTGGCCCATCAATACCACACGGACGGGGAACAGGCGCCCATCGCCGTCCTGTCCATACCAAGCTACTATCCCGCGCCGGCCTACAAACTGTTAGCGGAAGCTGCCCAAACCGCCGGCTTCCACGTGGCCCAGATCATTGCCGAACCCACGGCTGCGGTTCTGGGTTACAGCATCGGTGAGGAGCAAGAGGAGCAGCGCCGACATGTGCTGACCATCAAGTGCGGTGGCCTGTACAGCGATATTGCCTTCTACGCCGTCCAAAACGGACTGTTCGTTCAGCTGGCCACCTTCGGACCCTTCCCCATCGGTGGCCGCCAATTCACCGAGGCCTTGGTGCAGTTCATCTGCGAAGAGTTCCGCCGCAAGTACAAGCTAGATCCCCACGAGTCTCGTCGCTCGATTGCCAAGATCCGCACCGCCGCCGCCAACTGCAAGCACATCCTGACCACGATGCCCTCCACGCAATTGTATATTGATTCTCTAATGGACGGCGTTGACTTCAATGCCCAGATGTCGCGCGCTCGCTTTGAGAGCCTTATCCAGCCGGTGATCAACAACCTCATCCAACAGCTTGGCGAGTGTGTGGAGCAGGCGCAAAAGGAGCACCCCGGATTGAGTACCATCGATGATATCGTGCTACTCGGGGCCACCATGCAGATCCCCAAGCTCCAGGCGGCCGTGGGCGCTCGTTTTCCGGACGCCAAGCTCCACAACAGTCATTCGGCCGATGAGGTGGTGGCCATCGGCTGCGCCCGCCAGGCAGTCTGCTTGATTGAACCGCTCGAACAGCAGCTCCACAAGGACGACAACTGTTTGGTAGCCGAGGATGATCTGTACATTTGGCACGGAAATGACGAGGCCAACGCCAAGTTGGTCCTCGGAAGGGGTAGCGTACTGCCCGCCAAGATACGGATATCACTGCCTCAATCTGAAGAGGGAAAGGGTGCTGAGGGAGACAATGGGGCCGCTTCATTTAAGCTGCGCACCGGAGAGAGCGAGATACTGGCCCGCCTGCCGAACAGCACGACGCCGGAGGATGGTCTCTATCAGCTGGAGGTCGAGGTGGACCTGGACGATAAGGACGGCAACGTGGTGCCGCTGGTGCGATTGCGCTGCATGTGAGGGCCGGAATTCGACCCGGAATCGGTGCGCTGTCGCCTAGTCTATTTATTGTTGCTAGCCTAATGATTACGATACAAACACAAAATAAAAATAAATCCGAGAGCGGCAAACGAGAAAAGAGAAGCTTGTTTAAATATTTATTCAAATTTTATTTCTATCTTAACTCATAAAATTATATTCAAAACTGCAAGCTAGCAGATTTGTGGCTGCGCTCCAGTTTCCGCAGAAACTCCTCGAAAACGACAACGCCCTTGAACATGCTGGTCTTCTTGTGATCCTTGATCCGGCTCTTGTCTTCCGGCGCCTCCATGTAGCCCTTGCTCTTGTCATCAAAAGCGTTGATCTCGTGGAGCAGCTGGGTGATCGTTGGCACCGTGGTGGGATCGAACTTGGCCACGGCACTCACACTGAACGGCACACAAACCTTGCCCGTTGCTGGATGAATGCAAAATGGTGCCTTTAGCAAATGGTTGAATCCCCTGGTGACGTTGATGTCCAAACGAGGATATAGCAGTCCGAGCTGGACTTCTTGCACAATGTTCTTGAGCTTACGACTCCAGGCATTTGCTGTAGAGGTTCTCATGGAGTTGGCGTACTTGGCGAAGCTCTCCCACACGAGTCGCGAGTGGGCTCCATCCTGAAGATTCTTTTGCAGATAAGATTCGAGCTCGCCGCGTGCCATGTCATCGTGGACCATGTTTAGGAGTTTGCTCACTCCCTTGGGCGTTCCGAACAAATTCTGATCCTCCAGTATGATCTCCTCAAACATGGGTTCTGCTATCTTCAAGGCTCTCTTTAAACTATGATGCGGACGATCTCCCATTGGACACCTGGGCGAATTGCTGCCCGAGAAATTGACATAAGTTATGATGTTGAGGTACTCCGCCACGGCAAAGCGACCACGTCCATCCAAGTGACGAGCTTGATGGTCGCATACCCAGCAATGGATACCTCGACGTCCCGAGAAAATCCAAATAATGTGCTCAAAGCCGAAATCCTCGCGCAGAGCTACATCCAAAATCCTGGCAGCCAGCACCATAAACTTCCAGCACTTAAGGCACACCCCAGCTCCCGAGCAACAGGTGCGCACATCATCGTAATCCGTCATATCTATATCGAAGACCAGCTCACGTTGCACGGGTGTCAATCCCCCAGGAACAGTGCGATGGTTCTTGGGTCTGGTGTGCATCACTGGCCCTATATCGATCTTAACAGGATTTCTCGAGCAGATCTCCTTTTCCAACTCAGCCTGGCTTTCAAAACACAGGTAACGAATGTAGATATCGTCCTGAAGAGTAAAGGAAATCTCACGATTGCAGAAGACACCATCTTCAGCTGAAATAAAGAACATTTAGTAAGGGTCTGAAGGGGATTAGAAAAGGATAAACTTACTCAATCCATAAGAAAGCCAGCGGTAGAAGGGCTGGTGAGGAAAGAGGCGTCGGTAGTACACGGGCAGCATGTCCTGCAGGACCTCGGGATTATAGACAGGTACTGCTGCCGCCTGCTGCTGTGGAGTCTGGTTTTCTTGTTCTGTGGCTTGTTCTGGCATTTTTACAGACTGAAAACAAAATCATTTGTTAAATCCAGAAACAAAATCAAAAGTCCATCCAACTTCTTGTCGAAACCTTATATTTATAAATTTTTTTGTTGATTTTTTTCTTTTTCAAAGAGAGATACACGATTGGAGCTTAGAGTACTGAAATATATTAACGACATGCATTTGTTAAAAATACGAGGCTTATTAATTGTCAGTTATGGGTCGAAACAAATCGAATCGAGCTAACACAATGGAATACCGCAGAATGAACCTGGTCAGAGAGTTCGTCCGATGATTGGCTTAGCTTACGATGAAAACATACGTGTATCATGTATATATATTACTATATAATATATGTGTCTACTTTATGCCTAGGTTAGATCATTGTTGTAGCTTAAAGATTAGAGCACGACAGGCGGGCGTTCCCTTGTTCAGCATCATGGAGCAGCGAAGGGAGCCCATCATTCTAGCCCACAGATCTAGGCCACTGTGAGGCGGATGTCCTGCATCTTGTGCTGCTGCCAGGAGTGCGCCGGCTGCCTGGGCGGCGCTGTATTATACAACGTCACTGAGGCGATGTGGCTGTTGGGCATAACCTCGAAGATCAGGTCCTGGTAGCCATAGCAGAAGGTTGATCCGAACGGATTCGCTGTGTTAGTCGAGCTGGCCCTATGCAGCACCACAGGCCGTTCTGAGGTGGCCAACGCGCTGCTGATCTCATCCCACTTGGTGTAGGCGCTTATATTCACATGGTCCTGCTTTGTTGGCGTCACCAGGTCTTGTCCACTATCGCTCATCGACGGACGATCCGCCTGGAGCAGGAACTCGAACTCGCAGCGATGGTACATGTTGAAGTTGAAGTGCCCAGGATAGTTGGTGTGCAGTATGAACTTCTTGCAGGTCTGCGTCCTGGCATCGAACAGCACATCGATGCCCAGCGTGAAGTAGTTGAAGAAGATGTCGCTCCGCTTGCTCTGCGCTTGCCGATTTACACTCGAGCTGTGTATCTTCATCTTATCCTCGCTCTTGAAGAAGATGCGATTGGGTGCACCCAAACTAGTGGCCACATCCTCGCAGCTGTCGCCAAAGAGCAGCTCCCGCTTGAAACACTGGCGACGTGGTTCTAAGGCTCTGCCGGAACCCTCCGTAAAGAGCTTCAGCTTCAGGCCCTTCGTGTGACCAAAGGAGGTGCGCAGTACCGCGGCCGATTCCAAGTACATCTGTCGGTGATAGCAGGCCAGCGGCAGAGATGGAGCCCTATTCTCCGCCACATTGCTGCCCGCGTAGAGGGACATCTTGGACACGACGGGCGAGGCTCCATTCAGGAAGACAAGGGAGCCCAGTCCATGGGCATAGCCCGAGTGCAATTTGTTGTCCACCGGGAAGTAGAAACTCAGCCCGCGGAAGTGGAGGGCAAATAGCTGCTTGGCGGCATCGTAAACACCCGGATGGGTTGCTCCGAAAGAGTGCTCGATTTGCTCGATGCTTGGCAGGACTTCCGGGGAGTTGAAGTAGGCTACACCATACCGCAGCTTCACAAGTTTCATGTTGAAAACCTCGATGGTCTTAAGACGCTGGATCACGGGATCGAAGATCAGACGAACGCCATCCTGTGGCAGGTTTATGATGATGTCCACGCCCAAGGGATTGGTGTCCGAGTACAGGACCTGGACTCCCTTGATGATGCCCGCCTGCGACTTTATTATGGCGATGGCCTGCGAGAAGTGCATGCCCAGCACGAATTCCCAGGCATCGCAGCGCAGGGAATTCTCCGGCAGGATCTCCAGATCTAGCATTATTCCTGGTTTTTGTAGAACGATCTTTGTTTGTTATTGTTTGTGTCTGCGAATCACGAACCCACTGACCTTGATATGTGAAATCAGCTGCGGATTGCGAATATATTTAAACGAATATATACGCAATTAATGCCCAAGTGTATTTTGTGCTATTATTTTAGCACTTTCTGTTTTTTGTTTGCTTTTGAGTTCCTGTTTTTGGTAGTTACGCTCTTGTTTATTTTTATGCAGTTACGCAATGATCGTAAAATTGCTTAACTTGTGGTATTTTAACTTCTTGACGTGCCCTTTGGCGCAGCGTTTAATCGTATTGTTTTCTTCTAAAAATTCGGACAAAGGCAAAATGCGCAGCAGAAAAAATGAGATAATAACAAATAATGGCGTTGCCGGATCGCCACAGGCAGCTGATTTGCGAAATTGCAAAACAAATGGGGTGTGGTTTTATCGCAACATTAACAATCTTGAAAACTTAATTATTACATTTGTCTATAAAATAAGTAAATAACTTAAAAGGAAAATCTACTTATGCATATATTTCATACTTATGTTTAATTCGATCACCGCATCTGGCAACGCTGTGTGAGCATGCAACAGCTGTTTCTATATTTTCGCGCGCTTTTTATAAGAGCCCTGAAGTGAACTTAGAAACTTACTTGTTCGGTTTAACAGGAATGTTTATAAATATCCTTCAACTTCCTCCGACTAATTAAGGCTTAAAGTTTCACTGGCACTACTTTTGCCTATTTAATAAGGTCCATTTATCAAAAAAACAAGCGTTTTTGCAAGACACCACTGAGACCTTGCTTATAGACAACAACTGATAACTGCCAACACTACTTCCTCTACGCTTACCAACACTAAATAAACATACTTGGCGGAATTTGGAATATTTTTGTTTATGTACTTACAGCCCACTTTTTGCTTAAAACTATATAAGACATATAAAAACATCACTAGCAAACAATTTCATGTTATCAGACACTTTGAATTCCGTCTTCAGGACACGTGGAACCGCATTTGGGACAGCCGAAACTGGCATCCGTTAAAATATTGGCACTCAAACAATAATAACAATAGATATGACCACAGCCCATGTGGTGAGGCAATGTGGGTCGCTCGCCGCAGAAGGTGCAGGTGGTGCTTAAGGTCATCTGTGGGGCCAGAAGCGCAACTCCATCTCCGCCAGTCTCCAGCCGACGTCCAGAAATCGCCTGTCCAAAGGTCCAGGATTTCAGTACCCTTTGCAGCTTACGGAAATTGATGATGGGCAGCACCAGACCCAGAATTTCCTGTAGAATTAGGTCAATTATAAAGGAATACTAGTTTATCTAAACAACACCCACCATAAATCCTCCCCAGAGCAACTCCCTCGTCAGGTACTTGTAGCCTATGTCCCTCCTCTGATTGTTCCGCAGACTAATGTAGTCCAATCCTAAAAGATAGTCCACCAGAGTGGGTTTTCGGCCTGTCTTCAGGAACCGAAAGTAGTTGAGGATGTTAAGGACCAGGGCACTGTTTTCCGCCCAAGATATAGCTTGGCTGAACCATTCCACGCGCCTAGTCAGACGCCTTTCCTCCCAGCTCTTCACATAGCCCGGCAGAACAGTCAGGACAAAGTGAAGCACCAACCTGGACACGGTAAGCTTTTCAGCATCGTAGGCCAGGACCAGGAGCTGCTGGCCAAAAGTGGAGCATCGCTTGCCAACGGAACCGAACCAAATGGCGGACTGTATGAGCAAATCCAACTCTGGCTGGATTTTGATGAACAAAACAGGCTACGGAATACAGAAGTTATAAGTGGGCCAGGAAAAGCGTTATCTATATACTCACTGATATAGCCTGCAAGTTTTCCAGCAGATTATCGCGTATCAGGCGGGCAATGTCCTTGTTCAAATAAATGGCATCTATCTACAAGGTAAACATGTCTCAAAACGTTGCCTTTAATTCATCAATACCCCCATTTTCAGCTCACCTGATTTACACGTGGTACATATTTGTTTTTCTCCAGCATTTTGTTTATATTTCTGCCTTTGGCTAACTGACCATTGATATATTTTTATTTATCTGTACTCTGCCCTTTCTTATCAACAGTCCATTAGAGGTGTCAATTACAATGGTAATGAACTATCTATTATCGATAAGTTTAGTAGTGCTGGTTAACTAAAAGTAAAAAAGCCGCGCCAATTTGAATTTGCAGAAAATAATGGTATTTGTTTTTTTAATTTTGCTGTAATAAAAAATAGCTAATATATCAATTACCACCAAAACTGAAAGCAACTCCTGCTTTTTTGGATAGATAGGAAGCATTTTCAAGCAGCTTTTCAACGACGACTTATGTAATTTCGATGAAAACAAAAGCAAAACGAAACGCAGAACTCGTTTGAGATCCGGAAAATGTGTCTAACGATGTCTTGTAATTTGTGGTAATTTTGCCTTTTGCCGTTTACGTCTGGAAACGCATAAACCAGTTGGTCAGTTGAGACATTTGGCCATTTGTTTGAGGAGTACAAGTTCAATGATTGGCCCCGACTGCAAATACTATGGCCAGTGGTCGGGTGAGTTTTGATTTTATAAAAAGTACATAATTCACACTTTATTACACAATTTACAATTCGTTCGTTCGATCTCTGAAGACATAAGTATACATTACAGATTATAGATTAAAGATTACAGTTTACAGTTTACAGTCGAGTGATTGGTAAATTCGTCTGAGCAGGTAGTGACTAAGGATCAGTTGAAAGCGGAAGATATACGTAGAAGTTATTCGCTATCACAGAATAAAATACAATATACAAAATGTTAATGAAATGGTCATTGCCACGTTGGGGGAAGAGTCCCCGCTTGTGGTCATTGGCCCGGGTGTGTGCTGATGTCCTAATTACGAGATATGAAGCTGATTCCATGGTCGATCGATGTGGATGCTTGTCCCTCCTCCTAATCCTCATAATCCTCCTCCTACCTTCGGCTGATGAGCAATTTGGCTAACTCTAGTGCGCAGTGCTTCCTGGCTTAGTAGTGGTGCTCGTGCAGCTCCTCGTGGTGGTGCACTGGGGCAGTCTTGTGGACCACGGCGTTGAAGCCATTGTGCTTGTCGGCGGTGTAGTCCACTGTGCGGATGGAACCATCGGGCTCCACCAGCGAGTACTGTCCCTTGACGGTGTCACCATCGCGGGTCTCGTGCTGCGACTTCACGTCTCCGGTGTGGAAGTCATTCACTCCGTACTTGAAGGCGTACTTGGGAGGGGCCTGGGAAAAATTATTATTCAAATATACATTCATAAGTAACAAAATTAATTGACCACACAGTTAAAAAAGTCAAAAAACCCTAGTAATAATCACTGTATCAGCTATTATCCTTTTCTTTAAATTTATAAAATGAGGGAGGTTATATAAAAATAGTTCAGAGATTTTGGAATTTCTGATATACAAATAACTTTTTAAAAAATGATCTTGATCTCCTCTAGTTAATAATTTGTTATTTATAAACCTGTTTTTAATATTCCATGATTTTTGCAATTATTATTAAAAAATTCCGTTCTAATTTAAACAAAATGGAATTAAAACATATGGAAAATGGGAGCTGGTGTAATTTAAAGGGTCATATGCAATTACCAAACCCTTTCTGTCTCAACTCACATAGTAGTCCACATGTTCGTCATGCCCGTGGGACTCGTGGGTCTCGTAGTGGGGCTCGGCGTGGTCGTGGTGTTCGTGGTGCTCGTGGTGTCCGTGCTCCTCGCCCAGCGAGATGCGCTCGATCTGGTGGTGTCCGTACTCGTGGATGGGCTCCGGCTCGTGGTGGGCCAGGTGCTCGTAGCCGTGGCTCTCCTCGTAATACTGGTGCTCCAGCGGATAGGCGAGGCTCAGGCACAGGGCCGAGGCGAAGATCAGATACTGGAAGATTAGATATTCAGGTGCATAATTAACGACTAATTGTTTCCGTTGGCGGAGTGGAGTTGCAAGTACTGCAATTAGCGGTGGCCAAACTGAGTGGGTGGAAAAGTGAGGGGAAGCCACTGTCGCTATCCATGCAATGTTTGCTTTTAAGGTGAATTTCTGAGGTTTCCCTCTGGCTGGTCTTAATGAATTCATAATCAAGTGTTTGCTGTGGTCGACTGACGCTTTTGTTTGGATTTACGTTTAGTGGTTTCTTTGTGGCTTAACTCCAGACTGTAAATATGTTGGTTAACTCAGAGGGAGTTTATTAAACTAACTTAATTATTTATGCTGTTTCTTTTTCTGGTTACTATAAAAAATTAGTTTAATGTGGGGTTTTTGTCATTAGTTTCTTGTGGTTTCCTTTAAACTCGTAAATACATTTTATTTTGGTTTAAGCTAAATTGTCTTGGGATGGATGTTAAAAGAGCATATTCTTCCTGAAACGTAGGTCCTGTTTACTATAAGAATTGATAGTTAGGAAGTTATATTTATATTTTAAATTTCCTGTGATGAACTCTCAAAATAAGATTCCTTATATTGGTATCTAAATATTGTGTGTAATACAAAAAAAAATAACTTTAAAACCAACCTATCCTGGTCTTAAATCTACATTTTTTGACTATTTGTTTTTTAGGTTCATATTTGACCTTTGATTTATTTGTATTTTAATTATAAATAATTTTAAATCAAAAAATAACATCACTTCCTGAAACTAGTATCCTTTTGAACGCAACACATTTTCAACTTCAGTCAGCACTAATTCACTTGGCTTTAAACAGCACTTGATCCACTGATCATTTTGGTATGTCCTTCAGGACATGTTTGTTGTACAGTTCATTATTCACACTCGATATCCTTAATCCTTGGCTGCTGCTGCTCACCTTGAAGGCCATTTTAGTGTGAATTTGAGTTCGCGTTTGGTTTGGAGATCAGTAGATGACTGCACGCAACGACTTTTCACCACTGAATAATGTAGTTGCAACGAAAATGAGCTGCTTTTATATGGTTAGGAAGAAAGTGAATCGGCTGGCAGCGGTGGATTGGTGGTTCGGTGGATTGGTGGATCGGTGGCTCAAGCAGCGGTGGTTCGAGCGGCGAAGTTGCCGTCTTTGGTGAGCGGAGCGTCTCTTGAGCCAAATGTAAAGCAGTTCAGATGTGGTTGTTGTTTGCCATTGTTTGGGGTTCGATGTTTGCTGCCCCGCTACACTCAGATTAAAAATTCTCGTGATAATCAGAAAACTGATTTAAAATTAATCAAGCAAACATACGAATAACATAGAAGTATTGTAATATAAAGCTTATCAAAATATTGTATAAAATAAAAGGTAAAAAAAGGGGTCCAAATATAATACATTTTTATACCAGTGATACAAAGCAATTTCTCAAAATTATGATTTGAATTTAAGTATCAACAATAATAGTAATTTCTTTTCAAAAAATAACTTAAATATTAAATTTCATACCAATATAAAATGTAGAAAAAAAAGGTAACCATTTTCAAATATCATTTCAAAGTATACTTCAAATGTAAATGTTTACTTAATTTATCTAAGGCAAAGATAAAACTTAAGCCATTTCAATTAGAACCGATAATATACATGGTAAATTTGTTAATTTTTGTTCAGTAATTAAGGGCTGATTTATTTGCCTATCTTTTGGCGAGTGTTTGTCGTCCAGGACTCTATGTGTGTCATTAGTGACGCATGCGATGGCGTTGATAAGTCGTCATCGCCGTGGCTGATCGGCAGTTGCAACATTGCAACAACCTCGCTCCGGAGTTTGTTAATAATATTTCGGTATTTTCGCTTTGGCCAACCACCTAACTACCAGCCTATTTGCATTGCAGGTCTGCATTGTTGCTCCGCAAGTACGCTCATTAAACGCAGTTTGACCCAAATTTCGGCCTGATGATTTTCGTGGCTGCTGCTGGGCAACATTTTCGGGGCAACCTTCTATTGCGGTTAGCCTCCGGTTAATCGTTAACTTTTAATGCGCTGATTTTCGTAAACCGTAAATGGTAAGTTGTAAATTGAATTGGGGCTGCAGGCTGGCTCGATAAAGAGCAATTTTGTAATATTTAATTGTTCGCCATAAAACAGAAGTTTTGTTCACAGCTCTCTTGGTGGTACCACATACTTGGGCCGCCCTGTACTTCAAGTCAAAGTTAAGTGCCACAATTGCGCTAAGAAAAAATTAACCAATGTTTTTGGGTCTTTCGTCAATTTGCGATTGGTTGGCGCTAATTAGGCAGCCAGGCGTTGAATTTTGTGATTTGAGGGTTCTCTCCTCGAAGGTTGAGACAATCGTTTTGTTAAATGCATTTAAGTGACACATAGGTGCTTTGTTTTATGGCTTAGTTGGTCACCCAAATTGTTGTAATTGGTATATGGGATGTATTAGAACATAAATACGATATAGGTACATACTTTCATTTGCTTTTTAGAAATTAATTTTAGGAATTAGTTAATAATCAATTTAGTAAAATATTTGTATTCTTCATTATAAAATGGTTTCAAATCCTTAAGCACTTAATTATAATGTGATTGTACATCCATTTAGATGGAATGCAACACTTAAATAAATAGGAAGATCAAATCAGTTCATAAATAAATTTGAACTGAATAATTCTTTTAATTTTCTCACTGCTCTAAGGAAATTTCTTAAAATTTTCTCATCAATTTTCTCATACATTCAAATTCCTGCCCATCATCCACTCGTTCAACTCATTCCCATCTCGATAATCTAGTTCATCGGCAAGTTGTTTGCCAATAACTCGAGAAATTACTTGGATTTGGACTTCGTGCAGTTTGCATAGCCCCGATTTGCAGGCTCTCCAGCAGATCTGCCGTGGATCCAATCCCATCGAGTCCAAGCGAAACGAATGACATCGGGTTGATGTACTCTTAAATACAGGCACAATTTTAATTGCTATATTATGGTCGACAACGTTTGACAACATTGCAAGACATGACAAACCGAAAAGCAGCGGATAAAAACAAACATTTTTTCACGATGATTACCAATCCAATCCGCCACAAATCCCGAAGCAGCCTAAGAAATATGGCAAATAAAATAAATGCTTAATTATGGCCCACGATTTGGGGTCTACGTCTCCTGGTTTTTTTCTCTGAGCAGAGCGTTGGCGTCGCGGCAGGTGGAAAAAATAACGCAAGTCAACATGCCACACTCGACACACGGCTGAAGTCGCCTTTGTGGCATTCCAAATGCACATACAGTCACGTACTACAGTGTATCTGCCGCAGCATTTGGCAATTCGACGAAGCGCCGCAAATTGAACAGCAATGCGTTACAATTTTCAGCTCTGATTTGGTGGCATTTCCAAGGAGGGTACATTCAATATGGCTGAAAGCGGAGGGATTTTACTTCGTTTTTCCAAACCACTTTTCATGATAAAAATATCCCAAAACAATATTATAAAAACTGGCGACCTGAAGTCCTTAGCAGCTATAGCTCTGAGTTTTAACTATAATATATAGTAATGTATAAATAAATAGATAAATAAATATGTACTTTTTTGGGTCTGCTTTTTTGGATTATTCCAAAAGCATTTCAAAAACACAAAAAACAAAATTTTTTTTAAATATATTAATCATATTCTTATATGAAACCCATGCAGATAAAGTTAGTTTCTAATTCTTATTGCATCCATTTTTCATGTTACAGTAGAAAGTTTGTGTTGAGAAAGTAACTACCAAAATTATGCCAAATCGAACCTTTTTGAAAGAAAGCAACGCCAATCAATCGAAATATATTTTATAATATAATGCTTTCATTTAGGTTTTCTTTGCCTGGTGATTAAATACACCAAAAAAGGGTTGTATATTGAAGGCTTGTTTCACGTTTACACTACTTGATTAATTAAGTTGTCCTGTGACGCCTTGGACCTCTCCTGGGACGCATTGGTTTGGCGTCCACTAAGGTTGCCGTGCCGAGAAGAGCGATCACCACCAGCCAGATCAGCTTCATGATGAAGAATGTTCATTCTTTCTAAATACCAAAATAGTTAGAAAGGCATAAAACCCATGGAAATAGATTTGCAATGCATTCTTAAGCTAATGCCATAGCTGTGAAATATCAAAGTAAATTAAAAGGCCATTGTGAATATCGTCAGTAATAAGGGTATCCGATTTTTGTTATATTTTTTTTCGCCATTTCCAACATTTTTGTGTGATATGCAACATTTTTCGGTTGATTTCTCTGCTAGTTATCGCCTCGAAAATTTTTATTTTTTGTACGCTGTCGTAGTAATTGCACACAAAATTTTCATTTTGTTTGCTCTCTTGTCGTCCCCTCTCGCTCCCACTCGTTGCCCAGCAGGTGTTAATTTTTTGGTTAGCTATAGTTTAGATTCGCAGCTTTTTTTTGTTTGGTCTGGCTAAAATGTGGCTTACTTTTACCCAGAGCGCTTGGCCACTCAATCAATTCCCACTCACAAAAGTGAAAAGTCAAAACGCGACTCGAATGCGGCGTTTTTGCTGCTTTTGTTGGTTATGCGCATGCGCGCATGTAACAGCTGCAGGTAAGCAGACCAAGCAATTACCTACTAACTCATATTTACCGTTAGACATTTAGTACATGCATTAACTTGGCCAAAAGTAGTTGAAGTGCTCCTGCCGCCGCGGCTAAAGCAAAAGCTATAGCTATTTCTGGTGTACATTTGCGACATCGGCCAAACAAAATAAAACAAAGCAATGGAAAAAGTTTGGTACACTGGGAAAAACTAGTATCTTTAATTATGGTCGTTTGGGTGTTACATTTCACTTAGTATCAAAATGTATACCTTATTCGAAAATTTTAAAATTTCTTTCAACGTTCTTTAGGAATGGAAAAAATTAAATAATTTAGTTTCTCCGCCAAGAAAATCTGTAAGATCAATTGAGCATTTTTGTTAAATTTAGATATGCAAAAAAAAACTTTAATTTTAAATATATAAAATATAATATTATTATCCAATATCCAATAAAATATTGTATTAAATTATTATCCAATATCCAGTTACAACAAATTAAAGTATAGGTTCATTTGAAAAATCGTAAATTTTAAAGAAAGATTCCCTTCTTAATTTAAATTAATTTTTTCATATTGATTTATTTCTTATTGTTAAAATGAAGTGTAAAGTTTTACTTTTGATATTTTGTTTTATGTGTACCCTAAGCGATCGTTTGGCAAACACACAACAACAATGGCTGGCAGTCAACAGCAAACTTTGACTTTTGTCTCATTGTTTCATATTTATTAGAGTCCCGGCTGAAACCTTACAACTCAACAAGCCAGCGACGCGTGCATCTTTCCAAAATTGTTGTGGGAATTGGCTTTGGCTTTAGTTTTTGGCTACTGTGGCTGCCGATGTTGCTCTTTTAATGGTTATCCTTTTATGCGGCTTGAGCTTACGCAACCAAAACGGCAGCGATTGTGGCTGCGGTAATTGAAAATTACATTCGAGGAGCTCCGCTGTGCCAGGGCATCCCAACGCATTCAATTACCGGCAATTTATATTAATTTATTTGAAGGCAATGCGAATAAAACACGATTTTTCTGGAGACTGGTTAACTCGGAGTCCATGTGAAATGTGCGTGTGTGTGGCTAAAAGGAAAATAAGAGAGAAATATACGGCTAATTGCCATCGCACATTGAACTTTAAAGTGAATCAGCAACTGGACAGCAAATTTTTCTCTGTTCGATAGTTTGCTTCAATCCCACAGTGCGTATGGGCAATAAAATATACCTTTAAGTAGCCATCATCACCTGCCCATTTGACACTTTGTCGGGAAATTATTAGGTGTAAAATGCAACGATCATACTTTGCTTACGATAAATATGTTTAAGGAGAGATTATGGACTTTGAATTTGCGTAATCTATTAGCTTAAGTGAAACTGCAAACAGATTTTTCTGCCTTTAACAAGTTTTTAGTTTCTGTTATACAAAAGTAACAAGGAATGGATAGTTTTTCTTTATAATAGTATTTTTTGTGAGATGCTAGATTTATCAAGAATTCGGTAAATAATGATAAATAAATGAATAACGATTTAAATAAATGAAAAGTGCACTGGTTTGATTAATTTATAACTTGTAAACATACTCGCTTATATATATGTTTTCACTTATTAATTAATAATTTAAATAATTTTTATTGTTGCTATTTTATTTCATAGGCTTGCACTTAAACGAATTTTTATTACAAATCATTAAAAATGTTACGAAAAATAGTTTTAACACCAATCAATATTACCCATATTATTGCACAGTTTATACATTGGATACAATTTTGTATTCAATTGTTGAGAAAATAATTTGTCTAAAGTGATATTTAAATGTCTTGTTATCCTCAGAAAATGCAGGATAACCCCTGTCAGCTTCGATTTGCTATTCTTCATTATTCAATCGCATCCAACCGTCATCGCCGTCAGCTTTGATTATGCATTCCGTGATATAACTGGCGTAGAGGCATAATCTGAAAAGCCTTTCAACGGTAACAAATAATATTCACTTGGATTCGGTGCGGTAACAGCCGGAGCAGCAATTGCACCCGCCCCTTCTGGTTCCTCCACCCCCCGCCCCGCGACTTCTGCCGCGGGTCTTGAGCTTCGGCCGCTGCCGTTGACATAATAAATAGCTGAAGAAATTAATTAAATGCAAATTGCCAAATCACATAATCATATCATATGGCAGCTGGGACAGTCGGGCGACACTCAAACTCTCGAGTGTGGAGCAAGACGCGGAAAAAGGCGAGAGTGCCAAGTCTTGTTGGTGGCGCGGCAATTTTCCAATTGATTTTCTCGCAGCTCTAATTGTATCATTGACTAATCAAAATATTTACACTTTGCATTCACAGGTCCGCCGTGGTAATTGTTAAATATTTTAATTTCACTCCGAATTGCCACTGCCATTTTCACACATCGAGTGGGGTTGAGGAAATCGGGCGGCGCGTTTTTCCCATGACGACGACTTCCTTGGACTTTCAGTTTCTTTGCCCGCCCAAAACGAGTGTCTCATTAATTAGGCGCCAATTGAATGTGTCTCCGTCTCTGTCGCTCCGCCACTTCCTACAGTGAAAAGCGCTTTTCCCGAGGGGGAGGAAGAAGGGGTAGTACCAGCGCAAAGTAGGTTAAATACTTTTACCTTATTCCGTAGCCGGCTAATTGCTGTCATTTTTGGCGTAGTTTTGTTTTTCCTGCTGCTGCAGCCGATGCTGCCACAGAGATGCAACAAATTAACAACTTTTCAAGCTCGCCCGAACCGGATATTATGAAATTTTCCAGTTTCGAGTGCCATATCGAGATTATAAAATGGCTAAATTTATGCAACCGCCTGGGGGCCTGGATGGCAGGACCAAGAAAACCGGCTGCAGATCCCCTAATCAAGTTGTCAGCTCGGACATACATATTTCTGCTTTGCCCCGCTCAAATATATTCCGTTTTATTAGTTTATTTATGAGCTTGCCACCGCAGGGACAACGCCCGCGATCTCAATGTTAAGTTGAAGTGCAAGTGCCACTTGAACGGGGCCCACTGTGCGGCTACGTAATGCAGACATTACGTATACGTCACGCCCTATCCGAAAGGAGAAAATCATAAACACTTTCACAGAGCCCCTCAATGGGGTGGTGCTGGTGCAAGCCGATTGCCTCACCAATTAGTTAATGACCGAATATGTATGCCAAAAAGAAAGAAACCCAGCGCAATCAATTGGAATGGAATGGACTGAACGTAGCAGTAGTTTAATTAGCATACAATAAAACAGGCAAATGCATATGAAAGTTACCAGAGTTGGGATAAATAAATCAAATAGGAACTGAGCAATTAACCAAGAAATAAATCACATACATTAGCAATGCTGCTCGCCAAGAACACGACCCAAATTAATTAGATGCCATATCCATTTTCAACTAACTTTTGCCTTTCCCAATCGAAAGAGATTATATTCCAGCCATCCCAGTCAAGCATAAAAGTGAATGTACAAGATACAAATTTGTGGGCAATAAATGCACACAGTAAATAAAAATCAAACTATACAAATGTAAAATGCTAAAACACAACAAATACAATTTAAAGTGTTTGGAGTGGTTTTGGCAACAAAGTTTCGCAATCTACGGCAAGTGTGCGTGCCACAAATAAAAGCTGCAGCAATAATGGAATAATAAATCAGCATAAATATGCATCAGAGAAATGGCGTGGAAAGCGAAAACGATAACAGAAATCAAAATGCAATTCGCATTTCCTTCCGTTTTTTTCGAGTTTACCTGCGCTTGGCTTTTGCCATGGAAACGCATTTGGAAATTTGGAGCAATTAAATAGCAAAACATTTACACTTGACTGTCTTCCTGAATGTTGGGAATATCCATCTGAAAGCGAACCCAATCCCACCCGTTGTGGGCGACACGAATTAACCTACAATGTAGGAAAAAAAAGGTAACTTCAAAGGCGGCAAACGATTTAGATTGGGATCAAGACGCCGAGACTCTGGCTGCTCTATTTTGGCACCCGGAAGATATTTCAAAAATGCCACAGATACCCGCCGCTTTTTATTGCAGCCTCAATTATGGTGTTCAGTGTGTGGAATTCTTTTGTTGCTCTTTTTGTCTTTATGGCCAAATTGTGATCACTTTTTTATGGCCAAGTTATTGGCAAAAGACGTGGCGAATGAAAAGTGAAAGAAGCTTACCTAATAACAAGTGCAGGGTTTGCTCTTGGCTCAACTAATATTAGTTACGTGCACAGAAACAAAACAACTCTAACTATTTATATTGTAAGTAAAAGGAGAATAAATTATTTCTACACAAAATAAACCATTCAAATTGCATCTTAAGTCGTAAACTGCACCCTGTACTTAAATAACCTGTAAAAAGGTTCCATTAAACATTATTAACTAGACAAACTTGCACAAAAAAAAAAATAGTTTTAATATTGATCGCGATAAAATTTGGACTTTATAAAAATTTTTGTTTTTTAAAAATTGTTTTTTTTAAGTCAGAATAGTCAAAAATAGTTTTGTCTAATTCAGAAATTATAAATTAAATTAAACTGTGTTACACAATTTCACCTAATTTGATTGTTTCTTTAAATTTTATATTAAAAAAAAAGTATTTTATTAAAAAATGATATCTTGCTAAAAAGGAATCTTATGGTTACCTTAAAAGAAATTTGAAACAATATATATTAATATTATTATATATATTATGGATGGCAATGTTTTACATTAAAAACTTTAAGCACTTGTTTTTCTAAATTTTTATTTATTTATTTTATTTTTTTTACAAAGAAAAATTAAACAAAATCTTTTCTCTGTGTAAATCGGGTATCAGACTCTTAAGCACTTACTTTGGCCTGCTGAAACGTTTTCGGACATTTACTCTAGCCTGGCCTCACTTAGGTTGGTCAGGAACTCACGGCGATTTGCCTCAATGGTTTGCTGCTGCCAATTTGCATGGCTTAGACTGCTATTGACCAGTGGCCTGGGCGGTGGTAAGCTGGCCTCCGTCTCCTCGACTTGAGGAGCCTTCTCGGCATTGTTGGTTTTGGCCCGATTGTATTTTGAACTTTCGGTTTTCTTGGGTTCTGCAGTGGCGGTGGCCTTGGTGGTTTCTTGATCCGCTGGCAGTTGAAAGGGAACTATGGGAAACTGCTGGGGTATTAAATTCTGAACCGGACGACCCTTAGCTGGGGCCTTGCCCTGGATCACATCGAGCACCGCTGGGTTCAGTACATCCTTGGTCACATCGATGTGGTTCAGATCGAGTCCGTGCTGCTCCTTCAGCTGTTGGGCCACATGATCTGCCACATGGGAGACGCTCACGTTGAGATGGCTCTTGGGATCCCAGGTGACATTCGAAGGGGATTCTGATTTGCTTCTTTCCACAAGGATATCGGGTCTTTCGGTGGGCCAAACTGCTTTCACCCTCTCATCCCCCGCTTTGAAAATTTCAATCTGGGCAGAGTAGCCCCCATCCTCATCCGCTTTATATTTGGTGACCTCAATGCGTCCATCGGGCCTTGCATACCCGTAGCTTCCCTGGATGATGCCATTCACGAAGCGTTTTTCTTCTCGGAACTGAGAGTTCTGTGTCTGCGGATCATCGACCTCGTAGCCAAAGGCATATGTGTTGGGACCTATTAATAATTTGAAGCATTTATTGTGAGGTCTAATCTATTACACAATATTTATTATGGCCTACCGTAGGGCTCGTGCAGAAAATAGTTGCTAACTTTGGCTTTTACACTCTCATTTTTAGCAGCTGTCTTGTTATATACTTCACTTTGTGCTGGCAATGGACTGGCCAACGCGGCGTATACTTTTGTGGCAAATACGAAAATCAGCTGATAAAGAAAAATGGATAGCATACATTAAGGCGTTAAGTTGGTTTAGTGGAAAGCTTATTAAGCTGAAATCGGGAAAACTATGTGCTGTTTATGCAAGGCTCTAAAAAAATATGGAAATAAGTACATTACAAGTATAAAAGTGTTGGTTTTAATTTGAAGAAAAATTGTATTTCTTTTCAATTTTACCAAAACATTTGACTTTATTGATAAAACTCGGTATTTAGATAAAAGTTACAGAAATTTTAAGAACTAAAATATTAATATTATCATTGTTCTTACAAAAGTAATTTATAATTCTTTGAAAAATGGGTTCGACAGAGTAATTTCTGTATTTCCTATTCAGATAAAAATTTGCTCGACCAATATTACCTCAAAAAATAATTGTAATCGACCAAACAAAATGTTTTAAAGTAATAAATGTTTATATTTTTTTTCTTAAAGGCTTAAAAGTATTTCTGCAATTTCAACTAAATTCAAATTTGCTGAAAATGATATATTACTGTATACTAAATTTTGTTTCGCAACTGTTAATAAAATAAAGCAATATATTAATTATGTAACTAAAAACCTGTTGACCTAATCCTATACACGAATGACCATAAATATATGACTTTATGAGCACTCTTTATGGGCTCTGTTAATAAAAATTGCTCAACATTTCGAACAACAATAAGAATTTATTGTTAACTTCATCAGCGGTAACTCAGAAAACTAAACTCAATTTTTAAATTGAACTCAAAGATTGTGTTTATGTCTTTATTAACAAGTAATAAGAAGTTTATGTTTGTTTATTTCAACTCTAAAATGAACGTACTATTAATCATTTTTTTTGCACATTCCTAAGTAGTGAACTAATGTGAAATACATAATTATTTTGTGAGTTGTCACAAAATACAAAAACTTACAAAGAACCAAAACAAATTTGACGAACTTCCCATGCTGAATTTTAATTATTTTCGCCTATAGATAAATATAATTTATTTCGATTTCAATTTTTTGACCGGCGAGTTGTGCGTACTTTCGATGGCGAAGACAGACTGAAGAACCGAGAACCCAAAACGAAATGGAGAGGCCCTCGAAGTGGGTGCGAATCCCCATTAGGAATACTTTGCCGGAATGCTAAGTAATTTTCTTATTCGTTTCTGCTTGGCATAATAAGAGTAATAATTATTACTCCTTCATGCTAATATTCGCGACCTTCGCTGTAAAACCAACCCAAGAAAGAGGAGTACATCTCATACATTTTTTTTAAATATGATTTTTTATTTATTTTTTTTTTTAGTTTTTTTCTTTCTATTTCCATAATAACGTTTTCGCATTTCGTTTGCTGTTTGCTGCTGTTTCTGTTGTTGTTTTTGCATACAAATGTTTATGGGGAATATATAGTACATAAGTGTAAGACTCAAATGAACTTTTGAGACGTGAGAGACATGTGAGAGTTTGTTTTCTTTCGTTTATCCTCCTAATTGAGTACAATGTTTATTTTTTTGTTGTATTTTTTTCGTTTGTTTTTCACTTAGTTTTGTTTGTTTATAATTAAGCTGCATAATTGTTTATAAATACACAATAAATGTGAAAAATACTAAATGCAAAAAATGAAACTAGATACAAAGGTGTCAGACTGAGAGTGAGTAAGTGAGTGAGAGATATCAAAATACAGAGAGAGAGAGGGAGAGAGATAGTGAGTCGGTGAGTGAGTGAGACGGGTGAGAGTGGAAGAAAGAGGCGGAATGAGGTCACGAGGATAACAGCGGGGAATTCTAGAGTACTAGCTACTAATGCACAATGACCGGCCCATCACCGGCAATCTTTTGCCCTCCAAGGACATTTTTCTACAGAGCCTGTCAAACTGTCCGCACATCCCGCAATGGCACACAAGTTAGCACGCCCACCTTTGCTCTCAATGGGGCGTGGCAGTTTAAGGATGCTGGCCACAGTTTGACAGCCATCACAAAGGCTTCTAAAGAAGATAGTGTAGAAAGGGAAAATATAGCATAGAGCAGAGACAGTCATAAATATATTACAAAAGTATAGCTTGGGAAACTGAAAGAACTAGGCATATAAATAAAGTTCTATGTACAGAGTGAGGAGATGTCCTAAGAGAAGCCTTTGTGTGATCCTTGAAGGGGATTTCTCGGGGCACTGCGTGCAAAAGTTTGCCAGGAAAATCGGTTCTGGTTAATCGTACATACATATATACAAACAAATATATAACATATATAGTGTGGAAAAACTTGTCACTCCAATTCCGATTGTTATCCTTAATGGTTTCATCATCCGCGATCAAGTCATTCCGAGTGCCAAGTCGATATGAATTTCTGTTCTGTTTTCTGTTCGTTTTTCCTTCGTCCTTATGCCATGCCAGGATCAGCCGGGTGCCGGGACACGCCCCCTAAGGCGGTCCCGTGTCTACTAAACTCTTAGCTACGCTTACTTACAAAAGAATTTTCATTTTCGTTGTTTGCTTGTTTGTTTGATTATTTTTTTTTTGTGGTTTTTTGTTCGTTTTTCTGTTTGTTGTTCCTATGATGTTTCTGTTGTGGTTGTGGATGGATGAGAGCGAGAGGGAGAGCACCTTGGTGACTAAGTCAGGCTCCCGCTTTTTAGTAGTGGTGCAGCAGGGGGGCGTGGGCCAGCACGGGGGCGGCATGCAGCACGGGCGCATGGGCGATGATCTTGGTGGGGGCGGTCTTGTGGACCACGGCATTGAATCCGTTGTGATCGTCGGCGGTGTAGTCAACGGTGCGCACCGAACCATCGGGCTCCACCAGGGAGTACTGGCCTGGATGGGGATAAAAACGTAGGTGGCTCAATAAATTATAAAAGTTACTTAGTTCAATTTTTCTGATCAAAAAATAAATAACATGCTTTGCATTAAATTTAAATATCTGTTAAGAAAGTGTTTTGTTTATTACCAACAAAAATGCATGGTTTTTTTTATCAATTTCAGAAAAATATACTTTTTTTGCTGAACGTAAAGTGTTAATTTACTTTGCTGATAAACTTAACACTGTTGGGTGGTTTTTACGCATTTAAATGTCTTAATTATGATTAAATTTGGACTGCAAAATATGTGTTTTAAGGAATTAAAATAAACCTCATGTTTTGGAAACTAGTATTTTCTTTTTTTATAAAATATTTATCATGCAGTTTATCAATGTTGTTGCCTACATATTTTAATAAGGATCATCAAAATAGGAACTGATTATTAAACCTTTAACTGAAATAAATTTACCTAAACGATTAAAAAACACTTTAAATTTCAAAACTAAAATAGATTAAATATTTTTTTGAAGTCAAGTTCGTGGCCTAAGTCTTTTATTTGGAAGTAACAACGAGGGATATTAATAAACCATCTAAATTGAACCAAAGCGTGAAATCAAAACCAACTAGCATTTATTAAAGTTCGTTGCCTAAGTCTTTTTGTGTCAGTATAAATATTCAAGTTCGTTGCCTAAGTCTTTTGTATTAATTTTCAAAATGACATTTCTTAAGTTTTTTGCCTAAGTCTTTTGTTTTATCTAGATGAATTTTAGCATTTTTCAGAATTTTGAAAACAGTTAGAACCCTGATTTAATTGTGTAATTGTTAACTGCGTTTGCAGTTCTCACTCACCCTTCACAACATCACCGTCGCGCTCCTCGGCCTGCGATTTGATGTCGCCGGTGTGGGGATCCTTGATGCCGTAGTTGAAGGAGTACTTGGGATAGGCCACCGGCTCGGCGTGGACGGCATGGACGGCGTGCGACAGGATGGGCGCGTGGTGCACCAGCGCAGGGGCGTAGTGGCCCAGCTCGATGGGGACGGCCTGAGCGGCGGCGAACAGCAGAGCGATGGCAACAAAGTACTAGAGAGTGGAGAAGTGAGCATCAGGATCGGGGATTCACTAGGGTTTTATCTATTTTTTTTGTTCTGACTGGGGACAGGGTTCGAGCACACACCTTCATTTTGTTTAGCGAGCACGAACGGCAAACGGACACACGGCGCGAACACGTAGCAAAAAAGGACGAAGGACGACTGGACGCTGATTCCTGTGGAGGAGGCTGTGAGGAGATCTCGAGTGACTGAGGACCGTTAAGAGCACGAAATCGTTAGCTGAACTGATGTCTGCAACGATGACCAAAAGTATTTATATACGCGTCGGCCGACGACGACTGCAACCCGACCAAAGACGACTGGAACGAACGAGCGATGGCGGTGCAGCTGTGCCACCGGTGGGTTGGGGTGGGTGGTGGTGGTGGTGGTGCTGCTGCTGCTGCTGTTGCTGGTTGCCAGATGCCAGTGGTACCCTACCACGCATGTGCCACAACAATGATCCCCAGTTCCCCCCCACCAAACTCTTCGCATAGGTGCGGCATTTGTTTCTCGGCCTGAGAAGGCGTTCGGTGACTTAGTTTCACTGACTGTTTGTCTGCCTCTCGCTGCAATTGAAAGCGACACTTTTGCATTGGCTCTAATGATCTAAGCTCTTTATTTATTGATTTGCCGACATAATTGCGATCGCTTCGGGTCCGCACAACTTGGCCGAAAAATATTATTACCATATATGTGGCAATCAAACGGGGCGTCGTTATAATTACCACGCCAACACCAACGAGACACGATGAAAAAAAAAGCCAACTTGCGTAGTTTTCATGCCACGCAATTTGTTGCCTGACATTTTTGCGCCCGATTTCAGTTTGTTATTTTCATGATCTGGAGAACTGTAAGCGGAATTTCGATGTTGGCAAATAGTTTGACTTGGCTAAGCAAATCTAACGCGGCTCAATCAATTTTTTCCGAAGCATGTGACAAATGTTTGTCGCCAAGATTGAGAGAAATGATAAATATTAGATGGAATTTGGATAAGAGATTGTTGGGGAATGCATATAAATATTGTAGCAAAAATGGTTTCGAAATATTTTTTTAAAAGTTTTTACGGCATTTTTATTCATGAGAATTTGTCGGCAAAGTTTTAAGAAATATTAAATATGGAATGGTATTTACTTAGAGAGCTTGTTAGTAAATGCAGAATATGGTCGATTTATATTTTATCATAACAACTGCCTTCAGACAGCAGCAAGAAATTATGTATTTGCTAACACTGCAGTTTTATTTATAAAACTAAATGAAGAGTTCTCAGAATAAAATTTAAGGTAAAGATTTACATGATAAAAATTGTGATGGATTGTTTTTGAATTAAATGAAATACTTAATTTATCTTTCATATCCATTTGTAAAGAATTTTCAGTACTATATTTTTACCGTATTTAATAAGAAATCTGTAAAGAAGTTCCCTAAATTGTTCAAAGGTTTTTCATACTGCACTTTTCAACATAATTGAACTGAAGAGTATAGCTTCAAGTCCTCCTCAACTTCTCATTCCATGCTTGCTTAACTTTTAAAAATCAGTTTTTTTGACACTTTTTCAGGCAACACCCACAACAAACAGCAACCGCTCTGGCATGACATATCAGAAAATTATGATTGTATCTTATAAAACACACACAAGTGGCCATTAAACGGAGACAAACAGCCGAGGGATGAGGAGTGTAAAGGGGCGACTGAGCAAACGATGGGAAAAAAGCTCAATGTTCGTTTGCTGGGTGCAAAAAAGCTGGCCGAAAAAAAAAAAAAAAAAAAACAAAAACAAAAATCGAGACAAACCAACAGATACTTAGATCGCACTATAAGAGATCACTTTGGCCTGGGCCTGGCCATTAGCATGGAAAGCGGAGACAAAGACACAGAATCGACTTACATAAAACGGCTTTAAAGGCGACACATTTACACGGCTGGCCGAAAATCGCTCGAAACAATTGCCAACAAAAAAGAGTCCGGGCCAAACAAGTTGGCCACGTCACGATCGCACTTTGACAGAGTCAGGAGTTTGCAGGGGTTCGGCTTAGATGGCTGGATGGCTAGATGGTAAGTTGGTAAGTTGGTAAGTTGGTTAGTTGGTCACTGGACAAGACAGTTGGAAAATCGCAATGACTACGACAAGCTTTGTCTTTGTCTGGATCGCCGGTTGCGCAATGGTCCCGCCAAGCGACATTGCTTGATCGATCGAATTGTTTTGCATGCGTTAATTGCACTTGTCCACGCATATCCCCCTCCCCGTCAGCCTATAACCCCCGCCCGTCCCTCTGCGTTTCCACTGAAATCCATATTAGATTTATTATACTTACGGCTCCGTCTGTCGATAACTAGAACAAGCATTTTATCTTGATTTATGTCCGCCGATCTGGCAGTTTGTTTGCCTATGTTTGGACAATGGTTTGATGTGGGCGGGGCCGTGGAGGGTAATGGCTCCATTGAACATTTAAACGCACTTTGCATGGGTCTCGGATAACTGAGCTGTGTTTTTTTGGGTATATTCGGTTTTCTAATCTTACAAAATAATACGAAATTTAATGGAAATATTTTAAGTTAAAAGAAGGGTTTTTTAAATTGACACTAGGGAATCATTAGTTTCAAATAATGCTCTTTATACCCTTGCAGAGGGTATTATAATTTCAGTCAAAAGTTTGCAACGCAGTGAAGGAGACATTTCCGACCCTATAAAGTATATATATTCTTGATCAGCATCACCAGGAGAGTCGATCTAGCCATGTCCGTCTGTCCGTCTGTCCGTCCGTCTGTCCGTCCGTCTGTCCGTCTGTCCGTCTGTCCGTCCGTTTCTACGCAAACTAGTCCCTCAGTTTTAAAGCTATCTGCTTGAAACTTTCCCAAAAGTTGTATTTCTATTGCAGGTAGTATATAAGTCGGAACGAGCCGGATCGGGCCACTATATCATATAGCTGCCATATAACTGAACGATCGGAAAAGCCATAACTTTGGTGTTTTTAAAGTTAGGAAGTTGGGATTTTCTATGGGTTTTATTTTTGGCTAATCAATCCGACCTACCAAATTTCATAAGGATCGGACGACTATATCCTATAGCCGCCATATAACTGATTGATCGGAAAAGCCATAACTTTGGTGTTTTTAAAGTTAGGAAGTTGGGATTTTCTATGGGTTTTATTTTTGGCTAATCAATCCGACCTACCAAATTTCATAAGGATCGGCCGACTATATCTTATAGCTGCCATATAACTGAACGATTGGAAATGACATAACTTTGGTGTTTTTAAAGTTAGGAAGTTGGGACATTTTATGAGTATTAAGAATACATCATATGAATAATTTTGGACAATATAATTTATAAAATATTCTGCAAGGGTATATCAACTTCGGCTCCGCCCGAAGTTAGCTTTCCTTTCTTGTTTTACATTCATATCTTATTGAACCTTAGTACAAAATTAACTTTTGTATACAAATTATTTACTTGCCTTATAAATTTAGTTTAAATTTACTTAAGATCTCCCCCTAATAGTCATCGATTAGTCGACCCATTTGACTTGATTACCTTTTTCTTAAATTTACCCCTTGGCTTAAATGACTTGACAGTTATAGATTTGTGGCTTGATTTATGCAGTAGGCAAAGCGATTTTTTGTTTCATTCGTGATTGAAACCTGAAGGTCTTTCGGCTGGGCATTATCTATAACTGGACAATGGGTTCAATTAGAAAGTGAGTGCAGTGCACATTCCACGCAATGTAATTCAAGGCGTTGCACAACGCTGCGTATGCGTAACGTGCCATATCCGGTAGCTGAGTTCCACAAAGATCACATCCGGTGGATATTACATAATCCCGGCACTTCCGAGACCCTTGGGTCATCCAATTACACCTTGGTATCGTATGGCTTTGGCTAATTAAACCATTTCGATCGGGGGATTCTTGCACGTTTGAAACAGACGCATGCTAACCATGTTTAGTGAGTTTTTGGTCTTTCATTCTATGCCGCAAATGGGGAAGAGGGGAGGGGGGTTTCTGCAACGGGGGTCATTAGTGGACCATAAGTTGGCTGTCAATTAGCCCGATCCGGTTGAAGCCGTCAGCCCAATTTTGTCGCCGGCTCAATTGTGAGATTACCGACGCCAAGTTGGTCAGGCTGCCTGGCATTTCAGCATTATTACCGCATCGCTGCCACAACCAGACGTCGTTTGATCCACTTTCGAGTCTGCAGGTCTACAGGTCTGCAGCTCTGCTCTCTGCATTTCGCACATTTAATGCGATTTTGCGCATTTGCGCGTTTGAAATTAAGCGAGTGACGAAATGGAACCACCAGCCAGACCAAAGTGGATCACGCATACTGGGGGAAAATAGATTTTCCGAGCTTGCAACAAACTTGCCTGTCCATCGGCCCGCTTGATTGAGTCCATGCGAAAATGAAAATCAAAATGAAAAAGAAAACGAGATCGAAATTGAATCAAAGCCGGAGCAGGAGTCGGGCTCCAATGGAGTCCACGTCGGACGCACACGCTTCACCGGCCTGGCCGATATGTGTATATTCACTTGACGTTGATGTTGATGTCGTGGTTGCGTAAAAATCGCCCCCTTGCCCCCCTTAACCCCCTTAACCCCCATGAACCAGCGACATAAGCTCGCCAGATATTTCAATTAGCGTTTTATTTAAATTTCTTACTCTTTCGGCACAGGAGTTTCGGCATTATGCAAAGCTATCCCATTGGAAGCGCCATCACCGTAAGATTTACTATTCTTTCAATGATAAATAATAATATTTTTTAATAATAATAATAATAAAGATAAGAGTTAGTTCATCTATAATTTTTGTTTAATCTTTACGACATACTTCACTGAAAAGTAAATTATTTTGAAAGTCATTTTAATGCCCATTAAATACTTAAATAAAAATAGAATTAGTCTTTAAAAAGGCCAAGGGTTCCAAAATAAGAAACTGTATGTTTTAGTATTTGATGTGGTTTAATTTGGTTTTATCACAATATAGGACATATATTTTATTAATTCATAATACTCTTTAAGTTGTTGTGAGATGCTCATCTAGTAATCCTCGCTGCTGGACTCCTCCTGCTGACTGTGAGCATCGGCTTCGACATATCCTTCCTCGCTGCTGCCCTCGTACTCCTGGTGGTCCCCGTCCTCTTCTCCCTCCTCCCCCTCTTCGTCCTTTTCCCCCTTGCCACCGCCCGCGTCGTAATCCTCGTGCACTTTGTACTGCCCATTTCCCTGGTGAGGAGCTCCATGAGGCGCCTCCTCCTCCTGCTCCTCCTCCTCCTCTTCCTCCCCCGCCGTTCCTTGGGCCTCGGAGCTGTCGTGCCTCACCTGGTTGTCCACCGTACCGCCACCCGCATCCCCCTCCGCTCCATGGCCGTGCAGAGTTTTCACACCGTTCGTAATCACCTCCGCTTGAAAGCCGTTGGCATCGTCGGCCGTGTATTTAACCACACGCAAGGTGCCATCCGGATCGACTACGCTGCGTGGAGGTTATTGAATAAAAATAAATAAAATTAATTCAAAGTGGGAATTAATGCATATGCATAGGTGTGTAATTGGTGTTAAGTTGGTAGTTATTAATAGTCAATTTAAGCAAGTCATACAATAACTTGTTGAAAACATGAAAGTGGTGAAGTGGGAGACCTTATTTAAATCTAAATATATCCATTAAAGTTGTAAAATATTGCATTTTTGACGATGTAACTTTAATTAGTTTTTTACAACTTTTTTTATTGGCGATCTTTCTGTTTCTTATTTTAATGCTTTGCCGGTGTGAGGTCAAGAGTTTTATAGTATTACACTCCCCTTCCCACGTTGCAGATGTATTTAATAGTTTGCCCCAAAGACGGTTGCCAAATAAAGAAATTAAATTTAATACTTTCGGTTTTCAGATGGTACAAAACCCTTGACCTCAATATGTTTGTATATTCTTAATAAAATAACTAATTATCAATAATTATCAATAGCTTAAATATAGGTGAAATACCCACAAGTTACAGTTGTCTTTGTTTATAGCTTCGCGTTTTAATAAACCAAAACTTAACCGGTTAGAAAACCAAAAAATATGTTATATACTTTAAAAGCATTTTGTATTTCACCAATCTTTGAAATCAGATTGAAAATTTTGTTGTTTATTTAAATTATTTTGGGATCTATTATTTTTATTATATTTGTATATTAAGTATACTACTTTAATGAAATTAGCAAAATGTTTCCATATGTTTATTCCCATTATTTTCAGTGGAAGCAGTGCGCTCTCCCCAGTATCTGCTATTAAGTGGTATTAAAGTGCCCCCGATGCCATATCCATTTCAGCTCAGTGTGACGCTAATGAATGCGTTGACAAGTTGTCCCCAGCCCGGCACCCCTCATCCGATCCGATCCCATCCTATCCCAACCACTCCAACGTTGGAAACTCACCTGTAGACGCCGCGCACCTCGTCGCCAAATCGCGTCTCCTTGCGATTCTGCAGCACGCGCGACTTGCCATCCTCGACGCCATAGGCGAAGCTGTACTCGGGCCGGGCCACATAGTCCACGTTTGTGGTGCCTCCCTCGTGGACGGTGACCAGGTGCTCCGGTCCCGCCACCGGACCCTCGAATCTCGTGTAGGAATAGCCGACCGCTGCGCATGCGCCGATCATTCCGAATCCAGCAATTAGCGCCGCCAGTGGCAGCAAATCTTCGACTTGCCGCGCCGCGTGGCAAACGCGTGCTTCTGTTCGCAACGCAATGCGGAAGCCAAAACGAGTTGGGATCTTGGGAACTTCATCTTCATCCATGTCTCCAGCTGAGCTGGTTATGCGTCGCTTCTTCATCGCTCTTTGTTCACTGGATTACTGGTGGCGATTGGAACCCTGCGATCCCCCGATTCTCGCGAACTAAGCGTGAAATGTCGCACTTGTGGGGTATTTATATAGCCATGGATTTTGGGAAGAAATTACTCTGCCTTTGGCCACAAGCATTTCCGCGAAATTATGCGCTTCAATGGATGGCAGCCAAGTGGAACTGCAGTTTTGCAGGGATGTGGTCAACCGATGACGTTGGGATTGGCCACAAATTGCAGCATTCCCGCAACGAGGGTTTACACAATGCCCCACCTGACGTCATCGATTTGCATGGGCCCACTAAAAAGGGGGGTAAGTTGGCGGGTATTGTAAAAGATTACTTAAATGCCACGATCCCTGATTGACCATCGCACATCGAGGCGCAATTTGTTGGGCTTTAAAATCGCTTTAAGTGCGTCTAGTTTGCTTGTTAGTTAGCCACACTTAAAGAAAACTATTAAAAAAGCAGCACTTCTGTGGGAAAACAGATTGTAACTGTGTGAAAAAAGTTATTACTTCATACTTTAAATAGCATCATATAAAATAAGCCACAAAAAAAAACGTTATACCCCATAGTTAGCAAGCAAATAAACTTTCATAAATATTAAATTACAGGTCGTTAGAACCAAAAAATATCAATAAATATTTGCTATAATCTAATACTTAATTTTTTTTTTGTATTCCTTGAATTCTAAACTAATAAAAATATGTTTAATTAATACATTAATTTAGCCTTCAATTAATATTTTCAAATTCCTGTAAACATATCTAACATGAAATTATGATTTAAGGCTTTGTTTAAATCTTTTTAGCTACCTCTTAGATTAGTAATTAAAAAACTGTAGATGGCAACTGATTAGACGTTTTCCCCTGTGCAAGTGGCCAAATAATCGAACATGGAACTACCGCTGATGGCCAAGATAAACCACCTCCGTGGGCCGGCAAACAAGCGCAGCTGCAGCCGTTGAAGCTTTGACCTTTTTCTGAGGGTCTGGCAAAAAGGAGAAAAATATAGTAAAAAAAAAAATAAACAGCGAATAACCAAAACCGGCGAAAAGCAGGCAAAATATGGCTATTATTTCGGCTGCTTCTAATTTATAAGCAAAGCGCGCACAGAGACAGCCATTGTTGGGTACAGCTGAAAAATGCATATATCATTGGCCTCTGGTACTTGGCCGCAGTTTGTTGTGCGCACAGTAGTCGGCCGCTAAGGGGGATCGCATCGGATCGGATCGGATTGGGACTTGAGTGGCCATCGTGGGAAAACACGTTGGGTGCATCGGTGTGCGCAGAAAGCGTCGCTTAATTACCCACATTACACAAATGCTATTTGCCGGAGTTACCAGCTGAGTGACTGTGGCAACAAGAATCGCACATGGATCGGTTTTTTTTTTTATTTGGCTGCCATTAACGTAATTAAGACGCAGCTCGTTTGCCCTTTAGCGGCTGCTTGACACGCAACAAATGTGTCACCGCATTATGACTTGGAAATGGCGCAATGCAAATGCCTGTCGGACGGCGCTATTAAAGCGAAACTAAGCCACATGCCAGCGAGTCATGTTGCTACTGCCTCTGCAAATGCGACTGAATCTGAATCTGAATCTGTTTTTGCTCTTTTTATGCGGCTGACATCGGCCCACTAGCTGGGGTATCCTAGGCAGCCAGGAAAGATCTCTGCGGCCAGATAAATTGCACATGCCACTGTGCTATCACACTCTGAAAAATTAAATGCCCTTGAATAATCAGAAAATTGCGTAAAATTCTTGGAAAGCGAGAAAGCAATTGAGAAATTGGGGGAGCAAAATATAGGTAAGGGATTTGTCAGAAAAACAAAAATTACGGAGTTTAACTGCATACTTTAATAGCTTTATTATTTAATTTCGCAATACCGTTCAGAATTTGGTATTAATATTAGAAAACTTATTAGTTATCAAAAAACATGCATGTTATTTCAGGAGATTGCGTTTAATCTATTTGGGTTTAAATTTTTATTTAAAATTTGGGTTCCATTTTTGGTCATTTTAATGATGTAACCTCTTTTTACATTTTTGAAAATTGGCTTTGCACAAAAGTGTGAAAAACCTGCTCTTTAAGCCCATAACTTTTCTTACAGACATCCGATTTCAAAGTGGCATACTTTAAAGCCTTGGTATACATTTTGTTTCCAATTTTTTGACATTTTCAGACCGTTGCAGAGAGTATTATAATTTCAATCAACACATTTTAAGGCAGTGCTCTTTTATTTTTTTGGAAAATCGTTTTTAAGCATCGAAATCGAAATTAGGAATATTTTTGTTGATAACAGTCGCAACTTCGGCTTGCCAAAGTTTGCTTCCTTTCTAGTTTGTATTCATTAATTGGTCCGTTTATTTTAATGGTATTTTTAATGACCCAAAAAGTTAATACGTATTGAAAACTAACAAGGTAAAAAGGTGTGGAAAATAGTTTTACTACCATGACACTTGTTTTTGTATGTAAATTTTAAGAAATGTAAAATCTTTTAATTTAATCAGGTATCATAAAAAATATAAATAATTATAAGGTAGTCGAAGGCCCCGCAGCTAGCACTATACCACCATATGTTAGTCTTAGTTTTGTAAACTTTACTATTATCTATAATAAATAAATAAATAAAAATAAATAATTATAAGCTGGAGAAAAGCTCTTACTTTTCAATAATCTTTTTAAAGTAATCTGCCAATTAAAATGGCTTTTATTAATATCTTAATAAATTAAGCGTACACAATTTATCTGAGTGCACATGTGTGCTTTTTCTATGGCCGGTTATGTAAGGAATCGCTGTGCCGGCTTCTGCCCCATTTCGAGCGAAACCCGCTTTGGCTTCGTTTTCCATTTCATTTGCACCAACTAAAACGCAGGCGGGGATCGGGATGGAGTTGGAGATGGAGATGGAGACGGGAACGGGGAGCGAGATCTCGATCTGGAACGAGTATGAGCCTGGTCAGCTTCTCTACACTCTCGATTGCAAAACTCACACGCGTTTAATGAAAGCGAAGTGGGAAAAGTTTACTCAATCAGTTGGCTCTAGCATTTTCATTCAGTTTCCCTCTTTTACACACAAGTCAAACACACACGAAAACTGAAACGCAGATTAACGGATAAATTGTGATAAATTGTAATAGTAAATTTTGTATGTTTTATTAGTTTTTTTTGCAATGATTTGCGTATCACGTCTGGTCGTTATAAACTTGCCCAGTGTCTGGCCACCAACACGATCCACGCATTCTGAGAAGATGGATTCGAAAGGCAAGAGTAGGTTTTGAATTGGTTTTAAATAGATTATTTAATTATTTTTAAATTTTTATAGCTTCTGCCCAACAAGCTGGACTGATGGATTTCCAGAGACCTTTGCAGTTCCACACGAAAAGAGGCTACATCAAGTGGTTCAGCAAACTGAGTCGCTGTCAGAGAGCTCGCAATTTTCCGGGTAGAATGCATCCCAGATTTTAGAACCGATTTAAGCCAGGAATTAAAGCTGTTGCTCTTGGTTTGAATTTCACTTATTTTTATGGTGCTCCATCACTTCCATGATGATTGGCAATTAAGATTGCATCTGGTGCATGGATTAGCTCACGTCGGTGACCCATATTCGGAGTGGCTCAGCTGGGAGCCGGTTTGCTGGTCTGCATCGAGGCATAAGTTGGTCAGTGGTGCGATTGCCAGTGGCTGCTACATGCACCGTGACATGGCAAATGGTTAACAGTTGGCCAGATTTGAGCCCCTTTTGCCGCCTTTCTAGAGCCGCTTTCCTTGTTTTTCGCTCGGCTTTCATCTGGCCCGAGGCAAATTAGTCAAATGGTAACAATTATATAATAATCTAGTTATACTTGGCCACCAAGTGGCCGAGTGTCCCGGGTGAGAAGTGGGCGTTGCATGTTTGCCTTTCACTTTTTTCTGGATCGGCCAGCTGTGCCAGGATATATATCAAACGGCACGATTATACAATAGCCCGATCGCCACGTAATTAGTTGCCTTAAACTGCGGCAAACAATTGCAAACAGTCTGAATGTTTGAATGTTCTCCAAAACTCCGCTTCGTTGGCAATTGAGACATTATTCAATTTGTGACAATCGCGAGAAAAACGAGAAACTGTAACAACAAGAGCTCAAAAAACAATTAACTGCATTTTGGCGATTTCCCAAAGCGATGTTCTAATTTTGCAACCAAAAAGCGAAAAAACCAAAAAATGCCTCGCTGGGCCCAAAGTTGTGAACATTTAATGAGCACCAAAATCGTAAATTTAATTTATATCGTTTTCTAAGCTTTTTGTCAGACGACAAATTTCGTAATTTTTTCTTTTTTTTTGCTGGTTTTTTGCTGTTGTTTTGTTGCTGTTGCTATTCGTGTAAACTGTGCCGGCTCGGCATGGAGCTTTGGATTTGGATTCGGAGCCTGGTTGCATGTCAAAGGCGCATGAAACGCCGCCAGCCTGCCACAAGAATCAAATGACACTCGGCCTGGTCCATTTTGGACGGTCAAAAAAGAGCTGCGGTGCAGCAAAAACAAAATTATCCATGCAGCGGGTATGATCTGGTCAAAATACCCAGCACCCAGCAGTGTGTAGCCTTAATTGGCACCTCGACACTTGGCCAGGACCGAATCTCGACTGGCTGTGTAGGTGCACTTGATGGCCGGCTCTGGTGTGAGATTTATGTTCTGGCCAGCTCTGCTTTGGGTATTCATTGCCCAACCGACTTGGCCAAGTGCTCGACGGCTTCTGGGCAGTTGCACATTGGAAGTTGCAAGTTGGCACTTTGGTAGCAGCGGTGCCGCTTTATGATAAAGTATCCCCGCCAATGGTCACGCAATAAATTTTGACACGACTTACGCATGTCTGAAATGGCCGATGGGGGGCAATAGATATGAGTGGTGGCATTATGTAGATCTAAGTGATCACAAAAATCAAATAACACTTATGCAACTTTTATATTGGCAAGCAAAGGCCACACTGCGTATGAGCAATACAGTTAGGCTTACATCTTAGGCTTACAGAGGCCATCTGATTAAACGCTGCTCTGAATTTAGGTTTATATCGTATTAATTTGAATTTGAATATTTTGGTTTTAATCATTCAACACATAAGAAACCTTTCTAATAACTTAGTGAAACAAAAACTAAGCAAATGCGTCTAAGCCAAACGGAATATCTTTAAAAAACCAAAAAAACGTGTTTTTGTTGATAAAAAATAACAAATAAAAATAACTTACTTATTATTTCTTAAAAGAAGAATGTAAGTCTATACTTAATATACCCCATCGTCCTTTCCCTTTCCACGACGCACCTTTACTCGCAGCTTTGCCCCAGAAATGTCAGCGATTAGCCAAGAATTTAATTTGGCTGCACCCTCGCCTCCAACATCAGCCAATTTCCAGCTGCGTAATGGCTTTGCGAAGAACCGCCTACCTTGAAAAGATATGCAAATAATAAAAGTCCAATTTCCAATAACTCAATTACAAATGCACCATGCACTGGCATAAACAATCATAAATCGATTGATTGCAATGGCCGGGCCTAAAGATCGTTATTATCCAGCAGTTAAACAAACGATGGCAATTAAACACAAAATCGTATGAGGCGAGAGCACCAATTATAATTGCAGTTTGTTGAGATTCGACGATTAAAGCCAGTGGTAATTGACATTTAAGGCAATTCATTAACTCGGCAAACACATGGGAGTCAAAGAGCTAAAGTTAAATACTAAATACCAGCAGGTGGACTACCAAAAAAAAATAACATGTCTAATCATGCACTAGATTTCGGGATATGTGTTTTTCACATGCCCGGGTAAAAAATGTTGTCTTGATTTTTTCCAATTTTTCTCCGCGCATTTGCATACAAGTTGCCAACCCGACGGCGCCACAATTCTCTTGGGTTCCCAGCCTCCAGTTAAGTTCGGAGATTTCGGAGACCCGAGTTTTTGGCGGCAATTATTGTAACTTGCGGACGGGCTGCATAAATCAGCTTAATTGCTATATTTAAATTCTAAATTTGGAGCTTTGGCCAAGTGCGCTGTCTAGTTGTGCAAGTGACACGGTCAGCGTCCATTTGGGTCTGCAAATGTAATTTATGCATGGCTTTATTTTTTGGGCAGGAATTGTAATTTATGCAAATTAATATGAAATTGGTGGTGGTCTACTGGATATTGTTGTTAAGTTTTATTACCCATTTTAATTTAAACTAAAGTACATTGGAAAAGGAATGAAACATTTATTGTTGGTGTTTTTTATGTTGAACATAATGAAATGAAATATCAAAATTATTAACTGTAATCGTTAAGAACCAATATATACGTAAGGTTACTTATAAAATCTTAAGCATTTATTCTGTATATTTTACACTTAAAAATGGATAAGAAAAGCAAACTTGTCTTCTGGAACAATTTATAGTAAAACTGCCGTTTTCAAATTCAAAAATGATTAAACAATCGATAGTTCGAAATCGAAAAAAATAGATGCCAGCACAGTTAGCGGAGGCACCAACTACTATCTATTGTTAAAAGTTGAAAAACATCGATGTTACCCCGCCAAACATCGATATCAACGATATTTTGACAACATAGGTGTCATCGATGTTTCCCCACCTCTATGATCGCGCCGATTCGCAAAAACAATGTTTATAATGTGGTAAATTTGTCTGTTATTTTTTGTATCCTTGTCTTTCTGTGTGTCCTGTCCAATGGATGAGAAACGCTACCTGAAGCGCAAGGAAAAGGCGCGCAGCGATGGCAATCGGGATCAGGTGGCGATCAGTTGCCACCAGTTGGGTGATTTCTACAATCAGCAGGGAAAATACAACGAGGCGGTTAGGCAATATGTCCAGGAGGCCCAGATTAATGCCTCCATGGGCAAGGAACTGGAAACGGCCAAGGCCAAGCGGATGGTGGGCGAGATGTACACCCTGCTCTGCGACTACGATGCCGCCAAGGATCATATCAATGATTACCTCAGTGAGTTGATGGAATCCGCTTTTATGAACATCGTTATTAGCCCCAATACTCATCCCCAGAGATTGCCAAGCGCCTGAAGAACCAGGTGGAGGAGCAGAGGGCATATGCCACTCTCGGACGTGTGCATCTGCTCCATGGGCAGGGTCTGGCAGACAGTTCCGCCTCGGGAGCCATGGAGCAGCTCAAGCTGGCGGAAAAAAATTTCATACGCAGCCTTCTGCTGATTAAAGAGTAGGTATCCCAAGGAGTAGACACAATGAATTCCTTGTGGAAGTCAAAGGACTCTCTAACAATTGGTTCCTTCGAAAGCGTTACAATAACATAGTTTCTATACGTTTTATAAAGAATTGATATTCGTATATTTATGGTACAATTTGTATACCCTTGCAGAGGGTATTATAATTTCAGTCAATTCGTCTGTGCAATAATTATCTTTTATGTAACATTTCGACACACCATTCTTAATTTATTACTTCCAAAATTTCAAAACTTTGAAACACAAAATTAGAAATTTATTTTGGCAATATCCCGATTATTTCACAACATGTTTTACTTATTTAAAGATTTATTTAAAGATTTGTTGGCATCAAACCGAGAGATTAAAAACTAACTTTTTAAAAAAAAAAGTTAGTTAAATGTATTTTCAACAGATTTAATATTGCCCTCCTTACTTTGCAGACTTTCGGGTCAGATTTCAAAAATTGAGCAACTCGATATGCAAGCTCGCTGCTACCTGAACATCGGCGTGGTGAAGGAGCACATGGAGGCTTTTCAGGAGTCCATCGAGTACATCGATAAAGCCATAAAAATCAGCAAAACGCACGAACTGTGGGATCTCACCCACTTGTGCTACATTTCGATGAGCTTGCTATTTAATTGCAAAAAGAACGACGCGACTTCGGCGCTCCGCTTCTGCAACATGGCTTTGGAGGTGGCCAAGAGGTTGCCCAATAAGGTTAAAAAGATCTGCGAGACACTGATCACCAAAGCTGAGATCCTGATTAAGGCATGCGACTTTGCCAGCGCCAAGCAAATACTCACCAAGGCTTATAAGAAAAACACGCCGGATGAGAACGATCGAGGGAGTATTGAGAAGCAACTGAGGATTGTGGTCAAAATCTGCCAGACGCTGGATGAACTGGTCCTTACCAGCTCCGTGGACTACGGCAAGTTGAAAAGCTTGTACGAGAAACTGGGCGACGGTTGCTGTCATCTAATGAACTATAAGAAAGCTCTGACGTATTACCAAAAGATGTTGGAGAACGCAGAGCTTAATCAGGAGAGCGGCAAAACCCTGGTGCCCATCTACGTGAGTCTCTATCAGACTTATCGGGATAGTGGGCAGTTTGACAAAGCCTTAGAGTACCTGTGGAAAGAGTTTGAGCTGAATCAGGATGTTCCCTCGGAAGCGTTTACCACTCTCTGTACCATTGCCGAGATATGCGAGCAGCAGTCTCATCCCTTCTGGACGGTTCATGATGTTTACCAAAAGGCCCTCCGGCAAGCCGAAAAGGCTGGGAGCTCCTCTGATAAGCTGGAGAAGATAGCTCTGGTGAGATTAAGACGCTTGATGCTGAAGCACAATATGCAGGTTCTTGTTGAAAATCTGGAGGCGGAAGCCACAGCCAAGGGCATTGATTTGGACCAGGAGGAAAGCCTTGGCGACGAAGATGAGGATTCCGGAGCTGGAGAAACTGCTGTGCAGCAGAATACACCAGACTGGGACGACGATTTTGACCTGGCCACGCTTACCGACTCGGATGCCAGTGATCTGGATGAGAGCGATAAGCCGCGTCCACAGAGAACCACACGGGGAAGCAGATCCCTAGTCATCAAGAAGAACAACAAGGGCGAAACGCAGCTGCATCAGGCGTGTATATCGGGAAATCTGGAGCTGGTCAGACGTCTTATCGACCAGGGCCACACGGTTAATGTACGGGATCACGCCGGTTGGCTGCCTCTTCACGAGGCCTCCAACCATGGCTTTCGGGATATTGTGGAGCTGCTGTTGGACAAGGGAGCCGCATCTGCCATTAATGACAAGGGTGGGACCAGTTGTGATGGAATTACTCCACTCTTTGACGCCTGCTCTAATGGATTCCTGGATGTGGCTGAACTTCTGCTGGACCGTGGAGCGGATGCCACAGTGAGAACGGATTACAATGATACCTGCATTGCCGGACTGGACAAGTGGCGGCAGGGAGCCCAGTTGGTGGATGGAGAGCAGGCGCAGTACGCCCAATTGCGAGAGCGACTCCTTCGCACGCTTTCCAAGGTTGGAATTTGCAGTGACCGAAATGACCGTCCCCTAACCAATGCCAACGTAAAAAGAGCAAGCAGATCAGAGCGGGAAAGCCTATCGGAGGAAGAAGATGAAGAGGAGGCCCTACAAGAGAGTAACCGAAGATCTCTAAGTCACAACCGATCTGGAAGTGAATATGGTGCTAAGAAATCCGGTAGCTCAACTCAACCAAGTGCCAGCAAAGAATACAGGAGTGTTATGGCACAGTTAAAAAGACCCAATCGCCTTAACGATGATTCCCCCAGTACCAGCCATATAAGCAAGCAAAAACGCAACGCCCTCCTGAATGAAGATGAGGTCGATGCGGATGACTGGCTGATTGATGATGTGGGTCCGGAACGCAAACGCAAGCGCATGAACTCAGGAGACCTTAGTAGACTTCCCTCTAAGGAAAACTTTCAAGACTCTGCCTTGTCCCTGCCTGCAAACTGGGAGGACGATTTACTCCGGGCTACTCCTGAATTGGATTATTCGCAGCGGCAGAAGCAAATGCGGAAACTTACCCTCTCCCGCTCATCTAGCATGAGTAGCAACCATAGCAGTTCTGCTGCACCAAGTCGAAAAAAGCATCAGGCTACTTTGATGGACAGTGGCTTCAGTAGGTTCCGAAGCGAGAGTCCTCTGGGCAGTGAGTCTTCGCAGGATGGCGTCGCCTCTGTGATAAGCCTGCGCACCATTGAACCCGACTCCACCACAAGCACTATTCAACTACTCATCTCCCCGTCTAAATCATCGCCCATAAAGGTACAAACTACTCCTGTTTTGGCCACCACTGTGTCATTTAAAGTCAAAGTGCAGGACGAGTTATTATTAGTTCCAATTGAACGCAAGAAATTGCAGGACATCAACATACGTTGGCTGGCTGAGGAAGCCGGAAGGCGCTATAATAAGTATGTACTGGTTAAACAAAGTCTAAACAACCCTTATAACAATTAAAATTTCTAGGTTAACTGGCCTAACACCTCTCCTACGACTCAAGACTGCCGATGGCTTCGCCTATGAGGAAACAGATGCCGTGAGTGTAGCACTTGAGCAAAATATGTTAATGGCCACCATTTTGGATTGGAAAATCTCACCCCTTTCGCAACGATACGAGGAGATGTGCCACCAAATTCAGAAGAGTAAGACAAATCGCCTTATAAATCCTTAGATACTAACAGAGGTGTTCATTAATTTCAGCTGTGGACAACAAGGTAAAGGTGCTTTTGGAGCGTTCACAGAACACTCAGATGTTAGAGCTCTCCGGGTTGTGGATGCGGGCACAGCAAACCGAGCCCATTTTTAAAGCCCTTCTTCATCAAGCGCGTCTCACGGTTTTGGATCTCTCCCGAAATTTTATTGCCAACGAGGGATGTCAACAGTTGGCCAAGTCACTGCCCACATTGCTACAACTCAAGGCGTTGCGACTGCCATGCAATGCGATTGGTTCCCAGGGTTTGGAGGCCCTGCTCTGTGGTCAGGGCATGGATAAACTAGAGCTTTTGGAAGAGCTCAATCTAAGCCAGAATCCTTTGGGAAATGCCAGCCTAAGGATACTACACAAGTTTTGTGCCAGTCCAGCTGGCCGTGCTCTAACTTCTCTACATATTGCTCAATGTGAGCTGACGGAATTGCAGGACTTCGATTTGGGATTCAATCAATTGATAAGCTTCGACATCAGCTTTAATCAACTCACGCAGCAAAGTGTGCGCCGGTTGACAGATCAGCTGAATAGTTGCCGCCTGGAGCAATTGACTCTTAGCTATGTGCGCTGGCCCTTGGACGAGGCCAGTGGATTTGCTTTGGGAGAGAGATTAGTGTCTCTTTTAGAAGGTGGCACTTGCGAACGATTTATCCGAGTAGAACTCGCCGGGTGTGGGTTAAATGATGCCCATCTGTACAAGATTAGCCAACACTTGGCCAAATCTAAGCAACTGCAATGGCTAGATATCAGTGATAATGTGAGGCTAAGTGGAACCGCCCTTGGATATATACTAGATGAACTACCCCAACTGCGCTCCCTGTTGGCCACCAATTGTACAAATCTTCTGGATGACACTCGACTCCAGAAAATCGAACAACAAAAGCAGCTGCCCCGGCGCTTAGACTTAACCGTTGATGAGCAGGTGTTCTCCATGCCCGGTGCCCTGGAGACACTTCAGTCCATTTGGCAGCTTCAGTTTGGCGACAAGGCAAAGATGTTGGCAAGGCAAAGTGGCAGACGATATAAAGGGCTCCTCAAACTTTTAGCTGATGGAAACGATGCGGAATAGTGAAGTGTCATCATGTATAAACCATTTTCATTTTGTTGTCTGTTCCAGAGTATTTTTTTATTATTTGACAATTACATACATATATAGCAAATCTGAGTACACCTCCTATCGTTTAGCTGATACCAGTACGCCAAATTGTAGAACCTAAGTAGGACAAACACTCAGCCCCCACTGGACTAATCTTATCAGTGGATGATTTCTGGCGAAATAATTTGCGGTGGTCTAGACTCTAGACTTTTGGGGATGAGTGTGGCTAAGAGGGGGGAAATTCGAGAGGAAAGAAGAATTTACAAGTAAACTTGATGACTGTTTACTTATTTCTTCAGCTCCATTTAAACTAAAGGTATTTGAAATGTGTTCCAAATTGACAAGTACCCTGTTGTAAAACACGTATTTATGTTTCTTGTAATTATTACTTATTGTACTTTATTAATCGCATTTGTGAATGTGACAACTATGAGCATGACGACGGCTAAGGTGAATGATGATGAGGAATCCTGGTTGGCACTGGCTTAGGCATTACCCTTGGCAGCCTCGTACATGTTACGTGAGATGATAAGACGCTGGATCTGGGAAGTACCTTCATATATCTGGTAGATCTTGGCATCACGCATCAGCTTCTCGACCGGATACTCGCTGTTGAAGCCATTGCCTCCGAAGATTTGGACGGCATCAGAGGCGATCTTGTTGGCCATATCAGCGGCATGGCACTTAGCAATGGAGGCGTAGTAGCTGTTGCGCCTGCCCTGGTCGATTTCCCAGGCGGACAGACGCCACGCCAGACGGGAGGTCTCCACGCCGATGGCCATATCGGCAAGCATGAACTGCACAGCCTGGTGGTGAGCGATGGGCACGCCGAAGGTCTTACGTTCCAGCGCATATTTCAGAGCCTCATCCAGACAACGCTGGGCCAAGCCGACGGCTCCGGCGGCCACTGGAGGACGGGTCTTGTCGAAGGTTCCCATGGCGATCTTGAAGCCTGCTCCCTCGCCAATTAGCACATTCTCTTTGGGCACACGGACATCCTCGAAGGTGATGCCACGCGTATCGGAAGCACGCTGTCCCATATTCAGCTCCTTGCGACCAGGCGTCAGTCCGGGAGAGTCGCGCTCCACAATAAACCCGGTGAAGGCCTTGCTGGGCGGGCACTTGGGATCGGGATTGGTGCGGGCCAGCACGAAGTACCAGTTGGCCACGCCACCGTTGGTGATCCACATCTTCTGGCCGTTGATGATGTACTCGTCGCCCTTCTTCTCGGCGCGCGTCTTGATGCCGGAAACATCGGATCCTGCTCCGGGTTCAGTGACACCATAGGCAGCCACCAGCGGCTCCTCGAGCAGACGGCCCAGGTACTTTTTCTTCTGTTCCTTATTACCGGACAGGATCACAGGAGTTTGCTACGGAAATATAAAGGACTTAGAACATCTGCCGAGAAATGGTAATCAATTGTTAAACGTACGCCCAGACCACTGGCCTCCAGGGCGGTCATGATGCCGGTGCAGCCGTAGGCCAGTTCCTCGGCCGACAGGCAGGTGGTGAACACATCGAGATCCAGGCCACCAATATCAGCGGGAATGTGGTTGTTCATCAGGCCCAGCTCCCAGGCCTTCTTGATGATGGGCCACGGATACTCGCCGCTCTTGTCGTATTGGGCGGCCACTGGAATGATCTCCTCGCGCGTGAACTTGCGGGCCAGTTCCTGCAGCTGCAGCTGATCCTCGGTGAGTGCAAAGGAGGTGCCATTGGGGGAAACGTGGGAGACGGCGGCGTAGGCGCGACTTTGGGTCACCAGCTGGCGCAAGGCGGGCGCAGCAAGCTGAAAAATCAAAATTTTAAAAACAAATTTTAAAAACTATTTATAACTAAACCGAATTTTGGTTTGAGATCAACATGCAATCATTTTTTTGATAACATACTTCATTATATTCTTATAAATCTATAAAACAAATTTGGAAATTTTCGTAAGTCCTTTTTTTTAAACCAATTCTTTTATGTATTAATTTTTTTATATTTTTTACTTTTAAACAATAATTCTTTTATAATTATTTAAATCAATATTCCGTTTATTTAGCGAAGACTGCTTAAAATGAGAAAACCTTGATTTGGCAATTAATTATGAGTTTAACCTACAAATAGACTTCACCGTGAATTAAGTCTAACTTTATCATAAAACATATGTATGTATGTAAATACGTACATAATTTTATAAACTCAGAACATTTGATAATTTGACACTGGCTCTATAAGATCCGACCCTTTATTATGTTTTCGCAAACAAAGTAAAATTAATAAACGTTGTATCAAGCCTGCCAATAAAGTTCGCATTCCAATTTAAATCGAGTGCAAAAACAAGCCGCCATTAGACGCCGCTAATAATAATTTTTCGAGGGGGGCAAAGTACAGATGATTGCTGGCAGATAGGCAACAACAAATATGTTTACGAAACGGAACCCACTTGTATATATGTACATATAAACCTAATTCGCAGACGATCAACAGTTGCTGTCGTCACTAATCTGAGAGAACTTTGAACCCTCCTCTTTTCATTTATTTTATCTGTGCGTTAGGTTTTGTTTTTCACTTTATGCGCGGAATAAATTAACCGATATGCTCACCTTGTTGAGGAACGCCATTGGGTTATGGGTTTATTTTCGTATTTTCCTAAGATTTAACTAGGTCGCCTTGCTAACTCGTCGGTGGCTCGCAGCGAAATGATCCAAACGAGTTGGCCGATGTGCCGGTATAGCGATAAATGTGCATAGCGATATAGCAGCGACGCTTGGACATTGGACTTTGTTGCTCTGGCATCGCAAAAGCTACAGAATCGTGATGACGAACGAGCTACAAACATATGTACCTATATGTAGGAGGGTGAGATAAGGAAAGATGCCCTCGACTTTTATATGCGCTCTTCCAGAGCTCCTGAGAGCGTTTCAAAAAGTACATATCACTTTTTTTATTTACCTACCCAGTAGTATTTCCTGACCCATTTAAAGCTTTTCTTTTACTAAAAAAATAATCCTAATATCGTATACATGTCAAGAAATTTAATTTAAATTTGAAATAATTTAACCATACCTTTAATAACATCTATTGCGTATTTAATATTACAAAAGTAATGTGAGTTTTATAATAGTCCAGGTATAACAACTTTTAACCTTCTAATGACATTTAAATTTTTATGATCCCCATTTTTACTGTTCTAATTCAATTTGTATGCCATGAGACACACCCCCTTTTTTAATCAGCCCATGTACTCTACCAAATACCCTACGGAATAAGCTCAACAGAGCATAGCTTCTACGTAACATTCAACAAACTACGTAAGGGTAAAAGCTTTTAGTTCTCAACGTAACGCAGTGTTTTTTGAATGTACGAGTAACATTATTCAATGGGTATATTAGGCTTTAAAATAAAAAATAATTAGCACTGAAATCTACCTTTTAAATTTAGAACTATTTTGTTGTGCAAAAATTTAAAAGTTTTAATTTTTACTTTTGTACATTTTAAATTTCTGGTCGACAAATCAACAAATTATTGACAATAATATGTTTACTGAAATAAAATAAACTTTGAAATAAACTAAAAAAATAATATTTGAAAAAAAACATTTCATAAGCCAATATACAAACTTTAAAGTGGGTACTTAAATTAAAAATTGTTTTTTAACTTTAATTTTAATTTTAAATCTCTTTATCGTTTTGTACAAACATTTTATTTAAACTATTTGAAGCAGGGATTTATTTTACACAATTGTAAGCCTATTTTACTCTTTTATCAATGTACAGAGTAGAAACTAGTCGAGAGCTCCTCTTGCCACCTGTTAGGCCCTTGAAAATTGGAGCATACTTTCGCGCTTGACACAAATAGACGAAACATGTTCCTCTGGCTGCGTTAAAAATAACAGAGTGATATACACAGAGTGTTTGCCCTTCTCCGCCTCCATCGCCCGAAAAATCTCCAGCGAAACGAATTGGGAGTCCGTGACACAGTTGACAGCCAGATATAAAAAACAGAGCACTACGTGGCCAGGCACGAAGGCATCATTAAATCAGCATCCGCAGCCATCCAAAATCGCAATCAGCCGTGGGAGCGGGGCATCTCTTATCAGCCAGGCGCATAAAACTGGGTCCGGTTAAAGCTCTTCCGACAGGACGACGACGAACATGCACCCGATTTGGAGCCGAAGTGGTTCGGGTGGTGCGACGGCGGGTGGAAAGTCCTGTGGCATCTAAGGCACAACTGGGATAGCTGGTTCTAGGCTGCCTGCCAGTCAGTCATTTGACATTGCTCCTGCGAGAAGGTTGTCCACGCTCCGAACCTAAATCCCCCGTTGCCCACATCGCGTCCGCAAGTCTGCCATAGTGTATGTGTTTTTTGTGCTACCCACTCCCATTTCTGGGATACATATAAAAGTGCCACCCCACCATACCATACCAAGAAAACCCCTCGCGGAGCTGTGAAAAATTAAACAAGTGTTACCTAAGCCCAAACCGCACCAAACACACAAAAAAAGGGAGCAGTAGTTGAAGGTTGCGGCAAGATGGCCCAGTTTGTGACCCACATCCAGCCCACTCTGATGGAGGCGTCCCAAGGTCATGTGCCCCACCACCACGGACATCAGGTGGGTGTGCAGCACTCGTCGCATCTGCCCCACTCTGGTCACAACATGCCCTCGCCGCCCACCCACAATCACCACCACAGTGGCCATGGACATGGTCACCAGCACCACTCCAGTGGTGGTCATCACGGGGGAGCTGGTGGCCATTCGCAAACGACGCAAAAGCAGTCGCATCACACCACCAGCGGCCACGCCCCCAAGGCGCAGCACCACAGTCCGCCCTCGAGGATCCATTCTCCGCCGGCGGAGCACCACCCGGATCATGTGGGCCACTACGAGTACTTCCAGCACCAGCATGAGCAGATCTTCCACCACGAGGGAGCCAATGGTGGTACCAACCAGAAGCAGCAGGGCCACCACCATCCCAACAAGCACGAGCACTGCCCCACAGGACACCAGAGTGCGGTGAGTTGTCCTGTCCAGGATTACATCATTGGGAACATGGGAATGGGTTAGTCGTTCCCAATTATAGATAGTCACGTGAGCAGAAGTCCAAGGGGACGAAATTAGAGGTCATCACGTAGTTGCCTTCCGGAATGGGTTAGTGTCGTTAAAGTTTAAGCCATTTTTATAAGTTTCCATATTTTATTTTCGTTTACACTTAATGTTCAAGAGAAACGTAAATATCATTAAATGATAAGTACATTCTATAAAACTTTATGACTATTTATAATTTGAGGTCATATTCAAAATGCTTGGAGGGATGACTTCCTTGATGTAAATGGGAAATTCGTGTTCCAAAACTAATAAATGTATAGACTATGTTAAAACGAGATCTTAATCTTCATCTCTACGAGGTCAAATTTGGAGGTCAACATACTAAGATAATTTCTGAATATAAGAAATTGTATCATTCTTGTATCATAATTGTATTTGGTTGAGGTCACCTCTAGATTACTCAAGGCAGTAAAAGTGTCTTCAACTTTCGCTCGGAAAAAACTTTAGCATGTTAGCTTAGATAAATCATCCTTGAATGTAACAATGAATCACAACTTTTTGAGGCATCATCTTGGAGCAGAACTTCAGCCCAACCCCAAAACATCCCATCCCAGCGATGACGCAATAGTAATCCTTGGACCGACTGTGTCCAATGCCAAGTGAGTCATCGGTAGTACGCTTCCGTCGTCCTTGCGTGGGCATTAACAACTCCTGCTGGCGCCTGGCATCTCCAAGGCATCAAATCGGGCGGCTAATACCCTGGGGTCGCCAAACAGGCAAAAGCTCTTTTTCGCAATCTTCGCGGTTTGTTTGGCCTTTATAAATAGCCAACATGCTAAACGTTAAACATAGCTAAACGCTCTCTTTATCGCACTCTTTACTTTGGCATGGTCCGATGTCTGGTCTCTGTTCTCGGGTCTATTATATTGCTATCTGTTCTGGGGGCTCTCTACTTCGACGGGGCGCATTCGAAAATAATTCAGAAAACGACTCAAATCGCTCGGTGCGGCTGGCGCGTGAGGCCCTCTAGACAATATTTAGATATATACGCGTATATATTTCATTTTATTGGCCCCCAAAAGTTTGGATAAACTGGGTGATCTGGGCTAATGGAGACGCTAAAGAAACGCTTCCCATCGCTGCAGAGTTTGGGCGTAAGTTTCGCTACACCTTGGATTCAAATTTATATAATGCGGTGGGTAGCTCCGCAAAAAAAAAAATAACCCGCCAAGCATCTGTTTTGGGTCGCCCTATAAAAATAAACACAAATCCGACAGCCAAATTGGCCAGCGAATCGTGCGAGGAATTTTTACATTTTTCATAATTTTGTGCGTGTAACGTTCTCCTTTTCGCCAAACTCCGTCCCTCGGGTGCAGTGAACTGAACACGGTGAAAATGTTTCCATTTTCTGCTCCCGTTCCCCTAAAAATTACCCACGATATGGCGACTTTGGCGTGCCCAATTTGCGTTGCTTTTTTTGAGGTCGAAAGAATTATGGGCAATCAGCTCATCTAGGTGGTAATTTACCGAAGGCATTGCCCCAAAACATTCCTGCCACGATGTTTTTAAAGGGGCTCCGGGGAGGGTCATTGAAATATCATATTCCTGACGACAAGCCACCGCGAGTTCGATGCTAACACAAATATTAACTTAAATGAAGGGAGGTTTAAGCAACTTTTAAACAGTATCGATTTATGAATACTCTTTTACCAGTTTCTACAAAAATTAATATAAAGTGTTCTTGTCTAAAACTACGCCTGTTTTTGCTTACCAATATTTTTAAATCAAAATTTTATTAAACACATTAATGAAATTATTATAATGAATGACACCTCTCATTTTAAAATATGTCTATATGATATGGTCATTAAATTTTTATGAAATTTAATTTTTTCACAAATCTTTAGTTATATGAGTATATGCCAAAAATAATTGGATCCTTACATTTTTCACAAATCTTTAGTTATATGAGTATATGCCAAAAATAATTGGATCCTTACATTTTCAGAACGAAAGAATTCTTTAAATAATATCAAAAAAAATGCAAGGCAATTGTGAGGACTTAAAATTCAATTGAAAATGTTATAATCAATAGTTGTATTTAAACAACCCGTACTCTGGTGCTGTTTTCAAAACAACTCGTGCCATTTTTATTTCCCTTGGGGAAATCTTAAGCTTGCCTAAGGCTAGGAAAAGTAATTAAAAACCTATCAATTGCTTGCGAGCAAAGGCAGAATACCCCTTTAAATTATTAATTGAACCATAAACAAATGACAATAGCCAGGAATTGAGAGTGTATAACGATTGCTGGAGTGCCTTGTGACATGCGAATAAGCCATTTGGTTTCGGGCCAACCCTTCCTTCAGACCAACTCGATGGGCTTTTGGCTTTAAAGTGCGAACAGGAAACCCCTTCGGCCGGCTAAAAAACAAAACAAACAGGCCATTGTTTGGCCAGGCGATAAAGGCCAAGCTAAGGGAAGCTCTTTAATTAAATTCAAAATGTGGCTGCCACCTTGCCGGCCAAGTTGCAACCCCTTTTAGCCCATTTAATTACCTGCAACGTGATTCACGCACACTCATTCCTCTATTTACTGCACAATTTGTCCCGGTCACGATGCAATTTGAAATGCAATTTTATGCAACCCCTCGAAGGGTGGATTATGATGGCAGCAGGGGCTTCTTCCTTCTCGGAAGGGTGGGTTTCCTGTCTAAGAACCCAAATTAATGGCACTGCCTCTGCCTTACTTGGCACAACGTGACCGGGAATGCATACGCATCCGATTGGGATTTTCGACCTTTTTATGTGTTGCCAAAGAGGGTGGGTGATTCGGTGATTCTCGGGGTGTGATTTTCGAATTGAACGTATCCGAACACGAACCCAAGTTCGAAATGGGAAGTAAACAACATCCAGTGGTGCGGTGCGTCTGCGCAAAAGTTAATCCCCAGCTGGAAGGAAACCTACCCATCATCCATCAGCCGTCAACCAACTGTGGATTGTGTGCACTCGGCCCGGCCTTTATTTACTCTCGGTCAACAGAGTTCCGGGCCAGGAGATTATCTAGGGGTAGGACCACAGGGCCATTTCCATGTTTGCCACATGATTTTTCGTGTGTACTTAGCTAATTAGTCTAGTGTGCCAACTGAAACTGTCGGTGGAATTTAATGTCTCGGATTTTATTGTGCGAGAAATGACGGGAAGATTAATGTGGGTATTGTTAGGATAGTAATAGTTACACTCTGGACAGGATGATTACTGCTCGGGTAAATATTTGTGATGCTAGTGGGGTGAATAGGTATCTTATTGCTTGGCAAGACTATATACTTTAAATATAAGCAACAGAGGATGAGTCTAAATATTCACATGTCCCAAAACCAATTCCAGCTGCTTTTAAATTTGAAGTGAATTTAATTTAAAAGGTAGTATTAAAACAAAATCCCATAGTTTATAAATTTAAATTAAATTTAAAAGTTTTATAATATTAACAAATCTAGTAAATGAGTAGACTTTGTGCTTTGTTTTAATAATGGTGATAATAATTCTGCTTTTATATACTTCTTTAATAAAATTGTTTTAATGGATATTGGACGCTTAAAATGGATTAGAACAACTTTCAAACATGAGTTATTTGCCAAACAAAAATAAGAAAGGTGCAGCTTACAAGCTGCAAAACTAGAATGTGAAAAATTTAAAGGGGGATTTTTGAAAGAAGAAAAACTCTCCCTTATAATACAAATAAATTCATTTTTTTAAGGGATTTCTGTACAAAAAAAGCAATACATCTAGGTTTGTCATGTGTACTTTTTCTCAAATTCCTTAAAACCATACAATTATGTTGTGAATTGATTAATATGCACAAAAGAAACCATTTAATCCGTAAAATGGTGTCTAGATTTAATTTAAAGCCATCCATTTAAGTTGACAACAGACCTCTAAAAGGTCTCTTTTCTTCAGTTCCCTTTAAAACACGTGCTGGGTAATATAAAAACGTCAACAATAACAAAGGGCACGTGTCGGTTGGAGGGAGACCCTTCGGTTCTGGGCCCTGCCTCTTTTTCCGGCTTCCGCTGGCACTTCCATTCGAACTCCCGGTTCCAGAGGGCGAACAACAACCCTCCGATTTTGGGGGTGGACCTTCCAATTGGAACGGCCGAGTGCGCAGGTCCTTCGAAGTCCTGCCAGTTGAAGTTTCAACCACTCGGGGCAGGACTTTTACTTGTCGCATCCAGTCTGGAGTTGAACATCGAAGAAAACGGCAGCAAAACGAAAACTGCTCCTCGAACCGTGAGAGCAGCCAGGAATCCAATCAGACACACACACACACAAAGACATTTACACCCATACACCGACACTGACACGCACACAACCGACTCGGTCGCCTGTACGAACACACCCTCTCGCACACCCATGCACTCGTGTACATATAGCTTACATAAAGTCTAAGGAAAAATCGATAGGAGTGCATTAAATATTCAGCATAAGTAGGAAAAGGTCTCGAGCAAAAATCTCGAGCAGTGCGAATTTTCCGCTTTAGCTTACGGCGAAGAAAAGTCCCAGAGCCAGTGAAAAAATATGACTAATCTGCAGTGACGACATACGCCGCTTACACAATTTCTCTACACCAATTAATCGCAGACTTAAACTCGAGGCGGACATTTTCCCATTGGCAATCGTTGAAAAATGGTCACCGAAAATGGAGCTCAGGTAAAATGAATTTTTCATCTCGGTTTTTCACCATGTGGGTTTTTTCATTTTTCGGGCACACAGTGAAGATTCTGGGGGCAGCCATGTTGGCGTCCATTTTGCGGATTATCGATTTTTCATTGTCTGGCTGAAAAAGTGCAGCGAATTTGAGGAAAAATCTGGTAAAAAGGGGTTTCACTGGGAGTTGCAAGAGATAAAACCATGGATTTTATGGAAAACTTAAGGGTAGTAACCCTTTTTTCACTGGCAACGAAGCTTATTGATTTTTCACTCCATTAAAATAACTCATTTATTTGAAGGGCGTTGCAGGCGATTCCCATTTAAGACCAAACAATGGTCTAAAAATAATTGCTTTACTAACTAACGGCCATTGAAGCCAGGTGGTGGCTCACAGTGGCACCACCATCACTACACCACTGTCCTTTTAATCGGAACTGGGTGTGGTGCGTGCGTGTATTGTTGGCAGCAGTGTAAGGTAATCGAGATTTAGGTTAAACCTAATGATGACATGCGACACTCGTGCCAAGATGGGGGAAAAATCCATAATACATGACTCACTTTTTCATCTGAGGGTTCGCTGCTGCATTAAGAGATTATTTGTTGCTCCTGGTAAGGACAGCCACTCGGACTTCGATTAGGCGTTAAGCTCGTTGCCAAGTACCATCTCGGCCACACAAGTTCAAAGCAAACGCTCTTCAAGGCGAAACTCCTTTGGACGAGCACTCAATTTGCCCGAGTTGAGCCCCTCGTTATACAATGACGGAAACGGGGAGCGAGGCCGAGCCCAAGAACCTTTGAACTTTTGGAACACGTCTGGGAATCACCTCGCCCTACAGACAGAGAAAAGTATCCTCGCTTACCATTTTCAACTTTTTATTTACAAAAAGATATTAAAGTCCCTATAACTTTGATACAAATCGTGAAAAGAAATTAAAGTATATACACAGAAAGTTATATCTTATCATTAACCATTAACCATTTATTACTGCGTTTAAAATATTTTGTTCATATTTTGTTCATAAGAGTATACATATACAATTTCATTTTGAAAACAAATTAGCCAATATTGTGAAAAATAAAAACATATAAAAAAAAGCATGATAATGTAAAACACTAATGGTAAAATTAATATTTTGGTTAATCATCTTTGAATATTAAAGTAACATACTTTGTGCCAAAAACTAATTGTTTCTTCAAGAAGTTAATATACTACATATAATCATACTATGGCAAGAAACCAAAATTTTCGTCCAAGTTTGCTGATGTTCTTTTCAATTCTATCGTGGTAATTTGAAAATGGCGAAAATCAGAGACGACAATTAATATTGCTCAAAAATTTTCCCTGTGCAGTCGAGCAAATAGAGTTCAGGAAGCAGTCGGGGCAAACAAGCTCAGCTCCTTTTCAATTCGTATGTATGCCCAGGGCATGTGAAATGAGTTTTCTTTTTGTCCGCTTTTGTATATCCTTCACACACTTCCTTGTTTGCCAAAGGGCGGTGGGTGGATGTGGATAGATGGGTGGGTGTTGGTGGTGCAGTGGATTGGGCGGAAATGGAGGGGACTTAACGCTCAGGAAGCGGGTCTGGCTGGTGTCTGAGCTGCGGTCACTCTCCACCGAGTTTTCGCTCGCTTCCAGTGCGAAAATTTCCGATTTGCCGACTTCCAGTTGCAGTTTGGAAAAGGCGACATGACGTCATTTTCGATTTCGAAAATCCTGGCGAGCATTGGGGGAGAAAAACATAAACAAAACCACCATCGACAGCTAAGCTCCGCTGTGTGGGTGGGTGGTTTTTTTTTTTGTATATTTTTAGTGGGTGGGCGTTGGCCGTTATACCGAATTACTCGTACACCTGCGCCAAAAGCCGGAAAAGCGCCGGTGACCCCTCGCCTTGACCGTCGTGGCGTGAACTTGAGGCAACGAGCAGGTGCATAATAACAATATATAACTTTTCCACTTCTTGTCGGGGCACCAAACTTGGAGTTGCGCAACCAAGCAACGATCAATAAAACTCCATGTGCAAACAATCCCATTATTTTATAACCTCCCACCTGCCAGGTGATGAATACGCATTAAGCACGCAACTATCTGAAAATTTGTTACATTTTCTAGGGCAACGGAAACTTGGCGAAGATATATTGCACTGCGGTTGATAGGCCGTCTGGCAATTTCTTTTTGTTGACCTTTGCCTCGATTACTACCTTTGCCAAGACAAACACAATTTTCAGCAAAAGCTTATTATCTACCTCCGTGAATTTAACTATTATCATTTTCAAAACAAACTCTTTTTAGGGTAATTATAACAATTCAGATAAATCAATGTTCTTTATCTTTAATAAAAATGTATTTTAACTAAAACTCAATTTTTCAAATAAAATATGCCCTTATTAGCTTAAACTAAATTTATTTTTCATTGGTTGTAAAATTAGGACTTAACAATTAATAAAAGTTTATTTTGACTAAGACTTTAAAAAAATAATTATTTTGGCTTAGTACATTTATTGAAAATAATTATTGGGATAAGTGCTATATAAGCATTTTGAATGTTTGTTCATATATTCAAATTTTGTATATAGAAATTTTTTCAGAAAACTTTTTCTATAACATTTTATTAGTTAAACTGAAGATCCTCTGATGATTTCAGATTACCGAAATGGTTTTGATCAGATTTTACTTCATTGAAAACCTTTAACTTTAACTTTAAATTTTAATTTTTTTAAATTTTAACTTTACAATCTATTTTTCTTTTAGGGCGATGGAAACACTTCCTTCCTGCGTGCAGCTCGCGCCGGAAATCTGGAGCGAGTGCTCGAGCATTTGAAGAACAATATTGACATTAACACTAGCAATGCGGTGAGTCATAGTGAATGTAAATGCAAATTGGTGAGCCTTACTAATCCCATGAGTTTCCCCTAGAACGGCCTAAATGCCCTCCACTTGGCCTCCAAGGATGGCCACATTCACGTGGTCTCGGAACTGCTGCGACGTGGGGCGATTGTGGACAGTGCCACCAAGAAGGGCAACACCGCTCTCCACATCGCCTCGCTGGCTGGACAGGAGGAGGTGGTGAAGCTGCTGCTGGAGCACAATGCCTCCGTAAATGTGCAGTCCCAGAATGGATTCACTCCCCTCTACATGGCCGCTCAGGAAAACCACGATGCGGTTGTGCGTCTACTTTTGTCCAATGGCGCCAACCAGAGTCTGGCCACCGAGGATGGATTCACCCCGCTGGCTGTGGCCATGCAGCAGGGGCACGACAAGGTGGTGGCCGTGCTCCTCGAGAGCGACACCCGCGGAAAAGTCAGGCTTCCAGCGCTGCACATTGCGGCCAAAAAGGACGACGTCAAGGCTGCCACTTTGCTCCTGGATGTGAGTATACTGCAAGTAAACCTTTTAAAGGTGTTACTGCCACTTACAAATACTAATAGAAAACATTTTGACCGATGCCGAAATGGATTATTTGAAAAAATGCAATAAATGCAGTTAGCAAATACAAAACGGATTTATTTCCGAGAAAATGTTGAAGTACTAACTTTAAAGATTCAAATCTTTTAGCACTTAAAAGTCGTTTTTTTATCTTTTAACTATTACGCCCTACCCAACGTAATCAATTCGACACACAAAAGATCCAAAAAGTTCATAAAAGAAATCATTTTGGTGACCCGAACTTAGTTTAATCATTCGGAACAGATTCTTCTTTTCAAATGCCTATATTCAGTCAATTTTATTTGGTTCGATTAGGAAATTTCAAGTTATATTTCAATAAAGGGATTATCCCCATTTGTTTTAACATTGCAAAGGTAAAGATAAGAAACCTAAAACTAGCGATGTCTAACCGTCAAGTTGTCAATAATAACGGATTGTTATTTAATTCCGCTGTTTCAGAATGACCACAATCCGGACGTGACTTCCAAGTCGGGCTTCACCCCGCTGCACATCGCATCGCATTATGGCAACCAGAACATCGCCAACCTGCTCATCCAGAAGGGCGCCGATGTCAACTACTCGGCTAAGCACAACATCAGTCCACTGCACGTGGCCGCCAAGTGGGGCAAGACCAATATGGTGTCCCTGCTCCTGGAGAAAGGCGGTAACATCGAGGCAAAGACCCGGGATGGACTCACCCCGCTCCATTGTGCCGCTCGTTCGGGACACGAGCAAGTGGTGGACATGCTGCTCGAACGGGGAGCTCCCATCAGCGCCAAGACCAAAAACGGATTGGCACCCCTCCATATGGCCGCCCAGGGTGAGCATGTGGACGCCGCCCGCATCCTGTTGTACCATCGTGCTCCCGTCGACGAGGTAACCGTGGATTACCTGACCGCCCTTCATGTGGCTGCCCACTGCGGTCACGTGAGGGTGGCCAAGCTTCTCCTGGATCGAAATGCAGACGCAAATGCAAGGGCCTTGAATGGATTCACTCCACTGCACATTGCCTGCAAGAAGAACCGCTTGAAGGTGGTGGAGCTGCTGCTGCGGCATGGGGCCAGTATAAGTGCCACCACGGAGAGTGGACTCACTCCGCTGCATGTGGCCGCCTTCATGGGCTGCATGAACATCGTCATCTATCTACTGCAGCACGATGCCAGTCCGGATGTGCCCACTGTGCGCGGCGAGACGCCACTCCATCTGGCCGCCAGGGCCAACCAGGTGAGTCAGCGGTGTTTATAAGGTTTAATTAAAAATAGCTAAGTAAAACAGAGTCCTTTAATGTAAATTAATAACCAAACAAAGTTGAATGTCTTGCGACTGTATATTTGAGAAGGGAATAATTTAAATAAATATACCAAATCATTTTTTTATCCTCACTTTTCTGATTCATATATTTAATGTAATCCCAAATGTTAAAAAGAAAGGGAAATATTTTGATAAAATTATGACCGCATTGCTGTTATAAAAAAGTGTTTTTTTTTTGTAAATATGTAAACTTATTTCAGAAGATTTATCATATGTTAGAACTATCTTTATAACAGATTCGCTTGAAACCTTTTTAAACATGGGCATCGAACGATTTGATTTAGGATACAAATTTTCGAATTGAATATAATTTCCTATAAATCAGGTCTAATGATTTTTTGGAAATAAATATAGAAATGTAAACATGGAGAGGCCCAATCTTCAAGGTTCGAATTTTTGTTTCTGTACCTGTTTAAGGACGACAATTGAAAAACATAAACACTCTTCAAAGATAAGAAAACCATATATTTAATGAGTATAAACGAATTTGTTCTTACTCCAAAAGACATACCCCTAAGATTTGTGGAAATACAAGTATAACGCTCTTTCTATTCCAATGACCTCTTCCAGACCGACATCATTCGCATCCTGCTGCGCAATGGCGCCCAGGTGGATGCTCGTGCCCGGGAGCAGCAGACGCCGCTGCACATCGCCTCGCGGCTGGGAAACGTGGACATCGTGATGCTATTGCTGCAACATGGAGCCCAGGTGGATGCCACCACGAAGGACATGTACACGGCACTTCATATTGCCGCCAAGGAGGGCCAGGATGAGGTAAAAGACCTGATTGCGAAAAAGATCACCGACCACATCGACACCGTTTACCTGATGCAGTTGTTTTGGATACGCCATCAGGAGTTTTTCATTTGATTTTAAGTTTTTACTCGGCCTTTTGGTTTTTGTACTTGTATCGGTATTATGAGTTGTCTCCTTCGCTCTTGTGTTGTTGTCTTTTTTTGGCGTTTTGTTTTTGAATAAATGTTGCAACTCTTTTTTTTACCATTTTATATTATGATTTTTTTTGAGAAAATTTTGGTCACTTGATTTTTGGCACGTAATTTAGTGGGATTACCTGGTAATCTTATTTATGTATGTGACTTTGTTGTAACCTCCTTTAGGTGGCCGCTGTGCTAATTGATAACGGTGCCGCCTTGGATGCCGCCACCAAGAAGGGATTCACCCCTCTGCATTTGACGGCCAAATATGGACACATCAAGGTGGCCCAGTTGCTGCTCCAGAAGGAGGCGGACGTGGATGCGCAGGGCAAGAATGGGGTAACCCCCTTGCATGTGGCATGCCACTATAACAACCAGCAGGTGGCACTGTTGCTCCTGGAAAAGGGAGCCAGTCCACATGCCACGGCCAAGAATGGACACACACCCCTTCATATTGCAGCAAGGAAGAACCAGATGGATATAGCCACCACCCTGTTGGAATATGGCGCTTTGGCCAATGCCGAGAGCAAGGCCGGATTCACGCCACTCCATTTGAGCAGCCAGGAGGGCCATGCCGAGATCTCCAATCTGCTCATCGAGCACAAGGCCGCCGTCAATCATCCGGCCAAGAATGGTTTGACACCCATGCACCTGTGTGCCCAGGAGGACAATGTGAACGTGGCCGAGATCCTGGAGAAGAATGGCGCCAACATCGACATGGCCACCAAGGCGGGCTACACTCCCTTGCATGTGGCCTCGCACTTCGGCCAGGCGAACATGGTGCGCTTCTTGCTGCAGAATGGAGCCAACGTGGATGCAGCCACCTCGATTGGGTATACACCACTCCATCAGACCGCCCAGCAGGGTCATTGCCACATTGTGAATCTCCTGCTGGAGCACAAGGCCAATGCCAATGCCCAGACGGTCAATGGACAGACGCCTTTGCACATTGCCCGCAAACTGGGCTACATCAGTGTCCTGGACTCGCTGAAAACCATCACCAAGGAGGACGAGGCTGCGGCTGCTCCTGCCCAAGCCGAGGAGAAGTATCGCGTGGTGGCGCCAGAGGCCATGCACGAGTCCTTCATGTCCGACTCCGAGGAAGAGGGCGGTACGTATAGCCAAACACCCTTCGAAAACCCTAACCATAAGCCACAAGATCACAAGATCACTGCCCAGCTAGTCAGCCAGCACACAGACACTTAGCACAACCCATAGATTACATAGATTACGATAGTCTTAAGTGAATCCCCGCTCTTTCATGTGTGTGTCAGGTGACACTAACTGGCAACTGGACGCTGGCTACGAGTTCGGCATTGGCCCGGTCTATCTGCCGTACTACCAGGGCGACAAACTCTGTGTCTCCAGTAAGTGCCCAGGGCCACTTGGAAACCCCCTATCCGTATCCGTATCCGTATCCGTAACCGTATACTCGTATTCGTATTCCTACCTTAAGTGCTGGCCGTTATCAAGTGCACAAATTGGCTGTGATTGGAAAATGATTGGCTTAATGAATTATCCACCAAAGTTTGGCGTTCTCATGGCACTTTATATGGTGCTGAAATGTATAAATGTAAACTATTTCTTGACGTTGTAATTGGGCAATGGAGTGAAGACTCTAAACTACTTACATCTTGTTACTTTTCTTTATATTTTCTTAAAAAATCATGATCTATTAATAGGACAAAGATACTTTCAGGGAATTATTTTAACAAAATGTCGCAATTCTATTAGCGTGTAGATAAATATTTTGATTCCCAATCTAGATTTGCCTTAGTCTGTGCAACCCATTTGTGACAGAAAAATGTATACAAACTTAGAATCCATTAAATATAGTTTAGTATAGAAGATTTTTGGGAAACCATTTTGCAAAAATATTAGGCTAGGAGCCTTGACTTAACCATATAATTCAAGACCTTTAAATATTTGTAAGCAATAGTTCTTAAATATTATACCACTGTCAGGCAGACCTCCATAAACATTAACCAAAATCATAGAGACTTTTGATTGGGTTGTCAAAGTTTAGGCTGAGATAATTAAAACCCGAATTTGCTTGAGGGTGCGGCATGAAAAAATGTACTCTTCTGTGTCTGTATCTATACTACCACCATTATTATCGTATCCATGTAATATGCTCATATTTAATGGTCATGCTAGCTTTATATCACCCTTATATATATATTTATTATACCGATTATAAAATGAAGCATGTATAACTTACGAAATTGTTTAACTAAAATCAAACTCATTTGCATTCTTCTACTTTCAATGCACTGCGCTCTCATCTGCAATTCAACAATACCAACCAACCAACCAACCAACAACAATTCCAACACTTTAACAACAACAATACCACCAAACAACAACAATAATTAAAATATCAACAACAACTACAACGCTATATGGCCAATTGGACTGTCTTGTGCTTAAACAAAATGCAAATGCTGCGGAATGCCCTCGAAACGCATCGAAATCGAATCAAAACTCTAGGCGAAGACAATATGCTATCAGATCAACCATACCGCTATTTGACCGTTGATGAAATGAAATCCCTAGGCGACGACTCGCTTCCAATCGATGTGACCCGTGATGAGCGCATGGACTCCAACCGGATGACCCAGAGCACCGAGTATGCCTCTGGAGTGCCGCCCACAATCGGTGAGGAGGTGATCAGTCCACACAAGGCTCAGGTCTATGGCAGTTCGCCCAAGGCCACTGTGGATGGGGTGTACATTGCCAATGGATCTGGACACGATGAACCGCCTCATGTGGGGTAAGTTTTAGTTGAGGTACCCATAATTGCCAAAGTGTGTTCCATAAGTATTAATATTGGTTCCTTATTTTCATTTTGAAACAATGATGACATTATCAAATATGTTGGAGATTCGAAACCCATTTAAATATTAATTTATAATTTGATATTTATAAAGTTTAAGAACCAAGTGGTAAATAAAAATATTTTATTTGATGAAGTTTGGTCATTCCTTAATGAAATTTTGAAGAAAGTCGTGTTTTTATAAAAAAAATTCTTCTAATAAGTTATGCCCAAATAAATTTTTGAAGATAAGTTGTCGAAAGTTATTGAATCCATAATTTGGATACACTTGTAAATTAAACAAATTCCTTTTTTTAAGGAATTAAAAGAGATTCTTCTAAGTTAGGAAAACATAACGATATAAAATGTTTGTTGGGAATTACCCGAGCAAAAGTTTTTTATTTATATATTTATTTTTTTAGTTAAAAATGTATTTAATTTGTGTTGATCCTTTTTCTTTTTTTATAACATGATATTATTATAATGAAAGCTGTGTTTAAATGGCAATAGTGATTGATATATGAATTTTGTAACAAATCCGTTCCCCAAATAATTGTCGATTCTTTTGCAGCCGTAAACTGAGCTGGAAGAGCTTCCTGGTGTCCTTCCTGGTCGATGCCCGTGGAGGGGCCATGCGTGGCTGTCGGCACAGTGGCGTCCGCATGATCATCCCCTCGCGATCCACCTGTCAGCCGACTCGGGTCACCTGTCGCTACGTGAAGCCGCAGCGCACCATGCATCCGCCTCAACTGATGGAGGGCGAGGCTCTGGCCAGTCGTGTCCTGGAACTGGGTCCTTGCTCCACCAAGTTCATTGGGCCGGTGGTCATGGAGGTGCCACACTTCGCCTCGCTGCGTGGTAAGGAGCGCGAGATTATTATCCTGCGCTCGGACAACGGCGAGACATGGCGGGAGCACACCATTGACAACTCCGAGGAGGTTATCCACGATGTCCTGCAGCAGTGCTTTGAACCGGAGGGTGAGTGAGGATGTGGGTTTTCCTAGCTATTTCGTGGTCCATAACTTGTGATCTTTGTTGCAGAGATCGCCCAACTGGAGGAGCAGGCTGGCAACCATGTCTGCCGCTTCGTCACCTACGACTTCCCTCAGTACTTCGCTGTCGTATCGCGTATACGCCAGGAGGTCCATGCCATTGGGCCGGAGGGCGGCATGGTGTCCAGCACAGTGGTGCCACAGGTGCAGGCCGTCTTCCCACAGGGAGCCCTCACCAAGAAGATCAAAGTCGGCTTACAGGTAAACCTCTTTAAACCGCGCAAGGGCGTTGCGCCTGAGAAATTGCGCAAGATTAGCGTCAATCATGTGCCCAAGAAGAAGCGCTTCTCGCTTATCTGGTAAACTAAATGGGCCACTTATATCTATTCTTAAACGAAAAAACGGAAATTCAAAAAAAACTTTATCGGTCAGCATATATACTCGAGCATTTAATCTACAACTTCCCCAAAGAATATCAAAAAAGAATGCAAAAATGTTTTCCAAAATGAAAATGAGCATTTACAAACAATACTCCTACAACCAGTAACTAATAACCATCTATGTTAACCCGCCCTAAAATCTGTGTAGCGAAAAATGGTAGATAATACATTCCAAAGTTAGTTTACAGTGGCCAGAATGGAATGAATATCCCATTGTAAGCCAACTTTGGAGTTGACTTTTCCAAATGTTATTACTCGTATGAAATATGTGCACTTTGTTTGATTATATTGAGACACACTTTATAACTTTACGGCACTAAGCTTATGGAGCCATTGTTAAATCGGTATCCTCATGCTAACCTAATCACAAATGCTATGCAAAACAGTGACATACAATAATACAATTATATGAACCGATTAGATTTGATCATGGATCAAGCGACGACTGCCCGATCGCAGAATTTCGTCAAGCTTATAAACAGCAAGAGCAAAAACAATTGTCCAACTTAATAAGACATATGAATTACTTATATCGAATATTATACATTTACCTATATGCTAACTACTCTTAACTATTCATACATTATTTATGATTATTATCTACTTATGCATAAGATTATACTTACAAGTTCTCTGAAATGCAGTACTACCCAATAAATTTAGTTCGACAAAAAATTTATGCCAATGAAAATGTTTTAATTAATTTTCATTTGATTACTTTTTCATTCAATTGCTTTTTCAAAAAAGAAATGAGAAGAGGTGAAAATATAAAGAGAGTTACAATTGGGTCCGGTTTGAAGTGCCTAACGAAGTTGTAACATTTTAGCCATGCCGTAAGCAAAAAACGATTTTATAATGGCCCCACTCATGAGTTAAAAGTTTCGCACGTTTTATTTGCATTTACCTGATATCTGTAAACTTCTACATATCAAAATTTTTAATTTATTTTGAGTTTAGTACATTGTATAAAGTTTTGCGTTACCTTTCTAGTTCTTCAGTTGTAGACAAAGTTTTTTTGATAACTAAATTTATTGGGACATAAATGGGCTCGAACATTGTTATGGTTTGTAGTTAACTTATGCTGTAATTTAACTTAAACATGCAATTGCTCAATACAACCAACCATGAAAACGATATGCATATACATCCAACTAATAAGCATTGTACAAAAACACAAAAACTAAAAACGAATTGTAATCGAATCGAGAATGTTCACCATTTAGCCCAAGACTCATTTCATTTTATTTGTTTTATTCGTTTCCTTATGACAGACAAGAAGCGCATATTTCGTATAAATACTTTTGTTTGTACATTTTGGTTAAGTTTCCTTTTGGTTCACCTCATGACTGTGTATTGTGTAAGCGTGGCCGGTAAATCGATTTTTGTCTATAGTGTCACCCGAAATCCGTTACACTCGTTCTAGGCCCAGCCGGTGGATCCCGATCTCACCGCCAAGCTTTTGGGCCGCGGCGTGGCCGTATCCCCCATTGTTACGGTCGAGCCGCGTCGCCGCAAATTCCACAAGGCCATCACCCTCAGCATGCCTGCCCCCAAGGCTCACAGCCAGGGGATGATCAATCAGTACTCGGGCAACACGCCCACCCTGCGACTGCTCTGCTCGATCACAGGTAAGTTGAAGCCGATCCATTAACGATCCGCCAGCTAAGAGCCGGTCTTTTGTGTTGTTTGTACGATGTGATCCAAGCAGTTATTATTACCAATTACCAATTACCAATTACCAATTACCATTATGACTATTACGAGTATATCCACTTACATTTTCATTACGTTAGTTGATGTTTTTTGAGTATTACTGATCCTCCTTGATACCCCCGATCTTCCACATCCTTTCTCTATCTATATCTCTATATATCTCTGTCTCAGGCCTTCATTTACTTCATTCCTGTTTATGATTTCTTGAGTGTAACTATATATGCTTTCGTTGAGTTGAGTTTCGTACGTGCTTCCGTTGTTTGTTTTGGTTGTCTATAACATTTAGAATACAAGTATCTCATGTGCTAAAACGTAGTACTATATATAAACCATACATGCCATATATACTATATCCAAACATGTACAGTGGAAATTGATAAAAATCTAAAGTAAAAAGCAATGGGGAGACATCCCAAATTGAAATTGTATTGACAATGAGATTGAATTGAAAGACATTCGTTTGTAGGTCCCATCCGATCCGATCTGAAACATTGTGCTTGTGTCTGTGTAGTAGATGCGTAAACATAAGTTATATGAACGGGTTGTTCCGGCAGTAGCCCGCATCGTATCGTATCCTATCGTAACTCCTTTGGAACTCTAGCCAGTTGTAGAGCATTCGCCACCCTCACCTCCGATACGCTCATACATCAACGACACCCACACACAACACAGAAAAAGATAAAGATACAGCCACAGATACAGATACTCCACACCTATATACTTCAGCTCGATCCCAACCCAGATCAGTGTCATGTTCAGTGTGTCTCTTCATTGTGCCAAAAACGGTGTTCGTTCCGTTACCCTTTGTTCGATTTGCGTTCGTTACCGCTTTAGTTCGTTCTGATGATTTTCAATGATTTCGATTTGTATTTCGATTTCGTGTTGAGCAAAAACAAACCCAAACAAAACAAACTTCAATTCAATTCTTGATTGAAAACCTATTTAATTGTTCTATAATTTCGTACTAATGCGTCATTGCATACGTGTGCACGCATTCCGTTCTGTTTTCTCAATCCATTGAAGGTGTGTTTCGGAAAAGGTCTCTAAAAGGTAACTAAAACTGACTCAAACGTCACAAATACTAAAATAAATAATACAAAAATTCAGAAATTCACAAACATGTATGAAGTTTCAAATTGAAACTGTTTACAAAATAAAATCGTTATTTGTTCATATTTAGTTGTTTCGTTCTATGCCAAACTAAAACAAAAAAAAATAATAATAATAATAAAAGTGATAATATTATTGTGTTGCAAAATGAGGCAAACCACAAATTCCAAGAAGAAAATTTGACAAAAAAAATTTGAAAATTCTGCATATTTTATTTATGATAAATTCTCTTGTTAAGAAACTATTGCAAATATTTCAAACAATTAATTTTTTCAACTTCTATGCCTTAAGTCCTTGGTTCTTACTGAGTTTCGTTCAGTTATTTGTTTTTAAGTTGCCCCGATGATTTCCTCAGTTCCTTTGAATTCTTTGCTTAAATTCGGGTTGCGCTGCGTCTTTGGGTTTACTGTACCAGATGCTCAGGGCTAACTTTCTGTTTGGTGGGGCCTGCTCAAGACCCCACTCGATTGGCAATGTTCTCTAGGCCAAGATAACGCTTCCAGCTCAAAGCAGCTTAGTTTTTGAAGTAAGCTAACTTTCCAATTTACTTTTACGAACCTTAAGCTTGTCATGCAAACGTCTTTGCCGCCTTCTCTTTCTCTCTGTCTAACCTCTCCCCCTCTAACATACAATAATATGAATTACCTAAGCGACTTTCTGACTGCACGCGGTTTATTGCCAAATATATACCTAAACTGCACAATTTCATTAAAGAGTTTGTAGGTTTTTGTAAGCTAAACTAAACGCCAACTAAAGTTGCTCTTTGGGCCATTGAAACCGTATTTAAAGCGAGGCCACCAGTTTGTGCCAGATTACTTTGATTTACTCAGTTGTTCAGTTACCAATTCGAATCTTATTCTAACTCCATACTTACATATCATACTTGTTAAGGCTCTCAAGCTTTATGTTTCGTTTTTGATTACTTTTTCGGTTGGAATGCCGTGCACCTGATTGTAGTTTGTTTATCTGTTCCTTATTGAGCGTTAACCATTTGTGTTGGTTTTTATTATTTCTTATAAAACAAAGCAGAATATTATTATGTACATCGATTGTTTTTCAAAAAATAACCCAAATGTGAATGATCAATTTTGAATTTCTACTGTTTGTGGCACCAAAGAGAACTTTTCTGAAACCGAATAAATGTCAATTATTGAGGAAGAAACTTAAGTCAAGCGAATGCTATGGCAAGCTCAATAAATCCTATTACAAACGGTGTTTTGTTAATGTACCATACAAATATAAACATATAAAATGTATTTACAAGTTGAAGATTCTTATATACATTCCTCTTTAATTCAGTTCAAGTTTCTATGATTTTATATTTGTTTTGTTGATTCTGTTTCGTTGGGACTTCCGTTGGTTTGAACACATTTACAACAAGAAACACGTGACACGCTCACTTATTTTTCATTCAAGAGAAACCAAAAATTTGTTTTTCCAAAATATTAAGCATGTTGTTTCGAAACGGCTTCAAAGTAAGCGCAACAAGTACCCTAGTACTCGTACCTCTGTAAATGCTACAGCCCTAAAAAACTAACCAAATATATGCTTGAAACCAAAGTGCCTCATAAGCTCACACACTTCACAATACACATTACTATCGACATTCAACAGACGCCACCTACCTCACCACATTCATGCCATGCCACACATAACAACAAGATACTCAATATTTCTAATACTTATCGCTAAATACGATTTTATACTATACCATAAACTATATACAATAATACTTTTCAATCCTATTCCATCTAATTGCTTTGTAATTAACACACACAATCGTAATTCTCTATGCACAAGTTTTGTGTTGAGTTTATGGTTTCGTTTGTGAAATTAGTTTAACAATTTTGGAATTTAATTCAATATTTATCTGCTAATGAGACAACAGTAGAGTTTTTCAAGAGTTTTTACATACATATATGTAGTCTATGCGTAAAGCCCATTGTGCAACCCGTCAGATCCGTAATTGAACGTTTCCCTTTTCCGTCTTCTATCTAACTAATCCATCGCCAGGCGGACCATCCCGTGCTCAATGGGAGGATGTTACCGGTTCCACGCCCCTGACTTTTGTCAACGACTGTGTCTCCTTTACGACCACCGTATCGGCTCGTTTCTGGCTGATGGATTGTCGCAACATTTCGGACGCCACAAAAATGGCCACGGAGCTGTACAAGTGAGTGGTTGGTCTGATAATTTTGAAAGAACCATATTAAATTTATCATTCTCTGAACCCAGGGAAGTAATCCACGTGCCGTTCATTGCCAAGTTTGTGGTGTTCGCCAAGAAGATCGAACCTTTCGAGGCCCGTCTCCGGGTCTTCTGCATGACCGACGATCGCGAGGATAAAACACTCGAGAAGCACGAGCTCTACACAGAGGTGGCCAAGAGCCGAGATGTAGAGGTTCTTGAGGGCAAGCCGCAGTACATCGAAATGGCCGGCAACCTGGTACCCGTCACCAAGTCGGGCGACCAACTCCAACTGCAATTCAAGGCCTTCCGCGAGAACCGCCTGCCCTTCACAGTGCGAGTCAAAGATCAGCATGCTGACATTGTTGGTCGCACACTGTTCATGAAAGAGCCGAAGGTGGCCAAGGGTGAGCCACCGCAACAGCCTATCTGCATCCTGAACATCGTTCTCCCGGAGGCTGTAATCCCAGACTCAACTACCGCCTTCTCGGACCGAGTCACCTCCGCATACAGGACCTCAATGTTCAGTTTGAGCAAACATCAAAACGACCATTACATTGGCGACATCCGCATCGTTGATCTCTCCAACCTTTTGGGCAAAGATTGGATTCAACTGGCCCCCGAAATTGGAATAAATTCGGAGGAAATCGACGAGATTATCAACCATAACACCGACAGTATTGCAAGGCAGGCGCAGAGCATGATCCGCCTCTATAAGGACAAGCCGAACTACGATATCCTGTCTCTAGAAACGGCTCTTAAAAACATTGGGCGAGACGATATTATGAAGAAGTGCAAGAGTGGACGACTATCGCATTCACGAGAGTTCGATGACACGGATATAATGAAGAACTCCGAATCCGTAGAGGAGCTGGTTCGCAGAGAAAGTAAGTAGAATTTGTTAACATAAAATGCCGATGAGCTAAAAAGATCCAAAAATAAATAATAATGTTGGATCTTTTTAACCGTGACGGGCAAGCGGTTTTTGAACATCTTCCCATTGAATAACCCTTTAAGGTCTTCCCCCAGGCAAACGAATCCAGCAAATCAACGAACGCGAGGAAGTCAAATACTCTGCCGAGGAGAAGGAAGTCGAGGAGTCCGAGTCCGATGAGGAAGCTGCGAAACGAACCGTGGCTGAACGTCGTGAGAAGATTGTCAAGCGTCTGTCCGTAGAGCGATCCATCCCTGCCTCGACGCAAAAGAGAGAGATCAACCGTGAAATAACCGAAATCAAGCGGAAGAGTCTTATCGAGGACAAAAAGGCACACCATGAGTCCGAGATACTGATGCAACTGCCCGCCGACAATGTGATCATCAAAACCACAACAGTACCCGATCAAGTCATCAAGATGAAGATGGGCAAGATGGATTCAACCGAAGTGAGCAAGAGCGAGTTTGAAAAAGAACTCACGCACAAGTTCAAGACATCCGGCCGCAGCTCAGAGGAGGAAGACCAGCCATCTTCTCCAGACCAGACTGACAAAATTATCCAGGACATTAGTGCTGCCGAAAAGAAGGAGAAAGATGGAGTAACCTTCAGTCGGGTGACTACCATAACCCGCCAAGAAGCTCGCGACATCACTGAGGATTTCCTAGAGATCGAGAGGAACAGCCAACTCCCTGTCACTTCCACCACCGCAACAGTTCACGAGAAGTTCGTTGAAGAGGTCAAGGAGAAGACAAGCCCTCTGGCTTCAGTGCCTCAGGAAACCATAAAAGAGGTCCAACAAGTCATCAGTGAGGTGACCGAAATAGCTAGCAAGAAGGTTGAGAACATAATTAGCTCCTTCGAGACCAGTAAACCCGTAGAAGCTACTGCAACCTTACCAACTCAGGCGTCTGCCGAATCAACGAAGGTCAGCGAGACGATTAAACACCTGGAGGATGCCAAGACGGTGACCCAGGAGCAAGTAAAAACTATCCAGTTCATTGAGAGCTCAAGTATAGAGGAGACAATTGCCGAATTCGAAGCCAAGAAGGTCAAGTATGATTTTCATGGTGGCGAGCCCAAGACTCAGATCCCCAAGTTTACACGAAAGTCGAGCGAGGACTCGATGAAACCTACTGCAGCCCCACGTGCTACTGTTGAAGCCGATATTGATTCGCTCGTTGAGACTAAATCTGAAAAACCTATCTCAAAGATTCCAGTGAAGACAACACCAGCCGAAGCTCAGAAGGCTGGCGATGTGGATGCACGGAAGATGACTCAAGACTTTTTGCAGGGCGAGAAACTGGCTGCCGAACCAAAAGCAGCCCCAGCAGCCCCAGCAGCCAGCAAGATTCCCAAAGTGGAGCCGAGAAAATCGGTGGATAAGCAGATGGACAGGGAGTCAAAGATCTTGGATGATGTTGTCGCCTCTACTGCTACCATTATGACAGCAGGTCTGGGGCATGAACAGCTGAAGGACAAGCCCGTTGAACAACCAGAAGTTATTGCTAAGGCAGAGACTCTCAACGAAAAGGTCTCCGAGCTGATTAACACATTCCAGAAGATCGAGGAGAAGGTGACCAAGTCGGAGAAGTCCTCGGAAATTGCCAGCAAAGTGGAAGAGTTAGTCAAAATCGAAGATAAGCCTCTAGCTCCTGTTCAACCAAAGGAAGACAAAGTGGCGGAAAAGGTGGCCGAGGTAGTTGAAACATTCTACAAGATCGAAGAGCAGATCACAACAGCCGAGGCCCGCAAGCTCACCCACGATTTCCTTAGCATGGAGCAGCAAAGCCAATTACCGAGCATTCCGCAAGCCGCTGAGAAGCCCCTTGAATCTAGCTTGACCTCCACAAGTGCATCGGAACCGGATTCAATAGTCACTGTGAAATCCTCTCCGCCAGCTAGTAAGATACCTGTGGTGGAGCCCAGAAAGACACTTACCGAAGAAACACCAAAGCCTCTGATTGAAACTGAACCTGTACAGGCCACTGAAAAGAAAGCCCTGAATGAGCGACAGCTTACCGCGGATTTCTTGAGCATGGAGCAGCAAACTCAGCTCGTTTCCGAACCCGCAAAGAAGCTGGTTGAGGAGGTGATGAAGACAGCCGAACAACTGGTGGAACAGCCTAAAGAGCAAAAACCATGGAATGAGCGCCAGCTTACAGAAGATTTCCTAATCATGGAACAGCAGACACAACTGCCTTCAAAGCTAAAAGAAGAGCTGATCGATGGCATTGAGTCAGCGGCCCCAGTTGGGGATGGATCTCCTTTCCACACACCCAAGCTGACCACCACTGTGGTAACTCAAGAGCCACAACATCTGACAAGTGAATATGATAGTGACACCTTTGGCAAAGAAGCCACCGTTCCACTAAGAGACATCATCAAAGAGGAGGGACTTACTGCTCCAGTGTCCGTGGAGCCACGGAAATCGCTGACGGATGCTGAGTTCTGCAAATCGGTGGGCGAAACGATCACCAAAAAGATGAGCGTGGGCGTAATTGAAATATCCGATGAGCTCAAGAAAATAGGTAAATTATCCTAAATTCATTACCATTTCTGTACAAATCATAATTTTGTTTTTATACTTCTTCAGGGAGCGAAATCCCACACTCCCAGACTCCTCCACCAACACCGAGTGACACCAAAACCGACAAGCAGAGCGAGGAACCAGAACTTATCAGCTTAGAACGTGGTAAGTTTCTAAAACTATGGATTGGTCTCAATCTACTGAATATACGAACAATTTTAACACAGATTATCTGGCCGACACTGTGACCACCCTGCACACGACCACAGAGTCGACCTTTGAACGCGTCTCTGCCATTACCAAAATTGGTAAGTGCCAAGTTTGAAATGGGTGGCTGCCTCTATGCTCAATTTCTATGCAATTTGTAACTGTTATGTAAACTTATTTTATATATTTTTTAGTTCTGCCTTTTTCGGTAAAAGAATATAAATCTGAAACCATTATTTTTGTACACCCCTTCTTTTTCATTTATTTATTCCTTTGAACTTTGCCACAATCCGTAGTGTTTCTTGAACTGTTTTTTAAGTTTTGTCCTATTTCGTTTCTCCCACTACTCTTTGTTCCTCTACATTTCGTCTTTATTTAAGTCCAAAGGCTTTTTGTATGCAAAGTACCATTCAACCATTAAACGATTGCGATTTAAGAACTGTTAGATAGTTAAACTGTATCTATAAACTCGAACGGCAAACTGCTACTGTGTGTATCTTAATCAAAAAAGTCTGTAAGTGCGGCAGTAAATGTGCCATAAATTGAAACTAAGAAGGGATTTCCCAATCCTAACATAAAAAACGCCAAGCTGAAGCGCATTGAATGAATGTGACCACGAAATCTCGTAGATACTTACTTGTACCACTGCGAATGTCGCTAAGTTGCCAGATAATCCAATTACGTTAACACTGACGAAAGGTCGTAGAAACATGGCTAATTGTCTGTCTGGCGCCGTTCTGCGTTGTGTCTGCGTAACATTCGGTGGTGTCATTGTCAGTGGGCCAGCCAATCGATAGTTTGAACCTCGAATCGATTCAGCATAAATAACTTCAACTTGTTCTCGAAAGTCTTTCCGATCGGGGATATTTTCCTGTTGACCGGTGAAAGCCTATTAGTCCATTAGCACTCGGAAGGGAATCCACAGTTAATACCAGTAGGTAGTTCTTTATATAATTTGCGGCTGTTCGATCCACCGCAGGGTGGTGAGAAAACCGACTCTTGCGCAGTTATGTCATAGGTTCAGGGGGCAGCAGCTAGCGAAAGCCGAGCGGTGGCGTATACTTAATTTAATTTGCTTCTGGCATTCTTACAGTACAGCTATAGCCGCGCTTTCCGTGCAGATTTAGTCACGATTTTGAATTTCCCAAGTACGCGCGATCCGGAATTTAGACAGATTCGCGTCTCTCTAGTCAAAGTAGCGGCTACTAAGTTTCTCTGCTTTATTCTCCGTAGTAAGAAAATTAACTAAAAACATAGCGACTATAACTTTGAAGACGTGCATTCGCTGAGTGTTGATTTGTGATTGTGGTTCATTCAATGCGCAACGGAATAAACTATTTAAATAAACTTAATCGAACACTAAAGTAACTTTAAGTCTATTGTATTTTAATGGTAAGTTCTCATGTATAATTACAATCAATTTGAAAAGTTGCCTCAGTTTTAGGACCTATGTTTATACATCTATGATGGGTATCGTTTTCTGATAGGTCTCTCTCATTGTTGTCCTTTTAACTCTCATGGTATAACAATTACGTTTGCAATTTTAAACAAATATTTAAGCAATTGAGTTTATGTTTTTCAATTAACTACTGCAAGCTACAATTTAAATAATTCGATTTGTGTTTAACCTATGTAATAACCTTGTTTACTATACTCGTACTCAATCGGCCAATAGACGTGATCTATGGATAAGCCAAAGCATATAATCTACAATACTACTTATATTAACATTCGTTTAGCAATTACTAAGATTTTTTTCATTAAGATAAACACTTTTGGCATACTTTTGGATTTCTAAAATTGAAACAAACCAAATTGAAACTTCACCCATATTGGGATCAGCAAGGAGCTGGGTGACCACCAGCCGTCTTTCGATCTCCATATGAGGATTCATCGAAAAACTCTCGAATGAACCACCATGGCCTTCAGTTTGCAATGTTTATGTTTGATTTGTTTTTCGCAAATAATTATGTGTTCTGTTGCTTTTCGTAACTTTATCAATCCTTAACGAAAAAGCATATACTTACCATATATATAACGATAATAGTGTACTGTAACTGAATGTTAAGTCGAGCCACATCCAGATTCACTGTAGTATCTCTATATAGTATATAGCATATCAAACTCGTATTCGTACTCTTTGTCATTATTTGCGAATTTTAAAACCAACAGCAAAAATTATATTAGCCTCACCATATAATCAACATATTATTTGTTTGCACCCAGAACCACCAACCCAGCGCGCTTCTTAATGTAATTGGTTGTTTATAGATCGCAATTAAATATCGTACGAGTATGTGACATATGATGTCGTGGTTTGTTCTTAATCTCTCAATTCTAGCTTATTTTGCTTTTTGATTTTAAAATCAACATAAACATTGCTTAAATATTTGCAAATCAAAAATATGCAAACGTAATCAGCTCAGCTCAAGAATTTTACTGGAAGCATTGAATTTTGTGCAGCATCCAAGCAGAAATGGGCCCAATATTCCACGACCTCATATGCAGCATCTATTCGTTTGTATCTAAATGAAGCTCAGCTCAGCTTAGCCCAGTTCAGATTGGGATGGTTCAGCTAAGCTCCATCTGGCATCTGTTCAATGCGAAACAGATATTTTGATTTCGCTTCTCAACTAAATACTAAAGCATAAGCAATAAGTGCATGTTTGTGCCTGCTGCTGGGTTTTTGGCGTAAAGCTTGTAGTAAGAACATAAGTACATACCGTTCAGTATGTATGTGTGTCGGCAACATAATTGCACTGTGTACATAGACTAACCCACCATAAAGAACCCATGGTTTGTTTTTATACCCTTGCAGAGGGTATTATAATTTCAGTCAAAAGTTTGCAACGCAGTGAAGGAGACATTTCCGACCCTATAAAGTATATATATTCTTGATCAGCATCACCAGGAGAGTCGATCTAGCCATGTCCGTCTGTCCGTCCGTCTGTCCGTCTGTCCGTCCGTCTGTCCGTCTGTCCGTCTGTCCGTCCGTCCGTTTCTACGCAAACTAGTCCCTCAGTTTTAAAGCTATCTACTTGAAACTTTCCCAAAAGTTGTCTTTCTATTGCAGGTATTATATAAGTCGGAACGAGCCGGATCGGGCAACTATATCATATAGCTGCCATATAACTGAACGATCGGAAATGCCATAACTTTGGTGTTTTTAAAGTTAGGAAGTTGGGATTTTCTAAGAGTTTTATTTTTGGCCAATTAATCCGACCTACCGAATTTCATAAGGATCGGACGACTATATCCTATAGCCGCCATATAATTGATTGATCGGAAATGCCATAACTTTGGTGTTTGTAAAGTTAAGTTGGGATTTTCTATGGGTTTTATTTTTGGCCAATCAATCCGACCTACCAAATTTCATAAGGATCGGCCGACTATATCCTATAGCTGCCATATAACTGAACGATTGGAAATGCCATAACTTTGGTGTTTTTAAAGTTAGGAAGTTAGGACTTTTTATGAGTATTAAGAATACACCATATGAATAATTTTGAAGAATATAATTTACAGAATATTCTGCAAGGGTATATCAACTTCGGCTCCGTCCGAAGTTAGCTTTCCTTTCTTGTTTTTTAATTGGTGTTAACTGTGTTTATATTGCCATGTTTTCTACTCCACTCTACTTCCAACCAAAACCCTATTCTGCCATCCCCGGAATGCCTCAAACAGAGCACTTCAGTGTTCATAATGTAAAACCCGAAACCTTTACAAGAACAGATGAACCTGAAAAGCTGCTTCATAGTGTGGTAGCTTTCCCCGATATTCAGAAATTGTACTCACAAGACACTACCTCATTTACAGAAATGAGTACAAGTAGTCAAACACCGAAGACGACAACAACGACGATCCTGACAGCACAAATTGATCGCACCCAAGTAGACTTAACCATTCCAGAGAAAGATCAGCTGAAGGAGAAGATAAAGGATCAGCCATCAGTAGATGTAGATGCAGATGCAGAGAAAAGTGCCAGTGATAGGGAGTACTTAGAGCAAATTATGGGCTGTGGCGATGTCAGACGCAAGATAATGCGTTTGGAAAGCACTGGCAGCACAGAATCATTGGAGTCAATTGGCAAGCAGGCCGCTGTGACTCCCAAATTCATTGGAGATAATGTACCAGTGGTACGAGAGGTGGTGCAGAGCATTGAGGATAAGATCTGCAGTACAGTGGTGTCGGCCATTCCATTTACTGTCCAAAAACGGCAGCCCGAAGATAGTGATAAGGAACTTGATGTGGTAGAGCTAGAAAAGCAAATACTAACGCCAGCAGACTTGGCCCTGGAAAAGTTAATCAAGTGTGAACCACCCGCTGTGGTGGCAAAGATTTCACCCATCGAGGCCATGGAGCATGTGGGTCTTGGCCTAAAAGAAATAGAGGAAGAAGTTTGTGAAAAAGTTTGTGAGAAGCGGAAGGCCTTTGTGGTGGCTGAAGACTTATGTGAAACGGAAAAGACTTTAACAGAACAGGTAATAGAATTAAATAGACATGTAGAGCAGGTACCTGGCAAGATTTTAACTGAAACTGTTGAGGAGCACTTAGATATAGAAGGTAAGGATGTTAAAGAAGCTTTACCAAAGGTAAGGGAAGTTGTGCAGGACTTTGAACGGCGATATCCTGCATCGAGTTTAGAGGCCAAGCCGTTCAGTGCCCGAAAACGAGTAACCCCGGAACGTAAAGCTGATGTTTCGTCCATAGAGCAGCAGATTTTAAGCGATGCCGATTTGATTTTTGATGTTTTGGGTTCTAAGCACGTACCCGAGCCAAAGGTGCAGTCGCCCGTTTTCTCAATGGAAAACACGAGCGGCAGTACTGAAAACCTCGAAGGCGTATGTGAAAAGAAATGCTCAAAACGGACAATCTCCGATATGGCAAAGGCCTTTGAAAAACAAAAAGACGCAGAAACTCCATCAGTTAAAGACATCAAATCAGCAACAGTCATGTTTCTAGAACATGAGTCCGTAAAACTCGATATCACGGAAAGTATCAAAGAGTTTGAGGCCAAGAGTATTTTAAATGAAGGACTAACAGGTATTGCAGACAGTCAAATTAGATTTTTAACAGAATGTGATAAAAAAGAATTTCCAATAGAATCTATTAAGGATACTAAGCTGGTAGAATTTCCAAAAATTGCACACACCCTCGAACGGTTACATTCCATTTCCAAAACGGATGTCGAGGATACCAAGGAGTTTGCCCACGTAGCTAGTGAACATGAAGCGAAGATGGACAGGCTAGTGGACAACAGAGCACACCTAACAGCACTAAAAGGTAACCAAATCCTAGAAAAGGATATCCAAGTCAAGTTTCCGACGCAAGATAAAACAGATGAGCTTCAAACGTACCAGTGCTTAGCCATCAAGACTTCAGAACTTGTCCAAATGACTGATACACAAAATAAGTTCCCCTCTGAAGTGAAAACCGATTTTGATAAACAACTAATTGAAAGTGATAGTGACGAAGAGATAGACAATCTACAAAAGATAAACAAACTTAAGCATTTATCGAAAACTGAGCAAACATCTATTCTAGATGAAACTAGGATCCTGGAAAGTACTCAAAAAAGTGATATAACCAAGTTTCCAACAACCAACGATATTATTAGTTTCAAAGTCCAAGAACGTTCACCAGCTCTAACCAATATAGAGTCGGTGAGCACAATTATTAAATCAAAAGATAGCAAGATCAGAAAACCATTAGATCTAAATCCCAGTTTGAAAGACGATAAGCTCCCAATCACTTTAGGAGATAAGCCCAAGTCACCAGTTGAGACAGTAACATCTAGTCAAAAAGAGTATTCGGACGATGAAAGCGATGAGGAGTTTGGAATTACTCAGCCCCAAGACAAACACGCTTTCCAGCCCACTTCTTTGGTAACTCCTCTTGTCGAAGCTGGGGATAAATCTTCTGTTAAAGTTGGTGAGAAACCAAAGTCGCTTGAGATGAAAGACGAAAAGCTACCAACTAAGCTAGAAGACAAACCCAAATCACCCATTGAGTCGGTAAAGCCTACTGTAAGGGAGTATTCGGACGATGAAAGTTACGAAGAGTTTGGAATTCCAAAGCCCCATGACAAGCCTGTTAGTGAACCATTACCCTCGGTAATCCCTACTACTAGTGTTCCAGATAAATCGCCTCTTAAGGACGATGTGAAGCCTAAGGAAGTTACTGTATTCAAGGTAGAAGAAGGTTCTACAACAATTCAAACCAACATAAGTTCTTCAAGCACCATTGTTATATCAATAGATAGCAAGATCAGCAAACCATTAGATCCGATTGCAGGTTTGAAAGACGATAAGCTCCCAACTTCTTTAGAAGATAAGCCCAAGTCACCAGTTGAGTCAGTAACATTTAGTCAAAAAGAGTATTCAGACGATGAAAGTGACGAGGAGTTTGGAATTACTCAGCCCCAAGACAAACACGCTTTCCAGCCCACTTCTTTGGTAACTCCTCAAGTCGAAGCTGGGGATAAATCTTCTGTTAAAGTTGATGAGAAACCAAAGTCGCTTGAGCTGAAAGACGAAAAGCTAACAACTAAGCTAGAAGACAAGCCCAAATCACCCATTGAGTCGGTAAAGCCTACGGTAAGCGAGTATTCGGACGATAAAAGTGACGAAGAGTTTGGAATTCCAAAGCCCCATGACAAGCCTGTTAGTGAACCAATACCCTCGGTAGTCCCTACTGCTAGTGTTCCAGATAAATCCCCTCTTAAGGACGATTTAAGGCCCAAGGAAGTTACTGTTTTCAAGGCGGAAGAAAGTTCAACAACAATTCAAAGCAACATAAAATCTTCAAGCACCATTGTTGAATCAATAGATATCAAGATCAGCAAACCATTAGATCCGTTTGCAGGTTTGAAAGACGATAAGCTCCCAACCTCTTTACAAGATAAGCCCAAGTCACCAGTTGAGTCAGTAACATTTAGTCCAAAAGAGTATTCAAATGATGAAAGCGATGAGGAGTTTGGAATTACTCAGCCCCAAGACAAACACGCTTTCCAGCCCACTTCTTTGGTAACTCCTCAAGTCGAGGCTGGGGATAAATCTTCTGTTAAAGTTGATGAGAAACCAAAGTCGCTTGAGCTGAAAGACGAAAAGCTAACAACTAAGCTAGAAGACAAACCCAAATCACCCATTGAGTCAGCAAAGCCTAGTGTAAGGGAGTATTCGGACAATGAAAGTGACGAAGAGTTTGGAATTCCAAAGCCCCATGACAAGCCTGTTAGTGAACCAACACCCTCCGTAATCCCTACTGCTAGTGTTCCAGATAAATCGCCTCCTAAGGACGATTTAAGGCCTAAGGAAGTTACTGTTTTCAAGGCGGAAGAAAGTTCAACAACAATTCAAAGCAACATAAAATCTTCAAGCACCATTGTTGAATCAATAGATAGCAAGATCAGCAAGCCATTAGATCCGTTTGCAGGTTTGAAAGACGATAAGCTCCCAACCTCTTTAGAAGATAAGCCCAAGTTACCAGGTGAGACAGTAACATTAAGTCAAAAAGAGTATTCAGACGATGAAAACGATGAGGAGTTTGGAATTACTCAGCCCCAAGACAAACACGCTTTCCAGCCCACTTCTTTGGTATCTCCTCTAGTAGAAGCTGGGGATAAATCTTCTGTTAAAGTTGATGAGAAAACAAAGTCGCTTGAGCTGAAAGACGAAAAGCTACCAACTAAGCTAGAAGACAAACCCAAATCACCCATTGAGTCGGTAAAGCCTACGGTAAGCGAGTATTCGGACGATAAAAGTGACGAAGAGTTTGGAATTCCAAAGCCCCATGACAAGCCTGTTAGTGAACCAATACCCTCGGTAATTCCTACTGCTAGTGTTCCAGATAAATCCCCTTTTAAGGACGATTTAAGGCCCAAGGAAGTTACTGTTTTCAAGGTAGAAGAAAGTTCTACAACAATTCAAAGCAACATAAAATCTGCAAGCACCATTCTTGAATCAATAGATAGCAAGATCAGCAAACCATTAGATCCGATTGCAGGTTTGAAAGACGATAAGCTCCCAACCTCTTTAGGAGATAAGCCCAAGTCACCAGTTGAGACAGTAACATCTAGTCAAAAAGAGTATTCGAACGATGAAAACGAGAAGGAGTTTGGAATTACTCAGCCCCAAGACAAACACGCTTTCCAGCCCACTTCTTCGGTAACTCCTCTAGTCGAAGCTGGGGATAAATCTTCTGTTAAAGTTGATGAGAAACCAAAGTCGCTTGAGCTGAAAGACGAAAAGCTACCAACTAAGCTAGAAGACAAACCCAAATCACTCATTGAGTCAGTAAAGCCTACTGTAAGGGAGTATTCGGACGATGAAAGTGACGAAGAGTTTGGAATTCCAAAGCCCCATGACAAGCCTGTTAGTGAACCATTACCCTCGGTAATCCCTACTACTAGTGTTCCAGATAAATCGCCTCTTAAGGACGATGTAAAGCCTAAGGAAGTTACTGTTTTCAAGGTAGAAGAAAGTTCTACAACAATTCAAACCAACATAAAATCTGCAAGCACCATTGTTGAATCAATAGATAGCAAGATCAGCAAACCATTAGATCCGATTGCAGGTTTGAAAGACGATAAGCTCCCAACCACTTTAGGAGATAAGCCCAAGTCACCAGTTGAGACAGTAACATCTAGTCAAAAAGAGTATTCGGACGATGAAAGCGATGAGGAGTTTGGATTTACTCAGCCCCAAGACAAACACGCTTTTCAGCCCACTTCTTTGGTATCTCCTCTAGTAGAAGCTGGGGATAAATCTTCTGTTAAAGTTGATTATAAACCAAAGTCGCTTGAGCTGAAAGACGAAAAGCTTCCAACTAAGCTAGAAGACAAACCCAAATCACCCATTGAGTCAGTAAAGCCTACTGTAGTGGGGTATTCGGACGATGAAAGTGACGAAGAGTTTGGAATTCCAAAGCCCCATGACAAGCCTGTTAGTGAACCATTACCCTCGGTAATCCCTACTACTAGTGTTCCGGATAAATCGCCTCTTAAAGACGATGTAAGGCCTAAGGAAGTTATTGTTTTCAAGGCGGAAGAAAGTTCAGCAACAATTCAAAGCAACATAAAATCTGCAAGCACCATTGTTGAATCAATAGATAGCAAGATCAGCAAACCATTAGATCCGTTTGCAGGTTTGAAAGACGATAAGCTCCCAACCTCTTTAGGAGATAAGCCCAAGTCACCAGTTGAGACAGTAACATCTAGTCAAAAAGAGTATTCGGACGATGAAGGCGATGAGGAGTTTGGAATTACTCAGCCCCAAGAAAAACACGCTTTCCAGCCCACTTCTTCGGTAACTCCTCTAGTCGAAGCTGGGGATAAATCTTCTGTTAAAGTTGATGAGAAACCAAAGTCGCTTGGGCTGAAAGACGAAATGCTACCAACTAAGCTAGAAGACAAACCCAAATCACCCATTGAGTCAGTAAAGCCTACTGTAAGGGAGTATTCGGACGATGAAAGTGACGAAGAGTTTGGAATTCCAAAGCCCCATGACAAGCCTGTTAGTGAACCATTACCCTCGGTAATCCCTACTACTAGTGTTCCGGATAAATCGCCTCTTAAAGACGATGTAAGGCCTAAGGAAGTTATTGTTTTCAAGGCGGAAGAAAGTTCAACAACAATTCAAAGCAACATAAAATCTGCAAGCACCATCGTTGAATCAATAGATATCAAGATCAGCAAACCATTAGATCCGTTTGCAGGTTTGAACGACGATAAGCTCCCAACCTCTTTAGGAGATAAGCCCAAGTCACCAGTTGAGACAGTAACATCTAGTCAAAAAGAGTATTCGGACGATGAAAGCGATGAAGAGTTTGGAATTACTCAGCCCCAAGACAAACACGCTTTCCAGCCCACTTCTTCGGTAACTCCTCTAGTCGAAGCTGGGGATAAATCTTCTGTTAAAGTTGATGAGAAACCAAAGTCGCTTGAGCTGAAAGACGAAAAGCTACCAACTAAGCTAGAAGACAAACCCAAATCACCCATTGAGTCAGTAAAGCCTACTGTACGGGAGTATTCGGATGATGAAAGTGACGAAGAGTTTGGAATTCCAAAGCCCCATGACAAGCCTGTTAGTGAACCATTACCCTCGGTAATCCCTACTACTAGTGTTCCAGATAAATCGCCTCTTAAGGACGATGTAAAGCCTAAGGAAGTTACTGTTTTCAAGGTAGAAGAAAGTTCTACAACAATTCAAAGCAACATCAAGTCTGCAAGCACCATTGTTGAATCAATATATAGCAAGATCAGCAAACCATTAGATCCCATTGCAGGTTTGAAAGACGATAAGCTCCCAACCAGTTTAGGATATAAGCCCAAGTCACCAGTTGAGACAATAACATCTAGTCAAAAAGAGTATTCGGACGATGAAAGCGATGAGGAGTTTGGAATTACTCAGCCCCAAGAAAAACACGCTTTCCAGCTCACTTCTTCGGTAACTCCTCTAGTCGAAGCTGGGGATAAATCCTCTGTTAAAGTTGATGAGAAACCAAAGTCGCTTGAGCTGAAAGACGAAAAGCTACCAACTAAGCTAGAAGACAAACCCAAATCACCCATTGAGTCAGTAAAGCCTACTGTAAGGGAGTATTCGGACGATGAAAGTGACGAAGAGTTTGGAATTCCAAAGCCCTATGACAAGCCTGTTAGAGAACCATTACCCTCGGTAATCCCTACTACTAGTGTTCCAGATAAATCGCCTCTTAAGGACGATGTAAAGCCTAAGGAAGTTACTGTTTTCAAAGTAGAAGAAGGTTCTACAACAATTCAAACCAACATAAAATCTGCAAGCACAGTTGTTGAATCAATAGATAGCAGGATCAGCAAGCCATTAGATCCGTTTGCAGGTTTGAAAGACGATAAGCTCCCAACCTCTTTAGGAGATAAGCCCAAGTCACCAGTTGAGTCAGTAACATTTAGTCAAAAAGAGTTTTCAGACGATGAAAGCGATGAGGAGCTTGGAATTACTCAGCCCCAAGACAAACACGCTTTCCAGCCCACTTCTTCGGTAGCTCCTCTAGTCGAAGCTGGGGATAAATCTTCTGTTAAAGTTGATGAGAAACCAAAGTCGCTTGAGCTGAAAGACGAAAAGCTACCAACTAAGCTAGAAGACAAACCCAAATCACCCATTGAGTCAGTAAAGCCTACTGTAAGGGAGTATTCGGACGATGAAAGTGACGAAGAGTTTGGAATTCCAAAGCCCCATGACAAGCCTGTTAGTGAACCATTACCCTCGGTAATCCCAACTACTAGTGTTCCAGATAAATCGCCTCTTAAAGACGATGTAAGGCCTAAGGAAGTTATTGTTTTCAAGGCGGAAGAAAGTTCAACAACAATTCAAAGCAACATAAAATTTGCAAGCACCATTGTTGAATCAATAGATAGCAAGATCAGCAAACCATTAGATCCGTTTGCAGGTTTGAAAGACGATAAGCTCCCAACCTCTTTAGGAGATAAGCCCAAGTTACCAGTTGAGACAGTAACATTTAGTCAAAAAGAGTATTCGGACGATGAAAGCGATGAGGAGTTTGGAATTACTCAGCCCCAAGACAAACACGCTTTCCAGCCCACTTCTTCGGTAACTCCTCTAGTCGAAGCTGGGGATAAATCTTCTGTTAAAGTTGATGAGAAACCAAAGTCGCTTGAGCTGAAAGACGAAAAGCTACCAACTAAGCTAGAAGACAAACCCAAATCACCCATTGAGTCAGTAAAGCCTACTGTAAGGGAGTATTCGGACGATGAAAGTGACGAAGAGTTTGGAATTCCAAAGCCCCATGACAAGCCTGTTAATGAACCATTACCCTCGGTAATCCCTACTACTAGTGTTCCAGATAAATCGCCTCTTAAGGACGATGTAAAGCCTAAGGAAGTTACTGTTTTCAAGGTAGAAGAAAGTTCAACAACAATTCAAACCAACATAAAATCTGCAAGCACCATTGTTGAATCAATAGATAGCAAGATCAGCAAACCATTAGATCCGATTGCAGGTATGAAAGACGATAAGCTCCCAACCAGTTTAGGAGATAAGCCCAAGTCACCAGTTGAGACAGTAACATTTAGTCAAAAAGAGTATTCGGACGATGAAAGCGATGAGGAGTTTGGAATTACTCAGCCCCAAGACAAACACGCTTTCCAGCCCACTTCTTCGGTAACTCCTCTAGTCGAAGCTGGGGATAAATCTTCTGTTAAAGTTGATGAGAAACCAAAGTCGCTTGAGCTGAAAGACGAAAAGCTACCAACTAAGCTAGAAGACAAACCCAAATCACCCATTGAGTCAGTAAAGCCTACTGTAAGGGAGTATTCGGACGATGAAAGTGACGAAGAGTTTGGAATTCCAAAGCCCCATGACAAGCCTGTTAGTGAACCATTACCCTCGGTAATCCCTACTACTAGTGTTCCAGATAAATCGCCTCTTAAGGACGATGTAAAGCCTAAGGAAGTTACTGTTTTCAAGGTAGAAGAAAGTTCAACAACAATTCAAACCAACATAAAATCTGCAAGCACCATTGTTGAATCAATAGATAGCAAGATCAGCAAACCATTAGATCCGATTGCAGGTATGAAAGACGATAAGCTCCCAACCAGTTTAGGAGATAAGCCCAAGTCACCAGTTGAGTCAGTAACATCTGGTCAAAAAGAGTATTCGGACGATGAAAGCGATGAGGAGTTTGGAATTACTCAGCCCCCAGACAAACACGCTTTCCAGCCCACTTCTTCGGTAACTCCTCTAGTCGAAGCTGGGGATAAATCTTCTGTTAAAGTTGATGAAAAACCAAAGTCGCTTGAGCTGAAAGACGAAAAGCTACCAACTAAGCTAGAAGACAAACCCAAATCACCCATTGAGTCAGTAAAGCCTACTGTAAGGGAGTATTCGGACGATGAAAGTGACGAAGAGTTTGGAATTCCAAAGCCCCATGACAAGCCTGTTAGTGAACCATTACCCTCGGTAATCCCTACTACTAGTGTTCCAGATAAATCGCCTCTTAAAGACGATGTAAGGCCTAAGGAAGTTATTGTTTTCAAGGCGGAAGAAAGTTCAACAACAATTCAAAGCAACATAAAATTTGCAAGCACCATTGTTGAATCAATAGATAGCAAGATCAGCAAACCATTAGATCCGTTTGCAGGTTTGAAAGACGATAAGCTCCCAACCTCTTTAGGAGATAAGCCCAAGTCACCAGTTGAGACAGTAACATTTAGTCAAAAAGAGTATTCGGACGATGAAAGCGATGAGGAGTTTGGAATTACTCAGCCCCAAGACAAACACGCTTTCCAGCCCACTTCTTCGGTAACTCCTCTAGTCGAAGCTGGGGATAAATCTTCTGTTAAAGTTGATGAGAAACCAAAGTCGCTTGAGCTGAAAGACGAAAAGCTACCAACTAAGCTAGAAGACAAACCCAAATCACCCATTGAGTCAGTAAAGCCTACTGTAAGGGAGTATTCGGACGATGAAAGTGACGAAGAGTTTGGAATTCCAAAGCCCCATGACAAGCCTGTTAATGAACCATTACCCTCGGTAATCCCTACTACTAGTGTTCCAGATAAATCGCCTCTTAAGGACGATGTAAAGCCTAAGGAAGTTACTGTTTTCAAGGTAGAAGAAAGTTCAACAACAATTCAAACCAACATAAAATCTGCAAGCACCATTGTTGAATCAATAGATAGCAAGATCAGCAAACCATTAGATCCGATTGCAGGTATGAAAGACGATAAGCTCCCAACCAGTTTAGGAGATAAGCCCAAGTCACCAGTTGAGACAGTAACATTTAGTCAAAAAGAGTATTCGGACGATGAAAGCGATGAGGAGTTTGGAATTACTCAGCCCCAAGACAAACACGCTTTCCAGCCCACTTCTTCGGTAACTCCTCTAGTCGAAGCTGGGGATAAATCTTCTGTTAAAGTTGATGAGAAACCAAAGTCGCTTGAGCTGAAAGACGAAAAGCTACCAACTAAGCTAGAAGACAAACCCAAATCACCCATTGAGTCAGTAAAGCCTACTGTAAGGGAGTATTCGGACGATGAAAGTGACGAAGAGTTTGGAATTCCAAAGCCCCATGACAAGCCTGTTAGTGAACCATTACCCTCGGTAATCCCTACTACTAGTGTTCCAGATAAATCGCCTCTTAAGGACGATGTAAAGCCTAAGGAAGTTACTGTTTTCAAGGTAGAAGAAAGTTCAACAACAATTCAAACCAACATAAAATCTGCAAGCACCATTGTTGAATCAATAGATAGCAAGATCAGCAAACCATTAGATCCGATTGCAGGTATGAAAGACGATAAGCTCCCAACCAGTTTAGGAGATAAGCCCAAGTCACCAGTTGAGTCAGTAACATCTGGTCAAAAAGAGTATTCGGACGATGAAAGCGATGAGGAGTTTGGAATTACTCAGCCCCAAGACAAACACGCTTTCCAGCCCACTTCTTCGGTAACTCCTCTAGTCGAAGCTGGGGATAAATCTTCTGTTAAAGTTGATGAGAAACCAAAGTCGCTTGAGCTGAAAGACGAAAAGCTACCAACTAAGCTAGAAGACAAACCCAAATCACCCATTGAGTCAGTAAAGCCTACTGTAAGGGAGTATTCGGACGATGAAAGTGACGAAGAGTTTGGAATTCCAAAGCCCCATGACAAGCCTGTTAGTGAACCATTACCCTCGGTAATCCCTACTACTAGTGTTCCAGATAAATCGCCTCTTAAAGACGATGTAAGGCCTAAGGAAGTTATTGTTTTCAAGGCGGAAGAGAGTTCAACAACAATTCAAAGCAACATAAAATCTGCAAGCACCATTGTTGAATCAATAGATAGCAAGATCAGCAAACCATTAGATCCGTTTGCAGGTTTGAAAGACGATAAGCTCCCAACCTCTTTAGGAGATAAGCCCAAGTCACCAGTTAAGACAGTAACATCTAGTCAAAAAGAGTATTCGGACGATGAAAGCGATGAGGAGTTTGGAATTACTCAGCCCCAAGACAAACACGCTTTCCAGCCCACTTCTTCGGTAACTCCTCTAGTCGAAGCTGGGGATAAATCTTCTGTTAAAGTTGATGAAAAACCAAAGTCGCTTGAGCTGAAAGACGAAAAGCTACCAACTAAGCTAGAAGACAAACCCAAATCACCCATTGAGTCAGTAAAGCCTACTGTAAGGGAGTATTCGGACGATGAAAGTGACGAAGAGTTTGGAATTCCAAAGCCCCATGACAAGCCTGTTAGTGAACCATTACCCTCGGTAATCCCTACTACTAGTGTTCCAGATAAATCGCCTCTTAAGGACGATGTAAAGCCTAAGGAAGTTACTGTTTTCAAGGTAGAAGAAAGTTCTACAACAATTCAAAGCAACATAAAATCTGCAAGCACCATTGTTGAATCAATAGATAGCAAGATCAGCAAACCATTAGATCCCATTGCAGGTTTGAAAGACGATAAGCTCCCAACCAGTTTAGGAGATAAGCCCAAGTCACCAGTTGAGACAGTAACATCTAGTCAAAAAGAGTATTCGGACGATGAAAGCGATGAGGAGTTTGGAATTACTCCGCCCCAAGACAAACACGCTTTCCAGCCCACTTCTTTGGTAACTCCTCTAGTCGAAGCTGGGGATAAATCTTCTGTTAAAGTTGATGAGAAACCAAAGTCGCTTGAGCTGAAAGACGAAAAGCTACCAACTAAGCTAGAAGACAAACCCAAATCACCCATTGAGTCAGTAAAGCCTACTGTAAGGGAGTATTCGGACGATGAAAGTGACGAAGAGTTTGGAATTCCAAAGCCCCATGACAAGCCTGTTAGTGAACCATTGCCCTCAGTAATCCCTACTACTAGTGTTCCAGATAAATCGCCTCTTAAAGACGATGTAAGGCCTAAGGAAGTTATTGTTTTCAAGGCGGAAGAGAGTTCAACAACAATTCAAACCAACATAAAATCTGCAAGCACCATTGTTGAATCAATAGATAGCAAGATCAGCAAACCATTAGATCCGATTGCAGGTTTGAAAGACGATAAGCTCCCAACCACTTTAGGAGATAAGCCCAAGTCACCAGTTGAGTCAGTAACATTTGGTCAAAAAGAGTATTCGGACGATGAAAGCGATGAGGAGTTTGGAATTACTCAGCCCCAAGACAAACACGCTTTCCAGCCCACTTCTTTGGTAACTCCTCTAGTCGAAGCTGGGAATAAATCTTCTGTTAAAGTTGATGAGAAACCAAAGTCGCTTGAGCTGAAAGAAGAAAAGCTACCAACTAAGCTAGAAGACAAACCCAAATCACCCATTGAGTCAGTAAAGCCTACTGTAAGGGAGTATTCGGACGATGAAAGTGACGAAGAGTTTGGAATTCCAAAGCCCCATGACAAGCCTGTTAGTGAACCATTACCCTCGGTAATCCCTACTACTAGTGTTCCAGATAAATCGCCTCTTAAGGACGATGTAAAGCCTAAGGAAGTTACTGTTTGCAAGGTAGAAGAAAGTTCTACAACAATTCAAAGCAACATCAAGTCTGCAAGCACCATTGTTGAATCAATATATAGCAAGATCAGCAAACCATTAGATCCCATTGCAGGTTTGAAATACGATAAGCTCCCAACCAGTTTAGGAGATAAGCCCAAGTCACCAGTTGAGACAGTAACATCTAGTCAAAAAGAGTATTCGGACGATGAAAGCGATGAGGAGTTTGGAATTACTCCGCCCCAAGACAAACACGCTTTCCAGCCCACTTCTTTGGTAACTCCTCTAGTCGAAGCTGGGGATAAATCTTCTGTTAAAGTTGATGAGAAACCAAAGTCGCTTGAGCTGAAAGACGAAAAGCTACCAACTAAGCTAGAAGACAAACCCAAATCACCCATTGAGTCAGTAAAGCCTATTGTAAGGGAGTATTCGGACGATGAAAGTGACGAAGAGTTTGGAATTCCAAAGCCCCATGACAAGCCTGTTAGTGAACCATTGCCCTCAGTAATCCCTACTACTAGTGTTCCAGATAAATCGCCTCTTAAAGACGATGTAAGGCCTAAGGAAGTTATTGTTTTCAAGGCGGAAGAGAGTTCAACAACAATTCAAACCAACATAAAATCTGCAAGCACCATTGTTGAATCAATAGATAGCAAGATCAGCAAACCATTAGATCCGATTGCAGGTTTGAAAGACGATAAGCTCCCAACCACTTTAGGAGATAAGCCCAAGTCACCAGTTGAGTCAGTAACATTTGGTCAAAAAGAGTATTCGGACGATGAAAGCGATGAGGAGTTTGGAATTACTCAGCCCCAAGACAAACACGCTTTCCAGCCCACTTCTTTGGTAACTCCTCTAGTCGAAGCTGGGAATAAATCTTCTGTTAAAGTTGATGAGAAACCAAAGTCGCTTGAGCTGAAAGAAGAAAAGCTACCAACTAAGCTAGAAGACAAACCCAAATCACCCATTGAGTCAGTAAAGCCTACTGTAAGGGAGTATTCGGACGATGAAAGTGACGAAGAGTTTGGAATTCCAAAGCCCTATGACAAGCCTGTTAGTGAACCATTACCCTCGGTAATCCCTACTACTAGTGTTCCAGATAAATCGCCTCTTAAGGACGATGTAAAGCCTAAGGAAGTCACTGTTTTCAAGGTAGAAGAAAGTTCTACAACAATTCAAAGCAACATCAAGTCTGCAAGCACCATTGTTGAATCAATATATAGCAAGATCAGCAAACCATTAGATCCCATTGCAGATTTGAAAGACGATAAGCTCCCAACCAGTTTAGGAGATAAGCCCAAGTCACCAGTTGAGACAGTAACATCTAGTCAAAAAGAGTATTCGGACGATGAAAGCGATGAGGAGTTTGGAATTACTCCGCCCCAAGACAAACACGCTTTCCAGCCCACTTCTTTGGTAACTCCTCTAGTCGAAGCTGGGGATAAATCTTCTGTTAAAGTTGATGAGAAACCAAAGTCGCTGGAGCTAAAAGACGAAAAGCTACCAACTAAGCTAGAAGACAAACCCAAATCACCCATTGAGTCAGTAAAGCCTACTGTAAGGGAGTATTCGGACGATGAAAGTGACGAAGAGTTTGGAATTCCAAGGCCCCATGGCAAGCCTGTTAGTGAACCATTACCCTCGGTACTCCCTACTACTAGTGTTCCAGATAAATCGCCTCTTAAAGACGATGTAAGGCCTAAGGAAGTTATTGTTTTCAAGGCGGAAGATAGTTCAACAACAATTCAAACCAACATAAAATCTGCAAGCACCATTGTTGAATCAATAGATAGCAAGATCAGCAAACCATTAGATCCGATTGCAGGTTTGAAAGACGATAAGCTCCCAACCACTTTAGGAGATAAGCCCAAGTCCCCAGTTGAGACAGTAACATCTAGTCAAAAAGAGTATTCGGACGATGAAGGCGATGAGGAGTTTGGAATTACTCAGCCCCAAGACAAACACGCTTTCCAGCCCACTTCTTCGGTAACTCCTCTAGTCGAAGCTGGGGATAAATCTTCTGTTAAAGTTGATGAAAAACCAAAGTCGCTTGAGCTGAAAGACGAAAAGCTACCAACTAAGCTAGAAGACAAACCCAAATCACCCATTGAGTCAGTAAAGCCTACTGTAAGGGAGTATTCGGACGATGAAAGTGACGAAGAGTTTGGAATTCCAAAGCCCCATGACAAGCCTGTTAGTGAACCATTACCCTCGGTAATCCCTACTACTAGTGTTCCAGATAAATCGCCTCTTAAGGACGATGTAAAGCCTAAGGAAGTTACTGTTTTCAAGGTAGAAGAAAGTTCTACAACAATTCAAACCAACATAAAATCTGCAAGCACCATTGTTGAATCAATAGATAGCAAGATCAACAAACCATTAGATCCGATTGCAGGTTTGAAATACGATAAGCTCCCAACCTCTTTAAGAGATAAGCCCAAGTCACCAGTTGAGTCAGTAACATCTGGTCAAAAAGAGTATTCGGACGATGAAAGCGATGAGGAGTTTGGAATTACTCAGCCCCAAGACAGACACGCTTTCCAGCCCACTTCTTTGGTAACTCCTCTAGTCAAAGCTGGGGATAAATCTTCTGTTAAAGTTGATGAGAAACCAAAGTCGCTTGAGCTGAAAGAAGAAAAGCTACCAACTAAGCTAGAAGACAAACCCAAATCTCCCATTGAGTCAGTAAAGCCTACTGTAAGGGAGTATTCGGACGATGAAAGTGACGAAGAGTTTGGAATTCCAAAGCCCCATGACAAGCCTGTTAGTGAACCATTACCCTCGGTAATCCCTACTACTAGTGTTCCAGATAAATCGCCTCTTAAAGACGATGTAAAGCCTAAGGAAGTTACTGTTTTCAAGGTAGAAGAAAGTTCTACAACAATTCAAAGCAACATCAAGTCTGCAAGCACCATTGTTGAATCAATATATAGCAAGATCAGCAAACCATTAGATCCCATTGTAGGTTTGAAAGACGATAAGCTCCCAACCAGTTTAGGAGATAAGCCCAAGTCACCAGTTGAGACAGTAACATCTAGTCAAAAAGAGTATTCGGACGATGAAAGCGATGAGGAGTTTGGAATTACTCCGCCCCAAGACAAACACGCTTTCCAGCCCACTTCTTTGGTAACTCCTCTAGTCGAAGCTGGGGATAAATCTTCTGTTAAAGTTGATGAGAAACCAAAGTCGCTTGAGCTGAAAGACGAAAAGCTACCAACTAAGCTAGAAGACAAACCCAAATCACCCATTGAGTCAGTAAAGCCTACTGTAAGGGAGTATTCGGACGATGAAAGTGACGAAGAGTTTGGAATTCCAAAGCCCCATGACAAGCCTGTTAGTGAACCATTACCCTCGGTAATCCCTACTACTAGTGTTCCAGATAAATCGCCTCTTAAGGACGATGTAAAGCTTAAGGAAGTTACTGTTTTCAAGGTAGAAGAAAGTTCTACAACAATTCAAACCAACATAAAATCTGCAAGCACCATTCTTGAATCAATAGATAGCAAGATCAGCAAACCATTAGATCCGATTGCAGGTTTGAAAGACGATAAGCTCCCAACTACTTTAGGAGATAAGCTCAAGTCACCAGTTGAGACAGTAACATCTAGTCAAAAAGAGTATTCGGACGATGAAGGCGATGAGGAGTTTGGAATTACTCAGCCCCAAGACAAACACGCTTTCCAGCCCACTTCTTTGGTAACTCCTCTAGTCGAAGCTGGGGATAAATCTTCTGTTAAAGTTGATGAGAAACCAAAGTCGCTTGAGCTGAAAGACGAAAAGCTACCAACTAAGCTAGAAGACAAACCCAAATCACCCATTGAGTCAGTAAGGCCTACTGTAAGGGAGTATTCGGACGATGAAAGTGACGAAGAGTTTGGAATTCCAAAGCCCCATGACAAGCCTGTTAGTGAACCATTACCCTCGGTAATCCCTACTACTAGTGTTCCAGATAAATCGCCTCTTAAGGACGACGTAAAGCCTAAGGAAGTTACTGTTTTCAAGGTAGAAGAAAGTTCTACAACAATTCAAAGCAACATCAAGTCTGCAAGCACCATTGTTGAATCAATATATAGCAAGATCAGCAAACCATTAGATCCCATTGCAGGTTTGAAAGACGATAAGCTCCCAACCAGTTTAGGAGATAAGCCCAAGTCACCAGTTGAGACAGTAACATCTAGTCAAAAAGAGTATTCGGACGATGAAAGCGATGAGGAGTTTGGAATTACTCCGCCCCAAGACAAACACGCTTTCCAGCCCACTTCTTTGGTAACTCCTCTAGTCGAAGCTGGGGATAAATCTTCTGTTAAAGTTGATGAGAAACCAAAGTCGCTTGAGCTGAAAGACGAAAAGCTACCAACTAAGCTAGAAGACAAACCCAAATCACCCATTAAGTCAGTAAAGCCTATTGTAAGGGAGTATTCGGATGATGAAAGTGACGAAGAGTTTGAAATTCCAAAGCCCCATGACAAGCCTGTTAGTGAACCATTACCCTCGGTAATCCCTACTACTAGTGTTCCAGATAAATCGCCTCTTAAGGACGATGTAAAGCCTAAGGAAGTTACTGTTTTCAAGGTAGAAGAAAGTTCTACAACAATTCAAACCAACATAAAATCTGCAAGCACCATTCTTGAATCAATAGATAGCAAGATCAGCAAACCATTAGATCCGATTGCAGGTTTGAAAGACGATAAGCTCCCAACTACTTTAGGAGATAAGCTCAAGTCACCAGTTGAGACAGTAACATCTAGTCAAAAAGAGTATTCGGACGATGAAGGCGATGAGGAGTTTGGAATTACTCAGCCCCAAGACAAACACGCTTTCCAGCCCACTTCTTTGGTAACTCCTCTAGTCGAAGCTGGGGATAAATCTTCTGTTAAAGTTGATGAGAAACCAAAGTCGCTTGAGCTGAAAGACGAAAAGCTACCAACTAAGCTAGAAGACAAACCCAAATCACCCATTGAGTCAGTAAAGCCTACTGTAAGGGAGTATTCGGACGATGAAAGTGACGAAGAGTTTGGAATTCCAAAGCCCCATGACAAGCCTGTTAGTGAACCATTACCCTCGGTAATCCCTACTACTAGTGTTCCAGATAAATCGCCTCTTAAGGACGACGTAAAGCCTAAGGAAGTTACTGTTTTCAAGGTAGAAGAAAGTTCTACAACAATTCAAAGCAACATCAAGTCTGCAAGCACCATTGTTGAATCAATATATAGCAAGATCAGCAAACAATTAGATCCCATTGCAGGTTTGAAAGACGATAAGCTCCCAACCAGTTTAGGAGATAAGCCCAAGTCACCAGTTGAGACAGTAACATCTAGTCAAAAAGAGTATTCGGACGATGAAAGCGATGAGGAGTTTGGAATTACTCTGCCCCAAGACAAACACGCTTTCCAGCCCACTTCTTTGGTAACTCCTCTAGTCGAAGCTGGGGATAAATCTTCTGTTAAAGTTGATGAGAAACCAAAGTCGCTTGAGCTGAAAGACGAAAAGCTACCAACTAAGGTGGAAGACAAACCCAAATCACCCATTGAGTCAGTAAAGCCTACTGTAAGGGAGTATTCGGACGATGAAAGTGACGAAGAGTTTGGAATTCCAAAGCCCCATGACAAGCCTGTTAGTGAACCATTACCCTCGGTAATCCCTACTACTAGTGTTCCAGATAAATCGCCTCTTAAGAACGATGTAAAGCCTAAGGAAGTTACTGTTTTCAAGGTAGAAGAAAGTTCTACAACAATTCAAACCAACATAAAAACTGCAAGCACCATTCTTGAATCAATAGATAGCAAGATCAGCCAACCATTAGATCCGATTGCAGGTTTGAAAGACGATAAGCTCCCAACTACTTTAGGAGATAAGCTCAAGTCACCAGTTGAGACAGTAACATCTAGTCAAAAAGAGTATTCGGACGATGAAAGCGATGAGGAGTTTGGAATTACTCAGCTCCAAGACAAACACGCTTTCCAGCCCACTTCTTTGGTAACTCCTCTAGTCGAAGCTGGGGATAAATCTTCTGTTAAAGTTGATGAGAAACCAAAGTCGCTTGAGCTGAAAGACGAAAAGCTACCAACTAAGCTAGAAGACAAACCCAAATCACCCATTGAGTCAGTAAAGCCTACTCTAAGGGAGTATTCGGACGATGAAAGTGACGAAGAGTTTGGAATTCCAAAGCCCCATGACAAGCCTGTTAGTGAACCATTACCCTCGGTAATCCCTACTACTAGTGTTCCAGATAAATCGCCTCTTAAAGACGATGTAAGGCCCAAGGAAGTTATTGTTTTCAGGGCGGAAGAAAGTTCAACAACAATTCAAACCAACATAAAATCTGCAAGCACCATTGTTGAATCAATAGATAGCAAGATCAGCAAACCATTAGATCCGATTGCAGGTTTGAAAGACGATAAGCTCCCAACCACTTTAGGAGATAAGCCCAAGTCACCAGTTGAGTCAGTAACATCTGGTCAAAAAGAGTGTTCGGTCGATGAAAGCGATGAGGAGTTTGGAATTACTCAGCCCCAAGACAAACACGCTTTCCAGCCCACTTCTTTGGTAACTCCTCTAGTCGAAGCTGGGGACAAATCTTCTGTTAAAGTTGATGACAAACCAAAGTCGCTTGAGCTGAAAGACGAAAAGCTACCAACTAAGCTAGAAGACAAACCCAAATCACCCATTGAGTCAGTAAAGCCTACTGTAAGGGAGTATTCGGACGATGAAAGTGACGAAGAGTTTGGAATTTCAAAGCCCCATGACAAGCCTGTTAGTGAACCATTACCCTCGGTAATCCCTACTACTAGTGTTCCAGATAAATCGCCTCTTAAGGACGACGTAAAGCCTAAGGAAGTTACTGTTTTCAAGGTAGAAGAAAGTTCTACAACAATTCAAAGCAACATTAAGTCTGCAAGCACCATTGTTGAATCAATATATAGCAAGATCAGCAAACAATTAGATCCCATTGTAGGTTTGAAAGACGATAAGCTCCCAACCAGTTTAGGAGATAAGCCCAAGTCACCAGTTGAGACAGTAACATCTAGTCAAAAAGAGTATTCGGACGATGAAAGCGATGAGGAGTTTGGAATTACTCTGCCCCAAGACAAACACGCTTTCCAGCCCACTTCTTTGGTAACTCCTCTAGTCGAAGCTGGGGATAAATCTTCTGTTAAAGTTGATGAGAAACCAAAGTCGCTTGAGCTGAAAGACGAAAAGCTACCAACTAAGCTAGAAGACAAACCCAAATCACCCATTGAGTCAGTAAAGCCTACTGTAAGGGAGTATTCGGACGATGAAAGTGACGAAGAGTTTGGAATTCCAAAGCCCCATGACAAGCCTGTTAGTGAACCATTACCCTCGGTAATCCCTACTACTAGTGTTCCAGATAAATCGCCTCTTAAGGACGATGTAAAGCCTAAGGAAGTTACTGTTTTCAAGGTAGAAGAAAGTTCTACAACAATTCAAACCAACATTAAATCTGCAAGCACCATTCTTGAATCAATAGATAGCAAGATCAGCAAACCATTAGATCCGATTGCAGGTTTGAAAGACGATAACCTCCCAACTACTTTAGGAGATAAGCTCAAGTCACCAGTTGAGACAGTAACATCTAGTCAAAAAGAGTATTCGGACGATGAAAGCGATGAGGAGTTTGGAATTACTCAGCCCCAAGACAAACACGCTTTCCAGCCCACTTCTTTGGTAACTCCTCTAGTCGAAGCTGGGGATAAATCTTCTGTTAAAGTTGATGAGAAACCAAAGTCGCTTGAGCTGAAAGACGAAAAGCTACCAACTAAGCTAGAAGACAAACTCAAATCACCCATTGAGTCAGTAAAGCCTACTGTAAGGGAGTATTCGGACGATGAAAGTGACGAAGAGTTTGGAATTTCAAAGCCCCATGACAAGCCTGTTAGTGAACCATTACCCTCGGTAATCCCTACTACTAGTGTTCCAGATAAATCGCCTCTTAAAGACGATGTAAGGCCTAAGGAAGTTATTGTTTTCAAGGCGGAAGAGAGTTCAACAACAATTCAAACCAACATAAAATCTGCAAGCACCATTGTTGAATCAATAGATAGCAAGATCAGCAAACCATTAGATCCGATTGCAGGTTTGAAAGACGATAAGCTCCCAACCACTTTAGGAGATAAGCCCAAGTCACCAGTTGAGTCAGTAACATCTGGTCAAAAAGAGTATTCGGACGATGAAAGCGATGAGGAGTTTGGAATTACTCAGCCCCAAGACAAACACGCTTTCCAGCCCACTTCTTTGGTAACTCCTCTAGTCGAAGCTGGGGATAAATCTTCTGTTAAAGTTGATGAGAAATCAAAGTCGCTTGAGCTGAAAGACGAAAAGCTACCAACTAAGCTAGAAGACAAACCCAAATCACCCATTGAGTCAGTAAAGCCTACTGTAAGGGAGTATTCGGACGATGAAAGTGACGAAGAGTTTGGAATTCCAAAGCCCCATGACAAGCCTATTAGTGAACCATTACCCTCGGTAATCCCTACTACTAGTGTTCCAGATAAATCGCCTCTTAAGGACGATGTAAAGCCTAAGGAAGTCACTGTTTTCAAGGTAGAAGAAAGTTCTACAACAATTCAAAGCAACATAAAATCTGCAAGCACCATTCTTGAATCAATAGATAGCAAGATCAGCAAACCATTAGATCCGATTGCAGGTTTGAAAGACGATAAGCTCCCAACTACTTTAGGAGATAAGCTCAAGTCACCAGTTGAGACAGTAACATCTAGTCAAAAAGAGTATTCGGACGATGAAAGCGATGAGGAGTTTGAAATTACTCAGCCCCAAGACAAACACGCTTTCCAGCCCACTTCTTTGGTAACTCCTCTAGTCGAAGCTGGGGATAAATCTTCTGTTAAAGTTGATGAGGAATCAAAGTCGCTTGAGCTGAAAGACGAAAAGCTACCAATTAAGCTAGAAGACAAACCCAAATCACCCATTGAGTCAGTAAAGCCTACTGTAAGGGAGTATTCGGACGATGAAAGTGACGAAGAGTTTGGAATTCCAAAGCCCCATGACAAGCCTGTTAGTGAGCCATTACCCTCGGTAATCCCTACTACTAGTGTTCCAGATAAATCGCCTCTTAAAGACGATGTAAGGCCCAAGGAAGTTATTGTTTTCAGGGCGGAAGAAAGTTCAACAACAATTCAAACCAACATAAAATCTGCAAGCACCATTGTTGAATCAATAGATAGCAAGATCAGCAAACCATTAGATCCGTTTGCAGGTTTGAAAGACGATAAGCTCCCAACCACTTTAGGAGATAAGCCCAAGTCACCAGTTGAGACAGTAACATTTAGTCAAAAAGAGTATTCAGACGATGAAAGCGATGAGGAGTTTGGAATTACTCAGCCCACTTCTTTGGTAACTCCTCTAGTCGAAGCTGGGGATAAATCTTCTGTTAAAGTTGATGAGAAACCAAAGTCACTTGAGCTGAAAGACGAAAAGCTACCAACTAAGCTAGAAGACAAACCCACATCACCCATTGAGTCAGTAAAGCCTACTGTAAGGGAGTATTCGGACGATGAAAGTGACGAAGAGTTTGGAATTCCAAAGCCCCATGACAAGCCTGTTAGTGAGCCATTACCCTCGGTAATCCCTACTACTAGTGTTCCAGATAAATCGCCTCTTAAAGACGATGTAAGGCCCAAGGAAGTTATTGTTTTCAGGGCGGAAGAAAGTTCAACAACAATTCAAACCAACATAAAATCTGCAAGCACCATTGTTGAATCAATAGATAGCAAGATCAGCAAACCATTAGATCCGTTTGCAGGTTTGAAAGACGATAAGCTCCCAACTACTTTAGGAGATAAGCTCAAGTCACCAGTTGAGACAGTAACATCTAGTCAAAAAGAGTATTCGGACGATGAAAGCGATGAGGAGTTTGAAATTACTCAGCCCCAAGACAAACACGCTTTCCAGCCCACTTCTTTGGTAACTCCTCTAGTCGAAGCTGGGGATAAATCTTCTGTTAAAGTTGATGAGGAATCAAAGTCGCTTGAGCTGAAAGACGAAAAACTACCAACTAAGCTAGAAGACAAACCCAAATCACCCATTGAGTCAGTAAAGCCTACTGTAAGGGAGTATTCGGACGATGAAAGTGACGAAGAGTTTGGAATTCCAAAGCCCCATGACAAGCCTGTTAGTGAACCATTACCCTCGGTAATCCCTACTACTAGTGTTCCGGATAAATCGCCTCTTAAGGACGATGTAAAGCCTAAGGAAGTTAGTGTTTTCAAGGTAGAAGAAGGTTCTACAACAATTCAAACCAACATAAAATCTGCAAGCACCGTTGTTGAATCAATAGATAGCAAGATCAGCAAGCCATTAGCTCCGTTTGCAGGTTTGAAAGACGATAAGCTCCCAACCACTTTAGGAGATAAGCCCAAGTCACCAGTTGAGACAGTAACATTTAGTCAAAAAGAGTATTCAGACGATGAAAGCGATGAGGAGTTTGGAATTACTCAGCCCACTTCTTTGGTAACTCCTCTAGTCGAAGCTGGGGATAAATCTTCTGTTAAAGTTGATGAGAAACCAAAGTCGCTTGAGCTGAAAGACGAAAAGCTACCAACTAAGCAAGAAGACAAACCCAAATCACCCATTGAGTCAGTAAAGCCTACTGTAAGGGAGTATTCGGACGATGAAAGTGACGAAGAGTTTGGAATTTCAAAGCCCCATGACAAGCCTGTTAGTGAACCATTACCCTCGGTAATCCCTACTACTAGTGTTCCAGATAAATCGCCTCTTAAAGACGATGTAAGGCCTAAGGAAGTTATTGTTTTCAAGGCGGAAGAGAGTTCAACAACAATTCAAACCAACATAAAATCTGCAAGCACCATTGTTGAATCAATAGATAGCAAGATCAGCAAACCATTAGATCCGATTGCAGGTTTGAAAGACGATAAGCTCCCAACCACTTTAGGAGATAAGCCCAAGTCACCAGTTGAGTCAGTAACATTTAGTCAAAAAGAGTATTCAGACGATGAAAGCGATGAGGAGTTTGGAATTACTCAGCCCCAAGACAAACACGCTTTCCAGCCCACTTCTTTGGTAATTCCTCTAGTCAAAGCTGTGGATAAATCTTCTGTTAAAGTTGATGAGAAACCAAAGTCGCTTGAGCTGAAAGATAAAAGGCTACCAACTAAGCTAGAAGATAAGCCCAAGTTACCCATTGAGTCAGTAAAGCCTACTGTAAGGGAGTATTCGGACGATGAAAGTGACGAAGAGTTTGGAATTCCAAAGCCCCATGACAAGCCTGTTAGTGAACCATTACCCTCGGTAATCCCTACTACTTGTGTTCCAGATAAATCGCCTCTTAAAGACGATGTAAGGCCCAAGGAAGTTATTGTTTTCAGGGCGGAAGAAAGTTCAACAACAATTCAAACCAACATAAAATCTGCAAGCACCATTGCTGAATCAATAGATAGCAAGATCAGCAAACCATTAGATCTGTTTGCAAGTTTGAAAGACGATACGCTCCCAATCAACTTAGGAGATAAGCCCAAGTCACCAGTTGAGACAGTAATATCTAGTGAAAAAGAGTATTCGGACGATGAAAGCGATCAGGAGTTTGGAATTACTCAGCCCCAAGACAAACACGCTTTCCAGCCCACTTCTTTGGTAACTCCTCTAGTCGAAGCTGGGGATAAATCTTCTGTTAAAGTTGATGAGAAACCAAAGTCGTTTGAGCTGAAAGACGAAAAGCTAACAACTAAGCTAGAAGACAAACCCAAATCACCCATTGAGTCGGTAAAGCCTACTGTAAGGCAGTATTCGGACGATGAAAGTGACGAAGAGTTTGGAATTCCAACGCCCCATGACAAGCCTGTTAGTGAACTATCACCCTCGGTAATCCCTGTCACTAGTGCTCCAGATAAATCGCCCCTTAAAGACGATGTAAAGCCTAAGGAAGTTACTGTTTTCAAGGCGGAAGAAAGTTCACCAACAATTCAAACCACCATTAAATATGCAAGCGCCGTCGTTGAATCAATAGATAGCAAGATCAGCAAACCATTACATCTGTTTGCAAGTTTGAAAGACGATAAGCTCCGAACCACTTTAGAAGATAAGCCCAAGTCACCAGTTGAGTCAGTCACATCTGGTCAAAAAGAGTATTCGGACGATGAAAACGATGAGGAGTTTGGAATTACTCAGCCCCAAGACAAACGCGCTTTCCAGCCCACTTCTTTGGTAACTCCTCTAGTCGAAGCTGGGGATAAATCTTCTGTTAAAGTTGATGAGAAACCAAAGTCGCTTGGGCTGGAAGATGAAGGGCTACCAACTAGTCTAGAAGATAAGCCCAAGTCACCCATTAAGTCAGTAAAGCCTACTGTAAGGGAGTATTCGGACGATGAAAGTGACGAAGAGTTTGGAATTCCAAAGCCCCATGACAAGCCTGTTAGTGAACCATTACCCTCGGTAATCCCTACTACTTGTGTTCCAGATAAATCGCCTCTTAAAGACGATGTAAGGCCCAAGGAAGTTATTGTTTTCAGGGCGGAAGAAAGTTCAACAACAATTCAAACCAACATAAAATCTGCAAGCACCATTGTTGAATCAATAGATAGCAAGATCAGCAAACCATTAGATCTGTTTGCAAGTTTGAAAGACGATACGCTCCCAATCAACTTAGGAGATAAGCCCAAGTCACCAGTTGAGACAGTAATATCTAGTGAAAAAGAGTATTCGGACGATGAAAGCGATCAGGAGTTTGGAATTACTCAGCCCCAAGACAAACACGCTTTCCAGCCCACTTCTTTGGTAACTCCTCTAGTCGAAGCTGGGGATAAATCTTCTGTTAAAGTTGATGAGAAACCAAAGTCGTTTGAGCTGAAAGACGAAAAGCTAACAACTAAGCTAGAAGACAAACCCAAATCACCCATTGAGTCGGTAAAGCCTACTGTAAGGCAGTATTCGGACGATGAAAGTGACGAAGAGTTTGGAATTCCAAAGCCCCATGACAAGCCTGTTAGTGAACTAACACCCTCGGTAATCCCTGTCACTAGTGCTCCAGATAAATCGCCCCTTAAAGAAGATGTAAAGCCTAAGGAAGTTACTGTTTTCAAGGCGGAAGAAAGTTCACCAACAATTCAAACCACCATTAAATATGCAAGCGCCGTCGTTGAATCAATAGATAGCAAGATCAGCAAACCATTACATCTGTTTGCAAGTTTGAAAGACGATAAGCTCCGAACCACTTTAGAAGATAAGCCCAAGTCACCAGTTGAGTCAGTCACATCTGGTCAAAAAGAGTATTCGGACGATGAAAACGATGAGGAGTTTGGAATTACTCAGCCCCAAGACAAACGCGCTTTCCAGCCCACTTCTTTGGTAACTCCTCTAGTCGAAGCTGGGGATAAATCTTCTGTTAAAGTTGATGAGAAACCAAAGTCGCTTGGGCTGGAAGATGAAGGGCTACCAACTAGTCTAGAAGATAAGCCCAAGTCACCCATTAAGTCAGTAAAGCCTAGTGTAAGTAAATATTCGGACGATGAAAGTGAGGAAGAGTTTGGAATTCCAAAGCCCCATGACAAGCCTGTTAGTCAACTAACACCCTCGGTAATCCCTGTTACTAGTGCTCCAGATAAATCGCCTCTTAAAGAAGATGTAAAGCCTAAGGAAGTTACTGTTTTCAAGGCGGATGAAAGTTCAACAACAATTCAAACCACCATTAAATCTGCAAGCGGCGTCGTTGAATCAATAGATAGTAAGATCACCAAGCCATTAGATCCGTTTGCAAGTTTGAAAGACGATAAGCTCCCAACCACTTTAGGAGATAAGCCCAAATCACCAGTTGAGTCAGTAACAGCTAGTAAAAAAGTGAATTTGGACGATGAACGCGATGAGGAGTCAGCTTCTTTGGTAACTCATCTAATCGATGCTGGGGATAAATCTTCAAGCCAATCTGTTGAAAACGCAAAGGGTCCAGAGCCAAAAGGCGAAAGGTTACTAATTAAGCCAAGTGACAAAAAGTATTCGGACGACGAATGTGAGAAGTTAGGAATTCCTAAGTCCCATGATTTATCTGTTGGTGAACCAACCATAATTGAATTTACTGATTTAGAAGACAAACTTAAGTCACACCCTTCCCACGCTGGTGCCCAAGACATATTAGGATCCATGCCGAAGAAACATCAGATTCGTGATAGCAGGGCCAATTCAATTTCCGATTGCGAAGAAAACAGATCTGTAAAACAGATTGTGGAGGATACTCTAAGAGCTGGTGATGCAGAGGTACAAAAAATTGTGAATGAAACACTTAAATCAGTTCAACATGCTGGAAACTTGGGTAATGTTAATGATCCGATTGCAAATGAAGACCGATCAGTAGAACAAATAGTTGAAGAAACACTAAAGAATGCAAAGCTTAACTCTGATGACAAAGTGTGCCTTACCATGGTAAATAATTCAGAATCAAAAGAAGTTCGACCAGTGGCCTACTTCGTAAATTTAACAAATGAACAGAAGTCGGTAGCTCCGGTTAAAAAACAAGTTATAAAAGCTCAACAGAAAAAGGTAACAAAGACAGATTCAGGAAAATCAGTAAGGGAAGCTAGCTCCGGTGCAATGATTAGGACTACTCTTAGCAAAAGAACAGTGAGGGTTAGGGAAAAGCCTAAGAACGACGTTAAAAGCACACCTGTTCCACAATCAAAAGTAAAAGCAACTACTATAAAACAAACACCAATTCAAAAGACAACAGCTACGGACAAAACCAAACTAATGAACAAAACCGAGTCAAGACGTTCTGTCACAAGCTCAACTTCAACCACAACCAGTTCGGCTTCCGCAGCAAGTCGTGTGATAAGCGAAATACATTTCGAGCGGTCTGCAAGCCCTGCGTCGAGTTCTATTTTCTATGAGAGCCATCCGCAAGGTGAAGGAAGCCGCTCCACAACTCCCAGGCCTAGGGTTAAGACTGACGTCACCCGAATACCCTACAGTCCCCAGCCCAAGACCTCAACGTCTATTAAGTCAACCGTAAGACAAACTAAAACAACTGCCACTCGATCTATCAAAGACCTCACCGGAAAGAGTTCAAAGAATACTGAGAAAATCGGCAGCCAAGAGCACCTTGAGAAGAGGAAAACCCCGACACCATCTGCCACCCACAGATATATGCAGCCCACCCTGGCCCACAGCATGCGATACGGTTTGAGTGGTGATGGCGACATTGGCCAGAGTGTCTTACCGGTACCGCTAAAGTCACCAGCACCTCCTAAATCGCCAGCTCCGGCCCAAACCAAAAGTACTCACAGAACACCTTTTGTAACAAGTGCCTTGACAAAGTCCACATCCCAGCTAACGAAGCAAAAAAACATTATTGCTGAAAAGAAATCAACACAACCCCGCTCCCAGATCAAGAGAGGCTCACAAAGTGATAGCAAGGAGTCCCTAAAAAGCACCGACCGCCTATACAAACGACAAACATCCAAAGAAAATAAGCTAATAAACGTGATAGGCTCCAAGAGCCAAGCAACTAAAAGCATGATTACACAATCAGCTAATTCAGCCAAGACACTTGCCTACAAAACTTCCATAGAAACCGACAACAAGCTTCAAACGAAGTCCACAGCCACTATACAGCGCACCAAAGTTCCGATAAGCGTGTCTTCCAGTGCAAGGACTACAGCTAAGTTAAGCAAGAGTGACACCGACAAGAGACCTCAGGTAGACAATAAGAAAACAGTTAAGAGAACGGTAACCAAAACAAGTGAAGGCAGCGGCACTACGACCACCACCACCTCTACCAGAACTGTGCACAGCTCCATGGAGCCCAAGATGCAAAAGAAGATGAAGGACACCATGAACGAGTCGAGTTCAAACTCGGGAAGCGGCACCACCAGTGCCAGCGGTTCCTCGAACAGTACGCGGCGCAGTGTGCGATCCGTCAGCACAGTAAGCCGCAAGACGGACAAGGACTTGACCAACATCCGACGGGCAGCGGGCGCAGTAGTGTCTACATCGACCGTGCGAGTTCATCGGGAGCCAATTGCAACCACCGGCGCTGTTAGCACCGTGCTTGTTGATGACGACTGTGAGGTGATAACCATACGTTCCATTAAATCAAGCGATAGTACAAAAAGTTCTACCTCATCATCCTCCGGTAGCGGCAGCAACAGTCGCAAGGTGCTAACCAGTGAGGTATTCACTAAGACCTTCGGCCCCGACAAGCCGCTGGAGGTCGTCTACCGACAGCCCGAGTTCGATGTAGAACACCACACCATCATGTCAATGCGTCCGCCCTCAACTACAAGCAGCGATCAGCAGCGATGCATCAACGAGTTCGACGTTAGCTTTATCGACACCACCGACTCCAGTCTCTCGGACTCCGTGGCCTTGCCCATGTTTGGCTCCGGCGATCCGGAGCGTCTGTTAGCCGCCAGTCCCGGCTCGCCCAAGCCCACTCGCAGTCCCCTGGCTCTGATCGAGGAGACCCTGCGCCGCCAGCAACAGCACCACCATCACCATCCGCAGTACCACCACGGTAGCGTTGCTCTATCCGGTGCTGCTGCCCTTGACCCTTCTCTGCCCATGCAAGTGGCTTTTGGAGAGAGTCAACGGGAGGCGGAGGTGGATGTCGAGAAGAGCAGCACTTCAAAAGGTAAATATGGTCACTTGTTGAAGATATCTGTTAGGTCTTGTGCACACTGATACTTAAGATTAGCTTAGCTACGATACCCATCAATTTTAGGGATTAGATAACAAATGCAACTTTTCTTATTGATATGCTTATATATGATATGCTTTTACTTAACCCATTTCTAACTTGTTTTCCACAAATAGCAAACATAAATAACTAAAGCCGTCAAACTAAAGAAACAATACACACAACAACAAACCATCTAAAATAAGCCTAAAACAATGTCAAAAAAACTCCCAACTATATCCGTAACTGCCGACAAGCGTTCCTCACACTCCGATTTATCCTCCTCATCGTCATCCCATGACACCGATAGCAATGACATGGACTATGGGCGCAATGGCGCCGGGGGCGTGACCGATGTCGAAGATTTTGACAGTCAGATGGAGGTACTGAAGCCAAGCTCCCGGCGGAACTCTTGCAACGCGTCCCTGAAACCCAAAAACCATCCTAAGGCGAGTGGGGGCGATAATGATGTGACTGATGTGGAGGACTACGACACAGAATCTGACGATGATGAAAAGAGCACGGCCTACCCAGAACTAAAGCTGTCGCTGAGAGAGTTTCTCCAACAGGGACTCCAGAACCAGGAAGTAGTGGACAACGATGCAAAGGAGAGCTGTGAGATAAAAGCTGGTGATTTCGTGCAAGCACAAAACCTGAATGGTATGGCAGACTATCTGACTGATTGCGAGGATTACGATACCGATTCCGAAGTGGGCTATGGCTGCGAGAAATCCGTCTGCGTTGATCTGGACCATGCGATGGGCGATCAAGGTCGAGTCAATATAGCCGATGGCGAGAAGCACCAGGACGATTCCGATCAGTACGAAGATGTGTCTGTGATCAGTGACATAAGCGATTTGGCCTCGGCCATGTCCGATTGCACCGGCATTGGCGTGCGTGGCATGTCCGAAGATGAGGTTTTGGAGGTGTCCGATAGTGGCCACGAAGAGGTTTGCCAGATTGCCTGCTCGGATAGCGAATCCGAGTCAGAGGGGGCCGCAGCCTGGAGTCGGAGTGTAAGTGAAGATAGTTTTCCGCCTATTGATGTGGCCTTTGTAAGTGCCAGTGGTCAACCGCGACGCAACTCCAAGAGCACTATGCCCACGACGGGACAGAAGAATTTTCTACAACTTGCTTCAAAAAACGAAGAGGTTCTAACTGATGTTGAGGGCATTGACGACTCGGCAGCAGAAGATAGCTTTGATAATGAAGAGGACGATGAGCAGCCCATACCACGCGCCATCATCCTTGCTTCTGGCGATGACGGGACTTGCCTTACTGATGTGGAGGACATGTTCTGCGAGGATACATCATTGTCCAGCGCCGAACCTGAAGTACGATCAATATCTCACCGAGCTCTGCCACTTCCGCATCGCGAAGTGGTGGAATTAAAAGAGGACAAGTACGGGGACACTATTACAAATGTGATGCCCATGGACAGTAACTATGAGTTTGGAATTTACAATCACCTCAAGGACATGATCCACACCGATTCCGAGGACTATTCGTGCGCCGATGAGTGGAGCCTTCAGCATTCTGTGGTCGAAGATGCTGCGTTGGGTGGACCCAGCCTAATCGAAAACGAGGTGATTGTGTCCAATGAACTTTTGAAACAGCAACAGAACAAACGCCTAGAGGTGCAGTCCAATGCAGAATCCGTGACAGATGTCGAGGAGATCTTTGTGGCCGGAACTAATCGCCGCAAGAAGTTGAAGACCCGCACTCCTAGCAAAGGCAAGAATAAATTACTAGAAGCCATAAAAGTCAAAGATGAGGGAGTCACAGATGTCGAGGACATGGATCTGAGTGAATGTGGCTTACCTCCGGGAGTGAAGCGCATTGAGCAACTGAAACAACAGGCTAAGAGCTCAAATGTGGACAAAGTATCTGATTCCGAGGACGCATCCACAGATGACGTCTCCGATATTTCAGAACTCTCCGACGCTCTTCCACCATCGACTGGTGAAAAATATAACTACAAGACAAAGCCACAACCGCTTAATTTCCGTCTGCTTAAGGATGAAATAATAAATCAGCAGCACACCGATATTGAGGATGTTCAGTTGCCGTCGGATGCCGAGGATGCACTGGAGCCACCTGCCATTCCAGTGGCCAATAGCAACAGTAAGGAGCTAAATGATATGTTGAATGAGAGCTACACGGTGGTGCACGAGAAGAGTGGTCGCAGTTTCAACAGTGAGGCCGAGAAGCTGCATACAAAAGGCATTATCCGAGATGCCCATACCGACGTTGAGTATGTTGAGTCCGACGAGTCAGCCGCTAGGGGAGGCAACTAGCGTCCTTCCCGTGTCCTCATACAATCCGACTCGATTCGGTCCCCAGCTGTTGCCAAAATAAATCTCAACAATAGTTAATAAGTGTTCATAGATACGAAAACCCAACACACACACTCAAGCATTTTGTAAGTAAAGCCAACAATTAAAAAACATTTTCGTTAAAGTTCTTACCACTATCAAAGCAGCAAAAAGCCTTAAATCTACTCGCATCGCTCCCATACGCCTAACCTCGAGTCCGTGCCATACTAACAGATTTCTTAACGTCACCTAGGCGTCGTTGTACTAACATTCACTCTCTATTGTTAATCCTAATCGTACTTAATGCTAACAAAAATGTTATTTGGAATTCGTTTCGTTTGTTCTTGTTTCGATTGTCTGTAAATCATTCATTATCATTTCGTTTGTAGAGTAATATAATGTAGTCCTAGGTCACTTTTCTGTTCGTTTTTCACATAATTCGAACCTCTCTTATAATGGTGTTGTTTATTGCAGAAACCCTTCAGGAAAAAAAAGTAGAAATTTCCACTCTGGACACCGCAAACATTCCGGAAGAAATTAGTAAGTTTATAGTAATTAAAAGATATTTACCATCAGCTTTTCATAGTGCTCGTAATCCATATTGCTTCATTAGTATGCCAAATTAATCGTTAGATCTTATTTATTTCTTAAATGCAATTAAAGCTCATTGACAAAATAATTTTATCGGCCTTATACTTAAAATAAACTTTCGTCTAAGTGCGTCAGACCTCGCTCACATCACCAACCAATGTCACCGCCATCAGCTATCACACATAAACTTGCACATACTCCTGCACATACTTCTCGCTTCTCATGCTCTTCATGATTTCCAAGCTTGCCCTTACTTTCTCTCGATTTCTCTCTCTGTTTCAATCTGTCCAATTTCTACCTACCAATGAACTGTGCAATTGTCTTCCAGGTGATGTTAAAGTTGGTGGTGGTGATGATGATGGTGATGGCGATGGCGAAGATCTAGTGGCACGCATTCGCGAGGAAGCCAATATTCTGGTGGATCGCGTGCTCGAAGAGAGTGTCGAGATCATTGAGAGTCACGGCCACCAGGCCAATGGCCACGAGATCGCCAAGCTGGATTACAACTCAGAAAGTGAGAATTATGCCATCACATGCGACGATATCGGCGGCGTCGATGTTATCAAATCGCCCACCATTGAGTCCATGTCGGGCAAGTCGTTTGACGACAACATGAGCTTCACCGACGAGCACATACATTTACCCTTGCATGCCCAGAACACGACCACCACCATGACAACGACAGTTACCACTCAGTTCCAACAGCAGCAGTCCCAGGTGCAGCTGCCGCAAACCAATTCCCAGGCTGCTGCCACAAGTACATCGGCGGCAAAAGGTAACATACCACATAGATTCAAGCTTTGAGGTAGTCCTACGCTAGCCTAGAAATTAGGATTGCAGCTGGAGGCAAAATTAGACTCAATAGTGTTGCTTAGTCCGTTGGCTATAACCAATCTCCTGTATCGTTTGCTTTTTGCTCCCATTTCCCTTGCCATGTGTCATGTACCATCCAGAACCAGTTCCAGTACCTGTTCAAGTAGAGAGTAGTCGAGATCAGGACGAAGACGAGAGTGAGACGCGGGCAAGGCGCATCGATCGAAAGATCGAGAAACTATCCACGGACATGGACGATGTGAGTGCCAAGTTCGATGAGGCGTTTGAGATGTCGGTACCAGAGGACGAGATCAGCGCCTTGCAGGGCGACTTCTCCAAGCTTAGTTGGGATGACAGCGTGTCCCCCACGACCAACACCATGGCCGATATGGCCCAGAACCAAATAACGCCAGATAACGATATTCAAGATCTCATCGCAGGTACCACAAGCAAAAGCGAAGCGTCTAAAAATGAACTATGATTTTGTATTCTTTTGCCTAGTTTTATGACATTGTCAGAGCGAAACGACTCACTCTAGATGTTTGTGCAGTATTGAGTTTGATTTTTGTTGTCTTAGTGCGATGGCAAATCCAAAACGGCGGCCAATAACAACTTTTTGTTTGTTCAAGTTGAGCTCTAATTGCATTTAAAAATTTTAATTCAGTTTGTACTCATATTAATTCATATGTAATATGCATGCCATCCTATATTACCCACCTATCTATCTATATTCTTATCTATCCTATGCTAACCATGTACTCGAATGCATTAACCCTTCTCTTACCTAAGCCCGTTCTGTTTCTATTTCCTGTTTCTATCCTGTTATCATATTTATTCTTCCTCATCTTTTGTTCTCGACTTTCACAACACTTTTAAAACTGCTTTCGTTTTCACACCTATTGTTTTGTAGAAACAGGCGGCGATTTACCAATCTCAAGTGAAACCGAAACCACTCCCGTACCACCGTCGGCAGTTGTGGCCAGCACCACAGCGAATGAATCAGAAACCAAAACCGAAACTGAGCCGACGGTAGAAACCAATGCATTCACTACCACCAGCCACGATACACCCACACCAAAACCACGAGTACTCAAAGCAAGCTCCCCAGTCTCCGAAGGCACCGATAGCACTACCATTCCTGGCCCTGTGCCGAAATCCGAAATACCGATCGATATAAGTTTTGATTCTGCTGCACCGGTTCCAAAGCCACGTGCTCCCATTAAGCACACGGAACCGTTCGAAAACCTGGCTGCCCTAGCTGAGCAGTCCGATAGTATTAGTCTGAGGAGCTTTGAATTTACAGAGGATCTTTCTAAAACGGACGAACCGTCCACAGAGCTCTCCATCCGATCCCAACTTCGTGACATAGTCACAAACACCACCACAGCTTCAGAGGATCACACCGAGAGCTTTGAGCCTACGAGTGAGATTTCGGTGGATGATGCCGACACTGAAAAATCGGAGGGCATTGAGAAGACAACCAGCTTTTACATTGGGGAATCCAGTCGCAATGTAATTATCAAAACCTCGACAAGGTCCGCAAGTGTTACACCGCAAGAAGAAGAAGCCCAGGGCGAAATAGGCATCGATGCCAAGGATGTTTCTTTAATGAAGGAGATGTCTGTCGACTCAGACGAGGCAAACGATGTTTTCAAAGAGTTTGTCACAATGAAACCAGACGATCCCGCATCAGTAGACAGTAAAATAACCAGACAAGGCTCGGAAACTAGAAATGACATTCTCGAATTCGAGAATGCCGATAAAGACAAGGCGGGCGAACCGAAGCTCTCTAAAGTAACCACCGAGGAAAGCTTGACCACGTCCACCGGCTCCAGTGGACGAGCCATTATTGAAATTGCTCCTTCAAGTAGTGAGGATCCCGATGAGTCCAGCAAGGAAATTCCGGAAATAGTAAATACAATCTCCGAAAAGACGGCCTCCACCGATCGTTTTGAATTGCCCTTGGAGAAAAGTGAATGGGAAACATCAGAGAAGGAAATCCCAGCTGCGGGCAAGCCAAAAGTAGTGCACTCACCGCAGCAACCACAAGAGACCGACATTAAGACTTCGATGGATAAGTCTTTCGTAGGTGAAACTCTTGCCGAAGAGCAGGGATTTGGCGATTCCGCTAGCAGTGACGTCAAGAGCTTAAAGGACCACGAAGCTTTAATCGAGGAGTCATCATCAGATTTTGTACTCAGTACCATGCCCCAAGGCTTCACTACAACTGCTGAGAGCGAAGATATATCTTCTTTTATTGGCATACCCGATGAAAGCATGCAAACTTCTACATTGGACAGCACACAGCCGCCAGAAGGTTTGTTCGACACCACAATCAAGGAGACCCTCAACAAGCAAGCAGCAATGGCTCACTATGCACAGGATGTGTTTGGCAGAGGCGATAGACGTGATGATCACGGTTCGCTGGGTTTCATTTCCACCGGCACAGCTGAAGAGTTAAGCTCCATGGAAGAACACATGGCAAAGGAGGAGCAAGCCTCTCTTGGCTTTATCTCCACCGAAACCGCTGAGGATTTTAGCTCTATGGAAGATTACTACTCTGAAAAATTAGCCGTGGCCAGTGTGATTGCAGATGAAGTTGCAACCGACAAATCAATCACTACAAGCACTTTTAAGGAGCTTTCGTCGGATCAGTCAATGAAACCAATCGATGTGGTAGTTCATCGTCTGAAGACCGAGTCCTCGCCGGACTCCATCAACCGTTGGTCGATTCCCGATGTAGACACCTCAAGCTCCAGCGAGAGCTTCCACAAGAGCTTCGACAAGACTCAAAGTCGACCCCTATCCTCTGATTTGGAAAACCTTGTGACTGCCACTGGCACAGGTACCTCAAGTGAGTATCAAACCGCCCGGGAATTTACCTCCACTGGCCGCACTGAGGGAACCGAATATATTAGTGCCGTCAGCACCCTTGGCAGCAGTAGTTTGGATTCTCATTCGGAAACTTCGGCCAATTTGGCTAGCATTGATGTTTCCGAACTGTCGGAGACATTGGTGGCCTCCTCTGCCGAAGCGGATCTCTTCGAGGCAGATGAGATGTCGCGGCTGCGTGATCTTCGAGCTGATGACGAGGACAGCGATGAGAGCATGGAACTGCCAGGAACTGCTTATCCAACTACTGAACAGCAAAGTCTCATGAAACGCTCCCAGGAAATGATTTTCAAGCCCAAGGCTGAGGAGGAGGAGCAACTGCCTGTTGAGGTTGTGCAAATCGAGGAATACCCGAAGCCGAAGGAGGCAGAGCGCACCTGGGGATTGGCCTATCCTCTGGAGGACAGCAAGGCGGAAAGCCCCCGGGAGAGCGAGAAAGGGGAGGACATCCTTTTGTATCACGGAGACCCACGACGATCCATAGACGAGTCCAAATTGGCATCGAGCTTGGACGAAGGCAGCATCCTCTCCGTTAGCATGTCAAGCACATCCAACATTGATACAGTTGTAGAGAACTTTGATGACATTATCGGCTCGGCGGGATCTTCTTCGCTGACCGGCATCGAAGGATTCCAGTATGGACATGATGAGTCGGTTCCATCTGCCTCCGTGCCGGAAGACGCCACCTTTATGCTGGAAATGGAAAGCAAAGAACATTCGCCGCAGGATTCTAATGCCAGTACACCACCAGGGGGAGAGTCTAAGCGACGAGGCCACAAGCGAAATGAAAGCATTTCGGGAGAAGCATTGAAGAACCTTGACAAGGAGGTGGCACTACTGGGCGAGGGCAAGGAATCTGAGAGCGAGTCAGACACGGACCCCTACGAATCGGAATATGCCCGCCAGTTCAGATCTCCTAAGGAACGAAAGAGCAAAAAGAAAAAACAGGCGGCAGCCGAGATGGACCATAGTGGCGAGCTGGAGAAGCGTCCATTTACCCCTTCCCAGCTGGTAGCTGAAATCATCGTGGAGGACAGTGCCACAGAAGAGCTGGAGGCAGAGGCAGCCATGATCGAGGAACGTCGGCCGTCCCAGAACATGCAGGACTACTCAAATATACCCGACATAATGGTTACAGAAGACATCAAGTCTCCAATTTTGGAGGAGGAGACCGACGAGTTCCCCGAAAAGATGCTGTACAAGGTACGCACCGAGGAGGAGCTGCACAAGGCAAGCGATACCTCCACGTACCAGAAGGCCAAGGCCGAGGAGAAGGAGCAGGACTTTCAGCGGAGGGTACAGGAGCAGTACCGACAAAAGCTGGAGGAGCTAAAGAGGGCTGAAGTTGGAGCCGAATACGATGATCACAAGGCACCCGACTCTCCAGACTCTTTTGAAATGGTCGAGCAACCCGACATCTCAGATGAGTTTGTGATCATCGAAGAAGTGGCCAAGGAGGCCAACGAAGTGGATCTTGGCGGCCAGAGCATTAAGATTAAGCCAACCAAATACGAGCAGAAGCACGACGAGGATGTTGAAAAGATCATCATCAAGTCAGCACCCGCGGATCCCAAGCTAGGCTCTCAGCTCTACAAGGACGATCTTAACTTTGAATTTGAGGAAAGTCCGCCGACGGCGGCCAGCAGCAGCAGTGAACAGCAGGAGGAGAGTGACTCCAGCGAAACTGCAGCAGCCAACAAGCGCTGGGTGGAGATGCAGCTGACGGACAACCAGTTGCGATATCCTTACGACCTAGCCGGAGCCGTGCTAGAGGACATTAAGGAGGAGGACGGCGAGTTCGAGGTGGGTAGCAGTCGCATTAGCAGCTTCAAAGACTCCTTCTCCAGCACGCCCGAGTATGATGTGGCAGCTCGCCGCTATCATTCACGTGGCGAACACGACGATGTCTCGATGAGTAGTCTGCAGGAGTTTGAGTCTCTGGAGCAGGCCATTTCCCTGGAAAACCGCAATCGCACACACCAAGGCTCCACGGACTCGAGCAATGGAAGTTTCACCCGACGCTACGTGGTTCGTCACAGTGGAAGTGGAACAGCCCCGGGTGACGATGTGTCTGTCTCCAGTCTCAAGGACTTTGAGGGTCTCGAGAATGCCTGCATTGAAGCCCACCTGATTGAGATCAAGGCCCGAGAGGAGGCGGCACTACTATCGCGGTCAGATGAGTCAAACAAGTCAAATGCCAGCGACAAAGGAGCCAGTGGAAATGTGGTGGTGACCAAGGTTACGCGGACCGTCACCCGCACCGAAGTTGTGCCCTCCAGTCAAGCGGAAAACATCGAAGCCCTGCTCAAACACAAGTTGGAGCGGGAGGAAGGATCCGCTGCAGTGAAAGCCATCGATATAACCACCACTGAGTTGGAACCCAAGTCCAAGATCGACAGCCAGGACTCCGAGAAGGACAGCATCGATAGCATGGAGATCAGCAAAAGCCACGATATGATGACCAGTAGCATAGAGAGCTTTGATATTTCCAAGGATGCCACCACGCGATCCGACATTGACTCATTAGAGATTGACAAGCGACACTCGCGTCAGGAGAGCATTGAGTCCTTTGGCGACGAGCAGCTGGATTTGATGACCAAGTTTGTCAGCGGCGGAGGAGTGACACTGGGTGATGGCCTCACCACCACCACGACCACAACCACCACCAGCACCGATGCCGATGGTCATGAGCACACTGTGACCAGAGTGATAACCACCACAACGAGCGTTGGTGGTGGTGGCATACAGGAGCTGCCAATGGACGAAGCTGGCATGTCAAAGGACGTATCGGTGGACTCCCTAAACCTCTGCATGGAGCAGACGACCAGCTCAGCTGGAACCACGGCTACGTACCAGACAAGCGCCGGAAACTCTCAGATGTCCGGAAGCGTTACGAGTTGCGCCTCCAGTACTCTAATGGAGGACTCGTTCCCTGGTGTGGGTGGCATGTCGTCGTCGCAAATGTCGGCCAGTTTTTGGTCCCACGATGAGTCCACGGTGGTCGAGGATGAAGAACACGATCCCACGAAGAAGCAGCAGCAAGGCCAGTAATCGCTGGATGGGATTGGGAGAGAGAAGTGGGAGAAGTCACACGTAATCCTATATGAAAATGGGGCTTGAACGGTGACATAGAATATTCGGCTAGGTAAGCATCCCAACGGCAAGGCTGCGCGGCTTTTCGTTTTACTTTTGTTTTATGTCTTTACTTGGTCTTCGATTTAGAAGCAGAGCTCAACTTTGACAGAGAAAAGTAATACTCGCCGCCTTACTTAGATCTAATGGCTACTAAACTAGATCCTTCTTCTTTTTTGAATTTTCAGACAAGGCGCTCTTCTAGGCGCAGCACTAAAAATGGAATCTCTGGACGACGAGAAAGCATCTTCACTGGCTCTAGACATCACCGATTTCAAATCGAACAGCGAAAGGGGATTTATTAATTAGCAAATTTGACATTTTCCATCTAAACACATTTTTAATGATATTGAAGGGCATACACGAGTTTTTAAAGGCAAATATATATATTTTATATATTTATAAAAACTATAAAATCGCAAACATGAATACGAATATGAATATGGCAAGCATTAGCTGTTCAACGCATTTTCTTATTGGCTTTAACGTTTAAAAATTAAATAAAATTAAAACATAAACCGAAACCTTTTGTGCTAGAGCGTTGTAATGGAATACACCTTTGCTTTTAATTTGATGTAGTTATTATATATGTAAATGTACGAAGGATATTTATTATTAAATGAATCGCTTATTATTGTAGTTTAATTTAAGCAATTATACAAACGCATGTGAAAAAGGGGACGTAATGAAATAGTCGAAGCCTGGAAAGTGAAATGCTTTTAAAGTCTCATTTTTTTACAAGAACCAAGCAAACTTTTTCGCTTGCATATTTTAACAGTGAAATATACATAAATATACAATCTGAAAAAATAATGCATAGATCAAATTTAAAACATATACAAAAAACGACATGAAATTTATTCACATAAGATCTACCACAAACAGCCATGAAGTGTATCGCTAATTTACCCTACCCCTACTTATCGAAAGGATTTAAGCGTTTTAGCATCACCACTGTAATGGAATATGAATAAAATAATATTTGTGTTAAAAACATACAAGAAATATTACAAAAAAAAAAAACATTATTGTATTGTAAACCCACACGCGTATGAATAACCAAATAAAATGCTTATTAAAATATTCGGTTGGACTTTAACTTACGGAAAATAATACTTTATGGAGAGTGTTTACAGTGGGCCAGATCCAGTTTGATACGGAGTTAAACAAAAACAAGCCTTTGGGAAAAATGTTGGGATGAAAATAGATTAACAGAGAAAACAATTGTTCTGCGCCCAAAGGATAAGCCTTTACAACGAGGTACGGTACCCAGACCATAAAGCAAGGAAGAAGAAAAATAATGGTGGGGGTGCCTTTTTCCGGGCATGGTGTTGTCCCCATAGTCCTTATTATTGGGATATGGACCGATTTCAGTAATTACGATCTTACTTACTTACTTACTACGATTCGCTAAAATCTATGCAAAGTTCGAATATCTGATAAGAAATTTTGTTATTCCGAAAGATACTTAGATGTCAAAAGCTCGTTGAAAGTATAAAAAGAACGAAGAAAGAAGAAAGCTGTTACACGCAACAGCGGAGATCAACAAAATTTTTATACCCTTGCAGAGGGTATTATAATTTCAGTCAAAAGTTTGCAACGCAGTGAAGGAGACATTTCCGACCCTATAAAGTATATATATTCTTGATCAGCATCACCAGGAGAGTCGATCTAGCCATGTCCGTCTGTCCGTCCGTCTGTCCGTCTGTCCGTCCGTCCGTTTCTACGCAAACTAGTCCCTCAGTTTTAAAGCTATCCGCTTGAAACTTTCCCAAAAGTTGTCTTTCTATTGCAGGTAGTATATAAGTCGGAACGAGCCGGATCGGGCTACTATATCATATAGCTGCCATATAACTGAACGATCGGAAATGCCATAACTTTGGTGTTTTTCAAGTTAGCAAGTTAGGAAGTTCTATGGGTTTTAGTTTTGGCTAATCAGTCTGACTTACCAAATTTCATAAGGATCGGACGACTATATCCTATAGCTGCCATATAACTGATTGATCGGAAATGCCATAACTTTGGTGTTTGTAAAGTTAGGAAGTTGCGATTATCTATGGGTTTTATTTTTGGCCAATCAATCCGACCTGCCAAATTTCATAAGGATCGGCCGACTATATCCTATAGCTGTCATATAACTGAACGATTGGAAATGACATAACTTTGGTGTTTTTAAAGTTAGGAAGTTGGGATTTTTTATAAGTATTAAGAATGCATCATATAAATAATTTTGGAGAATATAATTTACAGAATATTCTGCAAGGGTATATCAACTTCGGCTCCGCCCGAAGTTAGCTTTCCTTTCTTGTTGTTTTATAATTTGTGATAATTGTATAACAAGACAGTTGCCTGCAACTTTGAAAGAATTTCTAATAAATACGTTTTGAATATAAACAAGAAAGGAAAGCTAACTTCGGGCGGAGCCGAAGTTGATATACCCTTGCAGAATACTCTGTAAATTATATTCTCCAAAATTATTCATATGATGCATTCTTAATACTCATAAAAAATCCCAACATCCTAACTTTAAAAACACCAAAGTTATAGCATTTCCAATCGTTCAGTTATATGGCAGCTATAAGATATAGTCGGCCGATCCTTATGAACTTTGATAGGTCGGATTGATTGGCTAAAAATAAAACCCATAGAAAATCCCAACTTCCTAACTTTACAAACACCAAAGTTATGGCATTTCCGATCGTTCAGTTATATGGCAGCTATAAGATATAGTCGGCCGATTCTCATGAAATTCGGTAGGTCAGATTGATTGGCCAAAAATAAAACCTATAGAAAATCTCAACTTCCTAACTTTACAAACACCAAAGTTATGGCATTTCCGATCGTTCAGTTATATGACAGCTATAGGATATAGTCGTCCGATCCCGGCCGTTCCGACTTATATACTGCGTCAAAGGAAAGAAGGGTGTGTGCAAAGTTTCAATTCGATATCTTTAAAACTGAGAGACTAGTTCGCGTAGAAACAGACAGACGGACAGACGGACAGACAGACGGACAGACAGACGGACAGACAGACGGACAGACGGACAGACGGACAGACGGACATGGCTATATCAACTCAGGAGGTGATCCTGATCAAGAATATATATACTTTATAGGGTCGGAGATGTCTCCTTCACTGCGTTGCACACTTTTGACCAAAATTATAATACCCTCTGCAAGGGTATAAAAAGTTATGTTTTTATCTTAATTAGTTAGTTAAGACACTAAACTTTTTGTGTGTATACATACTTTTGAATATAACTATCCTTATATTACTAAACAAGAAAGGAAACCAACTTCGGCTTGCCGAAGTTTGTATACCTTTGAAGCAATGTCGATTTTGCGCTGCATTTTGCCTTCGTTTCTATGGCAGCTTTATGATATTTTTGCCCGATTTTGACAAAACTAAAGGGGAAATTCTGATATAGTAAATAATTACTATATCTCATGTTTTGATATATAGAAAAACAGCAAAATACAATTTTTTTATTTTAATGGGAGCTATATGATTTAAATCTAATTAAAACCGTAAATTCCAAAGAACAAAAAAAAATTAGAAACAACAAAGTTATACTTGTGATGCCTATCAAGAATATATCTACTTTATAGGGTCGAAAATGTCTCCTTCACTAATAAGAGTATAAAAATAGAAAAAATGTAAATAAATATAAAATAGATCTTAGAATTGGTACGTAATGACTTAATGGCACTGCTGAATTTAATAATTACATATTACATTAAATATTAATTACATATGCAGTGCAAATTTCGAAAATTATATAGTATGAATATAGGACATTTCAGTAAAATAAATAATAAGACAAATATTTTTTGACTTCGCCTTTGCTTGTGGTAAAAACTATGTCGCTTTCTCGTATAATATGCTAAATTTCGGTTTTTCAAAGTGGAATACATGGTAGCGGTTCTTGAATTAAGGACTAAATGCATCTATCACCTCTGGAGTCAATAGATAATTTAATTAATGATAGTTTCCTAATTATCCTTCTTGGACCCTCGCATGAGTTTTGCCTTATGGCACTATGCCGTTCCATACGTTTACGGTGAAGGACACCACTTCCTTCTTCTGCCTCTTTTGCTCTTGAACCGACCGGTCGTCCCACCGTTGCGCAGATGAATCACATTTGCCATCAGAACCTCGGCCATATCATTACCACTATCGCTGTTGTCCATGTTCGGGAATATGGAAACCTGGCGAGGGATCTGGTATCTGGGGACGATGTTTCTAAGCATCTGACCGACGATTCTCAGAATCCGATAATTGCTCTTCAGGAGCTCATCAATTACGTAGTCAGTCTCATTCAATTCATATCGACACAGCACGTTGGTGCGCACGATGGCTGCATTTAACTCCGCCTGCGCTCTGATAGTCTGTGATTGATACGGAAAATTAGGGGATAAGCCAGCAATATATTAGTCAGATCTACTTACCTGGGTATCGCTCACGGCTAGACCGTTTAGCAGGTTGACAAGCACAATCGTCATAAACAACACAAAGAACAGAAATATCAAGTAGCTGGAGATACTAGTGAACTCAAGGTCTCCAGCATTAAGCTCGCCAGTCATCATCGCAATGGTCTTAGTGAGCGCCACGATGGGTTTGGCAAAGTCAAATTCCTCCTTTCCCTCTTTCAAAGGATCCACATTGTCCTGCACCGGCGGCGTAGGAAAGAGTATGTGGAAGCAGATACTGAAGGTCAGCACGAAGATCGAGTATAAGCCGAAGCTCTTCAAAAAAGTGATTGAGACTTGGCGCAACATGAGCATGTGCGTCGAAATGGAGAGCACTGGCAGAGAGCCCATCAGCAGGCAGAACTCGATGGAGACGAACAAAATGGTAAAGGCGGCCAGGACGCGCTGCGTCTCCTTATCATTGAACTCCAACCAGGTACAGGTCGACATTAGTATCAGAAAGCACTCCATCATGTTGGTTATGGACCAAAAATATCGAAATCCAGACATAAGGAACAACTGGATGGACTCCCGAATAGTGAGATAGCCGATTCCCAGATAGGAAAAAACAGTGGTTAGGGTGATGAGAGCACTGTGATCGCTGTCGTTGATTCTGAGGAGTGTGTTGGTGACAATGGAAACGGTGAATAGCGAGTAGAGAAGTAAGTTTAGGTAGAAGATCTTCGAGAGACGCCGCCACTTGAGGATGAGGAAGCTCGAGATTAGCGGGTGCTGCAGAAGGTGGCGCAACTCCTTGGATTTGGCCATAAAAGCGATTGGGGCCATCTCGTCGTGCCGCGTATTATATGGTTCGGAAATTGGACCATCCTGAGCTCCGTAAAGTAACAGGTTTCTGAAGTCGATGTTGATTTCAAAGATTTGGTTAAAGGGACCATAATTGTTTAATGTGATACAGGAATTGAAGTGCTCCTCGAGCACATCATGTGGAATGTGTTCAATCGGCAACGATTTTGGATGGGTCCGAGAGCCAATATAGGCGCCACGCTTTAAGAGTTTCTGCATCGCTAGCGTGCAGCCGGTCATCCCCGCAAAGCAAAGGGGTGTACGCCATCCTGAGGAAGGCATATTAATATCCACAAGTTTGGAGGCCATCAGCACATCAAAGCAGCGCTGATGTTTGGAACTCTCTACTGACAAATCGATCAGTGCACAGATTTCGTTTGTTTGTAAATGTGCGTGCGGGCAAAAGTTTGGCTCCGCCAGCAGTCGTTCCAGCGCCTTCCAGTTGCCCCAATATATGGCTCTTCCGAGGAAGTCCGACTCTTTGAAGTCGATGCCATTGGCCAGGATGATTTCGATGGCTCTCTGCCTGCCCAACTTAATACTCTCCTTGAGCATATCATGGTACTCCTCTTTCTGATGGGCTAATTCCTTGTACTCGGCGAACTGCTTCTCAAACAAAGCCTCGTCTCCGCCGCGCAGAGTTTTGAGGAGTCTGTTTATATCCATCTCTGTTCTCTGGCGCTCTTCCGGAAGTGGGAGCTCCGGGAAGTGCACCTGCAGCAGTTGGCGCACCTCTCCGTAACGGAGGCTATCGATATCCAGCATTGGCTGGTTCAGGAAGAGCTGAACCAGCTCCTTGTGCTCCCTTACCTTGTTCTTCGACAGAATATAACCCAGGGGGGTAAATTCTCTATCGTCGGGGATGTTCGGCGAGGCGCCGTAGTCTAGCAGCAGCTTCATGCAGGATAGCACCGATGAGGCGTTCTCCTCCGTCAGAATCTTGGCCAGCGAGTTTAGTGGCGTGAGTTGTCTGTCCTTAAAGTCCACGTTATCCGGTCGGAATTTCAGTAGTGCCGTCAAATTGTCGGGATCCAGTGAGCTGGCCGCATGTATGACAGAGTTCTGTGGAGATCCAAAATATGAAAATACATAACTTTGAATCGATCTTTGGTAAGTTACTCACATCGTTAAACAGACCGCCGTGAGCCGCGCAGGCCTCTATAAAGTCCTGGGAACCAGGTGTGGAGAGTATCTTATCGTAATCCCCCGGATCGATTTGGGCACCGCTGCTCAGAACTGCGATGAACAACCGGATGTCTTGGTTGGCCAATGCGGTTTTTAGCTGGGCCTGCGGATCAATAAAGCAGCATTTCCCAAGGTCCATTTTGTGGTCTGCAAATTACTGATGTATCAAATAGAATTAGTCATTTTTATACCCATGCAGAGGGTTTTATAATTTCAGACAAAAAGTTTGCAGCGCAGTGAAGGAGACATTTCCGACCCTGTAAAGTATATATATTCATGATGAGCATCCGTCTGTCCGTTTTAAATTAACGTCGGACGATGGCAAAATGCAGCGCAAAATCGACATAGCTCCATTGTTTTTTGTAATATATGCATAGAAATCAAAATGTAGTCGATTTGTAAAAACGGCAAGGGTATATTAACTTCGGCTTGCCGAAGTTCTCTTTCCTTCTTGTTTTTCATTTGTAATGTCCTTATATCATTTTCTTGGAATTTATATATGTATATAAATTGTTATTGTTTTTGTGTTATGATAACGTATATTGTTTGATTTAATTGATTGATTTAATGTATATATTCATTTCTTGCTGAGGAACAAATTAAAATGATTTTACGAACTGTATAAAACGATAGATTTCTTGAAAACTTTTGTTTTTACATTACAGAATTTATAGAAACAAACAATTAGCCGCCTACATCACTCTGGTCAACACTAAACAACTGATAAGCCAAAAAGAGATTGCACTCACTTGTGAAATTCTAATGGCAGATCAGTTTTTTGTTTTCTTAAATTTGTCGAAACTCACAATAACTTATTTTTATACCACCTTGAAGATCAATTTTTTATTTTGTTATTTCGTTGTTTCCTTTTCTGATTGTAAACAATAGTAACGCTTTGTTGTTCCTCTTTGGCGATCGATTGTTGATAAATTAAGCTTTAAAAGTATCGGTGTATGAGTTATCAACTGAAAATAAAGAGTTGTATGTAATAAGGATATTCAATATACTGTTCAAATTGTTGCTCTTGTTATTTCTTTGTTTCCTTTTCCCAATTAACACAGTAATAACGCTTTGTTTTTTATCTTTGGCGATCGATTGTAGATGATTTTAGCTTTTAATGTATCGGTTTATATATTTATCAACTAAAAACAGAAAAAGAAGCAAACTTCGGCAAACCGACGATTAAATACCCTGGCGACTACTTTTCGATTTATATGCCATCATTTGGCTATGCCGATCCGGCTCGTTGCTACAATAGAAAGACAACTTTTGGGAAAGTTTTAAGCAGATACCTTAAAAACTGAGGGACTAGTTTGCGTAGAAACGAACGGACGGACAGACGGACATGGCTATATCGACTCCCCTATTGATCCTGATCAAGAATATATATACTTTATAGGGTCGGAATTGTCTCCTTCACTGCGTTGCAAACTTTTGACTGAAATTATATGATCTCTGCAAGGGTATAAAAAATCGTTTTTGTCCTAATTAGCTGACAATAACTATAGGCTTAGCTTAGGAAACCAGCGATAGGCAAAAGTGGAGTTAAGTAAAGTTATGGTGAAAAAGGACTTACACATTTTTGTTTTTAGTCTTAAACAAAATTTCTTACGAGGTAAATTTGGAGTTTTTGTAAATTTGGTAATATTTTTAATTTTCCGACTTTTATTCGTAAAAATTGTGTTTCTTCCTTTTAAATGAAAAAGATTTTTAACAGGTTTTTTTATTGGGTAACTATTTATAGCACAGTGCTATCCTTTTTACATATTTTGTATAAAAAAGCGGAAAATGAATTTCCCATAAAATAACCCAGAATTTCCTCGTTGGCAATTCCCAAAGATTCTTCCGCAGTTGATTTGAAAAAAAGCCAGATCTGACGGAAAAAAAGCGGAGTCGCCAGCCCTGGTGCAGACGGTATATTTTTTTGACCAATAAGCGGTCACACTGCTGCTGGGGAATAGGGCAACATCACCGTGAAAAAAATAAAGAATTGGGGAAAATGTGGTTTTCGGTCAAGTGATAGCCGCAACGTAGGTGAGCTGGCCGAGAAAAACGGATTTGGACAAGGACCTACTGGCCGGAAAACTCCTCGGCTGGACTCTATTCAATTGGCTGTCCCTTAAAAGTTGTCGACGTTCGTTGCCGTTGTTGTTGCTGCTGGCTGCGTTTTCGTATTGGCATCGGTTTTTTTTTTGGGGTACATTTAGTGTACATGTAAATCGACGTGAAAATCCGTAACCGATAAACGCATAAAGCCAGATAAAGAAGGGCAGCAGCGAGATATATTGTTCCGCCAGATAGTTCTAATTATACAACCCAACTCGTAGACGTATTCCCCCGAAGATCCGAAACTGGTTATACACACAACGCAAGGAACGGGAGGTTGGAGGAGGGTGAGTAAAAATCGATTTGTTGCACAAAACACACGACGAGTGGGCGAAAATCGGGGGCCGAAAAGTGGGGTGCGGCTATATAGCTATAGATTCTAGGTCGACCTGGGATTATAGTACAATCTACCGATCTTTGCAGGCCCCATGGACAAAATCAAGTTAAAGGTTATTGGCGTGCTGCGCGAACGCGATGGTGGAAATCGCAGTGGCTCTGGAGGATTGGGAGCAGCTGCCGGAGGATCTGGCGGATTGACGGCCACTACAGGTCATCAGTTGGCCAGCACTGGAGTGGGCGTGGCCGCACCGGCGATTGGCGTCGCGCAGGATAATAACAACGAAGGCAACGCCCCAACAATAGAAGCCCAGGCAACGGGAGCAGCTCCTGGTGCCTCAGTGGGAGTGGGTGGTGCCGCTAGAACCTCAGTTCTAGCCCGACCCCAGACCTCCAAGATCAGTGCTCAAGACCTGGCTGGGATACTCAACACGCGGAGACGGCTCGAGTGGACCAAGGAGTGGCTGCGCAAGAACCAGGCCGAGTTCCTCAGCAAGGAGAACCTGCTCAGCGAGCTGCAGTCGCGCAAGGATGAGTGTTATCACTTGAATTACTTCCTAGCCATTACAGAGAGCCAGTTTCGGTATCTAGTGCAAAAACTGGAGCCCATCATTAGCCAGTATGCGCCACAGCGCAAGAAGAAGTCCTTCAGCGCCGAGGAGCGACTGGCCATAACGCTCAAGTATTTGGCAACGGGTGAGTGTTTTGGAACCCTTCTATAACCCCATAAATATGCTTACGTCTACTCCCATCTAAAGGTGAAGTACATTCTTGTCGAAACTACTGCTTCCGTGCCTCGAAATTTGTGATAAACGAAATGATTGCCAATATCTGTCTGGGCTTCTACGAGCACCTCAAGGACCAATACGTGACACTACCAAAGACTGACGATCAGTGGCGCAGCGCCGCCGAGGAGATGGAGCGCAAGCACAACCTGCCCCACTGTGTGGGCAACCTGTTCATGCGCAGCATCCAGCTCCAGGGCTCCGGTTCCGGTTCGGGTTCCGGGGCGGCGGGAAGCGGTTCCGCCGGTGGCGACGATCGCAAGCGGGCGACCGTCATCTTCACGGGCATCGTCGATGCCGACAACAATTTCCAGTACGCAAAGGTGGAACGGGCGGCGAGCAGCCGGCCCAATGACATCTATAACCAGACCACTGCCGTCGAGCTGATCAGGCACAAGATGCACGCCCTCGAGGAGCAACAGTCGGCGGAGATGGACCGGCAGGGCTATTACTTCGCTGGCGACTCAGTACTGCCGGCCACCTCGTATCTGGTGACCACACGGAACCTGCCCAAGGATCGGGCTGTGCTGGAGGCCCTTGAGCAGGTCAATGCCCATGCCGATCAGACGATGCGGATACTCTGCAACATGTTCCCAATTCTGGCGCAGCCTCTGCGCATCAGCGACAAGCACATCCGGGAAGTGGTGCTCGGCTGTGTGGCGCTGTACAATTTCCTGCGCAAGACAGACGACTCCTTTCGGCGCACCAGCGACAGCATTGTGCAACAGCGGGCCGAGCAGCAGCAACTGGCAGCCGCCTATAGCGTCGATAGCGACGAAATCGACGACGACTGCATCATGCTGGCCACCGAGGAGGAGCTGCGCGAGCGGGCCGAGTTCACGCCCAGCGTTGGACTTACCACCTGCTTCCAGCCGCTGTGCACGCAGCGTGGCGAGACGCCCGAAGGTCTGGCCAAGCGGGACTGGCTGCTCCAGCTGGACTTTGGCGGTCAGAGTGGAAACGGCAGAGGAATTGGCCTGGGCATCGGAAACAGCGATGGCAATGGCAGCTTGAGCGGAAATGGAGGACTAGGCGGCAGTACGGACAGTGCAAGCGGCAGCTCAAATGGGAGTTTATATTAGTGCAATTTACCTAAGTACTTTACGAATTTTGTATAGTTCCTTGTTTTATATTTTTTAAATCTGTAATCTGTAACAGCATCTGTTGCCACGTTGCCGACTCTTGTTTACCTCTCGTTTGGCGCATTCTTCTCTGCATACCATTACGATTACGTTCACGTTCGTTCCATCTGCGTTCCGTGCTTCATCTAGGGTTCTGTATAGTTAGCTTAGTTTCTTGCGGAAGTTCCGGTTCGGTGAATGATGCTATGTGATGTCTCAAATCTCTATTGTGGCCCAGTGCACTGCTCCCGGGGAGCAGGCCCCTAAACAGGCCGGGCGAAAAATTGGCAGCTGACAAAATGTGCGAAGTCGACGAAGTACAGCGGAAACAGATCAACAAAATTAAAATTTTAGTATTCGTATTTAAGCAAAACAACAAATTATACATAATTATATTTACAAATAAATGTGTAAGGAGTGGTCTTTACGTGTCGAAACCTTAAAAAGTGTATTATATATGTTACATTTGTTCAGACCAGTTGGGCCACTGTTGTAAAAGTGCATAGAGGGCTTCTCCAGGACTCCTGGTGGCACTGATTTGACGATGACCCAGTAGCTTATAGCTCTCCACCAGCTGAGCCTGCTGTACCGCCTGTTCCAGTAGTTTCTTTGCTGCGTCCAAGGCTTCCTGACTGGGTGGTTGTTCCTCGAAATTACCAATGAAAGCGATGCCCAGGGAACCATCATTGTTGGGTGCAGCGAAGGCTCCTTTCTTGTTCGGACTCCTGCCCTCGTAAACCTTGCCATTTCCTCCAATCAAATAGTGATAGCCTATATCCGAGAACTTCTGCCTGGACATCTGGAAGTTCTGCAAATTGCGCATTTGCTGGGAGCATCCCACATCATCCGTACAACCCCCTCCGGCTGTATGGGCAATCACAGCTCGGGGCAGGGGGGTTTCCATGCTGTCCATAGGTCCACTCGCGGGTCTTGCGTTCCATTCCGCCCTTGTCACTATCGGTACTTCCCCGTGGACAGCAACTGCTGCGAGGTATGCGATGAGCAAAGCGATCCAAGTCATTCCTCCGCCGTGTCTCTCAACTGACTGAGTAAAGACCTCGGACTGGTGCGGCACTTATTGACGCAGATAAAGCATGTGCCCCCTAGGAGATAGCAATTAGACCCCATATATGTAAGTACAATATGAGCTGAGGGGATTTTTAATGGCAATTCTTGCAATCAGTGAGAGGGCTGTTCTATTAACTTCTTTGGGTTACAGATTTTAAGAAGAATACTAATATGCCATCAGAATCTATTAACATCTCGCAATGTGGTCTAAATAAATTGTTTATGACTAACTATTGGGAAAAAAAGTTCCCCTATTAAGGCCCCTGAAAGTATTAATGCTACATCACAAAATTCCTATACCGGGCCAGTTTGAATTTTGGGGATTTCCGATTGACTTCTTTTGGCTAATCCATTTTAAATATTTTTATTTAAGAGTATGGGAAGACCCTCTCTTTATTTTTATTACAGCATTTTTATCCACCAACACTCATAAATTGAACACAAAATAAAATATAATAACAATTTTCCATTACTTGGAATTTAAAGAGCGATGTAAGCCATTGTTACTAAATCACTTTCTGGAAAAAAATTCATTGCTGAGATACAAAAAAATTGAACATTTGGACTTTTTATATGTAAATACAAATGTACATTGGTTTTATATTCAGTATTGAATTTTTCTATTTATCCTATCTTTACAGTAAATAAAATGTAATTTACTTACATTTATAATTTACACACAGATACTATTTCATGAATTTCACAGAATTTTTATTTAAATATTTATTGGTGTTTAATTTTTTCGCTAAATGTCCTGCAAAACTGTCGTTCTTTATGACTTTCCATCACTCTCTTTCTTCCTTTCGCTTCTTTTGTTCTGCTAAAAAATCTCTTTCCTAAAACAAGGTTGCAAAAAAATGGCATTAGAAAATTTAGTTCTATGTATGAATGCATCTTATATATTCTTAGCTAGATATACTTTTTCTTAATTTTGAACAGCAGCAGCATATGAGAAGTCTTTTTGCAAGCGCAAGTCAGTCAGACATTTGACTTCTTGGTGAAAACTAAGCCAAGTTTATTTTTTAATATCTTTGGGAAAGAAAGCTTAAATATAGAAAACACTACTTCGGCATTGAAGCTATGCCATCTACATATATGAATTAGTCATATTGCTAAAATATACCATATTTCATAGTATAGTGATATATGTTGACAAACAGCGAAGTTATAATTTTTCGACTTGGCTGGTGATGCTGATCAACAATATATAGACTTAAAAACTTCCAAACTTTTGACTGAAATTATAATACCCTCTGCAAGGGTAACATGCGTAAAAAAATACTTGTAAATGCTTTAGCTCTTTTTAGAAATTTTAAAGTGTACATAACATAAAACAGATTGTAATATGTATGAACAAATATATATGGAAATAAAATGAATTTTTGTTTTTTTTTCAATTTATGTAATGTAAACGTTTAAGCAATCCCCTAATACTTAGAATAACTGACTATTTCCATAAGTAAAGGTGACAGGACGGGTATTTACTGACGATACCCCCATCCCTTAAGCTCAAGCCCAGCGATTTGTTCATATAGTTCATAAGAGCCCCCGAAAACCTCAACTTGACACAGATGTTCTAGGCAGTGATTTAATTAAAAAAGTTTTGCAATTAAATGCAAAAACAGCAAAAAACAAGAAAGGAAAGCTAACTTCGGGCGGAGCCGAAGTTGATATACCCTTGCAGAATACTCTGTAAATTATATTCTCCAAAATTATTCATATGATGCATTCTTAATACTCATAAAAAATCCCAACTTCCTAACTTTAAAAACACCAAAGTTATGGCATTTCCAATCGTTCACTTATATGGCAGTTATAGAATATAGTCGGCCGATCCTTATGAAATTTGATATGTCGGATTGATTAGGCAAAAATAAAACCCATAGAAAATCCCAACTTCCTAACTTAACAAACACCAAAGTTATGGCATTTCCGATCAATCAGTTATATGGCAGCTATAAGATATAGTCGGCCGATCCTTATGAAATTTGGTACGTCGGATTGATTGGCCAAATATAACACCCATAGAAAATCCCAACTTCCTAACTTTACAAACACCAAAGTTATGGCATTTCCGATCAATCAGTTATATGGCAGCTATAGGATATAGTCGGCCGATCCCGGCCGTTCCGACTTATATACTGCGTGCAAAGGAAAGAAGGGTGTGTGCAAAGTTTGAATTCGATATCTTTAAAACTGAGAGACTAGTTCGCGTAGAAACAGACAGACGGACAGACAGACGGACAGACGGACAGACGGACAGACGGACATGGCTATATCAACTCAGGAGGTGATCCTGATCAAGAATATATATACTTTATAGGGTCGGAGATGTCTCCTTCACTGCGTTGCACACTTTTGACCAAAATTATAATACCCTCTGCAAGGGTATAACAAAGCGGAGTGCAGGCCATTATGCCCCAAAAAGGGCTGAGATGAGGAAATGAAGTGAGGGCTGGAGCGAAGTCGCAAAGTGACAACGAAAATGCAAGTAAGCGCCCTCAATTAAAAGCCAAAATGAATAAAATGAATAAAATGCGATGGAAAAAAAGGAGGCGAGCAAAGCCGCAACAGCCAAAAAGCCGGTCCAAAAAGCGAAGCTGAAACCAGAAACCGAAGCCAAAACTATGCGCGGCTGGAAAAGCCAGCTGCTAGCGGAAAAACTCTTGTCCGTGGCCGTTAACTTGAATTTAAGTGAGTTCTGAGCACCCCAATGACACCCACCCACCCCCGGGGAACTTGTTGTATGGTTATTCGAATTGTTTTCCGCAGCAATTCAACTGTTCGAGAGAAAAACATATTTTTTTTCGCAGAGCCAGAGACTCAATTTAATTCGTCCCGCATTTGGCTGGAAAATGCATTTCGGGCCAAATCCCGGCGCCATGCTGGCTCATTTGCAAAATTGTCAGATTTATTTCGCTAATTGCTGCTCATCCGTTTAATTAAAATTAAAAGAACTTGCACAAGTTTAGGGCGAAAGTTTTTATGCGAATTCTCCAGAATCTCGCATTGGGCACGTTTAGTATTCCGTATTCCTTCGCTTTCCTTGGCCTTCCACTTCGTATTGTTGTTAGCACACAATGGCCATCTGTTAAAGTGCAGGGAAAACTCGAGGAACTCGATGATGAAGTTGCAAGATGGAGTGCCCGCAGGTAGGCTTTCCATTTTCCATTTAACATTTCTGGACAGCGAGCAAATTAAACTGCAAGTCTTGCAGGCTCCGTTAAAGCTGTCGCATTTCCCAAAAGGTGTCAATCGTGCAAGCCCGGAAAGTTGTAGCCAACAACGAGGCAGCAACTCTTGCAGCAACAATTTGCACGCAATTCTGCAACATCTGCTGCCTGCCACTCCCCTATTTTTCCCGCCCCTCCCCCCAAGGCCTTTTGCCACCAACCGGAAAGAGCAAAAGTTGCCTGCAACCACATTGCGGATTTGGATTTTGGGCAACTTTGCAGTGCGGATTGACACCTCTTTTCCACCGCCCCCGCAATCCGATTTGGGGGGGCGTGTCAATGGGGAGCGACATTTTTATGACAACTTGCTTAAATTCCATAACAAGAACTCGCGGAGAAAACGAAAACTTATTTCGTTTACGAGTCGAGCAAGTTGTGTGCTGATATTTTCGAAGGCACCGCCGCCTTGTTCGCTAATGAATAAAGTTCAACTATGAATATGCACCAGGAATTCTCGCCAGAACTTGAACTTAAAGTTTTAAGAAGGCTTGTTGTCACACAATGACTGAATTGGGAACATATAAATTCAAGGTAATTAGCCAAATTCGGTGTCATTAATACTTAGCATCCTTATAATTTTGAACACTTAAGCACATATTTCATTTTGTAATTAAACACACATATTGGTTTAAAATGCCGCAGCCATTTTATACTATTTAAATGGATAAAACCAAATTGGAGTCATAAATTTCCAAACAAAAACTGAATTAATAAGCCTATTATGAGCTTGGTAAAATAAATAAATAGGAGCTTTTGCACACTTTCATTATGGTTTGACACATATTTTAATTTCCAAACTATTTGAGAATGATACAATTTGAATGGTAGATTTTAAAGTAATTGGCTTTATTTTGTGACAGAAACAATAAACAATTAAAATTAATAGGATTAATAAAAATTAAATAAATTTAAAATTTATGAATTGATTAAAGAGGTTTTAAACCCATATATTTTCAGCTTTTATTAGCCAATAAACAAGGTCTTAAAATAATAATTCGATTTTTGGGGCATATAAACCATCGTTTTATTACGTACTTTTATACATTAAATTTATCTTGCAATTTATTATAACTTTATATTATTTTATAAATCAGAAATTGCTGTCTTTTGTGCATACATCAGCTTTTCTGACTCGACACTTTTGGTCGCCACACTATTTTTAATATGCAACGAGAAATATGCGCAACAATATAATGCCATGTTAAAGCCAAACGATGTGCGTGAAGGCAACCTCATCGTCCTCATCATCGTCTTGGTCGCCGCTGCTAGTTTTGCCGGCCAAAAAACTCGACTCCTTCTACTCCTGCTGACATCTTGTCAGAAATTTTCATGCTGCTGTAAGCTGTTTTCATGCACATTTTAAGTCCTTGTGCTCAGCACAAACACTTCAATTTTGGCTTCAAGGATGCGTGGTGTGCATGGCCCGGCTCCAGGCCCCATGCTCCATGCTCCAGTATCCTGGATCCAAGGCAGCAGCCGATCCAAAAATGCAGACAAAAATCAACCAGTACTAGCAGCCAGTCAAAGTGCCGGAAGGAAGTGCGCTGGGGAACCCTGCGACGATATAGGGCCAAACAACGGGCAACTCTTTATCTATAACTTTTGATATATGCTAAGGAAATATTGTGGGAGTGCACTCAATCGTGGTTGCCCTGGCATCGCCATCAAGCGTCATCTGGGTTTTCAGGGGGTGGGGGGGGGGGGTTGGCCATCAACTACTTAGCGTCAAAACGCTTAAAGTTGAATTTGTAACGCTCGAAGTGAGGCGACGGCA